AATAACTATAATATATATACTCTTTATAATATATTATATTATTTATTATTTTATATTAATTACTTATATTATATTTTTTATAAAAAGAATAAGCTATTATAAGAAATTTTAATTCTTTTATAATAGCAGCTAGAGAAAGGCGCTTATATATTTTTTAAGAAACTGGTTTAAAAATATAGTTAAGCATTATAAGAATTACAGGAAGTTTAAAAAAAGGACTTACTTAGGCAATTAATATAAAAAGAGTCCTTTTATAAACCTTAAGGATAAGATTAATAAAAAAAGGGCATTATATTATAACTTAAACCTTATGTTTATATATTAATAAGCCTAAAGGTATATATTTAAAGATTAATTAAGTATTAATAAATTAATTAAAAAAAGATTATAGTTTATAGGCCCCTTTATTAAATTACTTCTATAAGTTATTATAAGCCTATATATTATAATTTAACTATAATTTAAATAAAATAATTTACTATATAAGACTGTTTATTATACTTGTTAAATATAGCTTAAATAGTTAGTTGTTAATATAGTATTTATATAATAACTAAATTAAACCTTTATCTAAAGTTATTAGCTATATAACTAAAACTGCTTATAAGATCTTTTGCATCTCTCTGCCAACATAAACCCGACGTTAAAGGTTTATCCCTTGGGAACTAGTTACCCTATACTAGGTATAGGATCAGAACGTTACAGTTTGCCTCAAACTATTGAAGTTACATATTTACACTGGTATTGAATCTTGATATTACGTTAACTAGCTATCTAGGCTATCGTACGGAGGTATATCTATATGAATGTGCTAGTTAGCGATCATGCCTTTAGTGATTACAGGAGTAGTCATTACGAAACTAGCGGTTGTTAGGCTCCGTGCTTGGCACGCCACCATGATGCTGACTACCCGTGTGGTATGTAAGCGATGTGGTCGCCGACCTATGGCATGGTCGTCGATTCTGCCTAGTGCATATATTATTATGTCCCAGAGAGGTCGGTCCAATAAGGCTGTTAAGCATAGCTAGGATCCTCTAATCGGCTGATGATGATCCGCTGTAACGCTGGCAATGTTGGCCACCCACAGGCACTATGTACTAGCTTAAACGTCATCTTCCAGAAGGATTAGCGATTATCTCAGGATGATGCATTAACTGCAAAGGCAAATTTCATGGCTGATACGGCATGGAGAGCCTCCAGATCTCCCTATCAAATGCAAATCAAATGCAAGTAATCGTTGATTCATCCACGTAAGACCTTTCCTATCACCTAAAATGTGTAATCACGACAACAAGCAATTGAAACAATTGCCACAAAATCTCGCTCTAAATACAGCAATGCTCGATGTTAGCGAGATAAAATCTCATTTGTTAAAGAATAAGTGCGAAAAGACCTGAAGGATCAGACATTTCCCACTAATTGGGTGAGCTTTAGTTAGCCTTTAATGCTGCTATTATTAAAAATATAGGTAATCTTAGATGCTTTAAAGCTGTATAAATAATTTGCAGAGATGAACTCTGAAAATACAACAGAATATGCCCCCTTTCCCTACAGTCTAGCCACCGATCGGGTGGTCTAACGTCCCATTCTCCACCCTATAATTTCTCGGTAGCCCTCCTCATAACTTTCATCCACAACATTATGATTTGTCCAACTAATTGAGTTCCCCCCTTAATTTGGAGTGCACTGAGAGTCTCGAACTGACGTCCGAAACTTAATCCCATGTTGTACACACATCCAGTCCCCAGGTTTTAGACATTCGATTACACCGTTCGACATGTGTACCGCAATTCTTTTGTGTTCGCCCACCCCTTCTTCATGAACCAATTGAAGGGACCCGGCTTTCACAGGCTTCCGATATTTTTTAGAAGGGCTAACCACGTATGAAGAGCCGATTAGTGACCCGCTGCAGTTGGGTTCGGAATGCCGTATGGCAACCAGGTCATTGTTGGCAGTCGACAGTCCGATGTTTCCAAATTGCATCAGAAGAACTACCAAAAATGTGTTGTAGGAACCTTCATGTTGGAAGCAGTGGCTTTCTCAAAGGTGTGAATAAAGTAAAGAAGTGATAGATGTAGACGAGATATTCAAAGTGACGCTGAGTGTATGGGTGTAAGATACATGAGTCCAGGAGAGAGGGAATGATCATTATTTATAATGAAATACTTTACTCTTATACCTGAATAGAAACAAAGGTGACCCGCAAGCATATTTCGGAAGCCTTATTTTGGAAGTCTCGCTTCCCTGGCATCTGAATCCCACAGCTAACGCAGCTGCTGTTACCGTTGTATATTTCGAAAGGTAGTTGCAAATGAAAGCAAAAGAAAGGCCACCTTGAGACATGGTATATCCTTACAGGGCAGTGTGGACTATTATCACTTGGAGTAGGTCTAGTGATACATCAAAATAAGGGAGGTAAATCTATTGATAATTACATAAAAGGTATTAGAATTACGGAATACTTCATTCATACTTACACAACCCTTCTTCAAAAGATTTAGCTTATACAAAAGTATTCCATTTATTGTGGCTTATAAGAGCGAAACCATCATAATTTTAGTATCGTGGCGGCCTCCTTAGCAATCCGGTCTCAGAGGCTATATCACATGGTTTCCCAACGTGTTCTCGCTCTATGAGCTCTACAGCCAGCTAAAGAACAGGTCAGCCTACGATTTGTGTGTTTGATCGCAAATCATTTTGTTGTCTATAGCTGAGTTCCCATGCCTTGATAGAATAGCAAGAGACTTGATTGATACTGTGACCCCCAGACTCAGCCATTGCAAGCACATAGTCTATGCTATATTATGTTGGTTAAATATGTAAAGTGGGATTATGGTTATATCCTAAATCCCGTTGCGTCATTGATAAATGGGGAAATAAACACAGGGGTAGGAACTCTACCTTATCTTAACGTAGTGTAACAGGAATTCTTCCAGGCAGCAGTAATAACTGCTTCTATTTCTAAAGAGTTATATGTATACCTTCCTAATCAATTCCACTGATTATATTTAGGCAGCAGGAATAGTTGCTCTTACTACCAAAGAATATTAAGCGAAGCTGATAATTGCTTCTAGACAGAGAGTATGGATTAAATAAGTAAGCACTAGCTTCAGCTACCTCCAATCTTTAACGACCAGCCGTTCGGCGACCAATTAAATGCTCGATTTTCGCCTCCGCAAAATATTTTGTTAATCAACGGAGATACAAATTTCGGTCTTGGCAAAAACTGAGCCACTTTAATGTAACATCGCGCTTCCCGAAAGTTGTTACTGCAATTAACTAGAATCGAGACCCTTTTTTCCAGTCATTTACATCAAGTCACCTTAACTTGACAACGCGCAGTCTACCAGATCCGCGCATCGATCAAGTTGTGGTGTATATTGTTAAAAAAAAAACAAAAAAAAAAAAAAAAGAGTAATTCAAATCACGAAAACAATGCACCATACTGAATCTAGAGAATAAATTTAGAACTATAAGGTGCATTCGATACAAAGGTCTTGCACATTGCAAAGTGTTTGTACTTCTTAGGTGTGTAACGTGTTTCATCTCGCTTTTCAACTTTTGGCCACCCAATACAAATAATTGAGATGATTCGGTTTCCCATTTTGAGCCATTCCGGCGGTAACGTTTGTGAAAGGGATTCCTAAAATGGATATATGTTTCAAACATGATTCCATTCGAGATCCGATCTGACATCGAAGCGAAGAGTGCAAATCGAATTGTTCACACCCCACTCACAATGAATGTCTGTGCTGTAACCAACTTATCTTCCTGCTTCCTTTCAGCTAAAGGCTTACAGAGGATTTGATACGGAGTTAAAGCTCCAGAGTCTCTCTAAAGCAATTAAGACTCCACCTTTCGTAAGGTCGGGGGGTGTTGCTATGCCGGTGTAGCTCGCGCTCGCGCTCGCGGTTCTAGTGCGCAGCGAGAGGCTGCAGTTGACATGACGAGAATTCATATATAAAAGCATACTTTGTATCATAATGATAAATAGCCGGTTCAGCCTCATTCATCCATCTAAAAATCGTCATTCTCTCCCTCAGTTTAAGTCCCATACAATAACAATCTAAACGCTAAATATTTAAAATGAAGTAAGTTTTAATCTTATAATTACGATACTTAACTAACCTCTTACTATAGGATCTCATATATTCTTACTTTCCAAGCTATTCTTGGCGCTGCATCTGCAGCTCCTCTTGAAGGTCGCTCAATCTGTCTTGCCAATTTTGTTGGTACAAACAGCGAGGGTGATGGTGGCCCTGGCCAAGCACCTTTTTCTTATAACGATTTTGGAATTACAATTACCGGAGGCGGCAAGAAGTTTCATCACAAGATGAATGAAGACGCTGATAATGGGACATTTCAGCGAGGCATTAAAGGAGAAAAAATCGGTAGCAAGACAGGTGTTAAGATTCATGCCAATTGGGACTATGCAAATAATTCTTGGTATGGTTGTCACATTAAGAAGAATGGCCACAAGTATATCGGCAAGGTTAAATCGCCCGAGATTCATACGGGAGCAGTGTCAGTAACCGAGGACCACTGCACGGTTCATTTCCCCTGCTAAATAAGATGTCAATTGGTGCTACACCTGTTATACATACTGCAAGTTAGCTGATAAGGTAGTGGCGACGGTAGCCGCAGCCAGGTGCCGGAAATGGCACTTCATCCAAAAACGAATGGAACTCAGGACCGCCATAAAATAGTACATGAGATGAGAGGAAGTTCGCACTTTACCAGCCACAGGTTCGCAAAGTTGGTTCGTGCGGGGAGAAACTTGATAATGACAAAGGCAGACACTCATTTCGGTCGCTACTGTACCTCGCCCGGTTGATGGTATTTTATTGATCAAAGTTCTTGAAGAAGCATGTATTATCAATTGTTAGAGCCTGTATAGAATTTGAAATTCTCTCAAGCCATTCAAGACCGCAATTTTTAATGTGTGATATCAAAGGAAGGGTCAACATGGAATATAGCCATTTCTTACAAATGAGCAGGTGGGCACCATATCCATACTACTACAACCATACGCATAAGTATACATGTTACGCATCAGCAGTAAATATATTTGAAATTGTAGAGGAAGACTCTTGTCCATTTTCTGCGTAACCTTTTAATTATAAAGCCTTTGTTATCCTACATAATAAATTTGCATGTCACAAATATGCACGCTCTGCTGTCCCTATAGCCCGGTGAGATCTGAATCTCTTTTTGTGAACCGAATGATTCATTTACACTAACTTATTTGTCTTCAGGCCAAACGTCGTAACCAAAAGTATCCTTCATATTCACAAACCGAACATGTCGTCCTTCCGCAACTTTTTCAATCGCTGCAAAGTCCTCGTCACTCAAGTCCGGAATTATGAAATTGCTCTCAATGCGACTTGGGGTTGAGCTCTTGGGTAGAACAACATAACCTCTCTTTAGACCCCAAGCCAGGAGAATCTGAGCAAGGCTGTAACCGCTTCGATCTGCAACCGCGTTGAGAGTTGGATTATCCCGCACTCGCTCTCCAGTCGTTGGCACTTGATTTTGTGAACCCAGGGGTGAGTAGGCCTCGGGCAAGATTCCGTTTTGGAAGCAGAACGCCACGAGCTCTTCGTTGGGTAGGAAAGGATGGATTTCAATCTGGTTCACTGCTGGCTTGATTCTTGCGAGTCCTAGAAGCGTCTTCAGCCCTGGTATAGTCCAGTTGGATACGCCGATCGCCTTCACGATGCCGCTGTCAACCAGTTCCTCCATAGCCCGCCATGTTGGCTCAGGATTTTCCGTCAAGGCCTTGTTGATGACGTATTTCCCATCCGGGCCTAGCTTCACCGTCCTGTCCGCATTCTTCTCAGCCGCAATTGGCCAATGCACAAGAAACAGGTCAATGTAGTCAACCTTGAGGTTTTCGCATGAATTCTTGGCGCTCCACTTCACATCCTCTGGTTCGTGAAGATGGTTCCAAACCTTTGTGCAGATAAACAAATCCTTGCGGGTTACATCGGGTCGACGAGCGAGGAAATCTCTTATCGCGTCGCCAACTTCGTCTTCATTGTGATAAAACCACGCACAGTCGAGGTGCCGATATCCGACATCCAAAGCCTTCGTAACAGCTGCGTATGTCTCGCCCTTGGCCCCCTCATTGGCAAAAGTGCCGAAACCAACGGCAGGTATCTTGGCTCCGGTGTTGAGGGTATAGGTCCTCGAAGAGAGAGTCTTTTGACTTGTGTCTGTCGCCATTGTGAAGCTCAATCTCGCCACTGAGAAAGCGAAGTCTCAAGTAGGTTGAATGAAGTGAATATTCCCTCCGCGTATAAAGCCGAGATATGGCGAGAAGATATCGTTATCGCTGCGGATTCTTTTAGATAAAGGCCATCCAACCCTTGCCAAGTAACGTGGATCAGTTTCTGAGCTCGTCGTTTCTTATAGAATAATCCCTCTTAGCGGTGAGATCAAAACGCTCAAAAGTTCAGCAGCTGAGGCAGTGATGCTATAAAAATTATCCACAATGATGCGACTCAACGAGGATTGCCCACAATAGTGGAATAACTAATGTAGCTAAGATGATTATTTACCCACTTTAATCGTATATCATGACGCAAGAGGCGGGTAAAATATGGCTCCTTGAGAACTATAATAAAAGATCTACCTTTTTTTTCACGAAGTTTCGCCCCTAGACATTATGCTGATAGCCAGAGATAATAGACTTCGGCACGTGCTGGCGTGCCATTCTGTCCACATAGTTGACGAATGCCATGATCTGAAACAGCCACAGCAGACCCGCATTCTCCATCTTTCTGGGCTTGTTTGCGCCTCAACCATGCTATCAACTGGAGCCGGCCCATCCGACTGGCCCATACGGCGGCTCCATATTTCGAAATCTCTTACACCGAAATCAACTTCAAGGTGGAATTGTGCCCACTGGCAGGATAAGCGGTGGATAAGACGAATGTTAACTAATGCCGACCGAGTGCCGACGATGACGACGTTCTCCTTAAACAACAGGCAGATTTCACTTTCTATTGGACTGAGTTGGCAAATGTGGCACAGAGAGTGGTCCTCGAAAAATGCAACAACGACGGTGAAAAAGGGAGAGAGTGTGGATTTGAGGCGACCGGTGTTTTCATATGGGAGCGATGACATCAGAGCTGAATCATGAACAAACCTTCATGTGCAGACCGGTGTATCTTGCAATCGAAAAAACAGCTCTACTAACTCCACTCCTTCAATGGGTGAGCTCTTCTATATATGTTCTTCCGCAGCCGGGTATTAAAGAAAGAATTCCGTGCTGTCAGCAGATGTTGAAACCCATTACACAATCATCTCCTATTCTCCGTACATCATAACCACCATGGCTACATTCGATGATGCCGATTTTGGCGTGGAGACGCCTACACAGCCTGTGCAGAGCAGCCAGCAAAATGCCGCCGGCGATCACGCTACAAACACAATTCATGAGGGGGCTCTAGCTATTCCAATGTCACCAACCTCGATTTCTCATGATGCGATTGAGATACCTGCCACAAGGTCTCCTCACGCCGATGCGTCAAAGTATATGCACAACCTCTCCCTGTCGCCCTCAATGAGGGATAGAAGGGCTTCTCGGAATTCTTTCGGGACCTCACTCCCAATCCCACGTTCCAAGAGACAGTCTCGCCTCAGCTCTGTCCACCATATCGACCGAGATGCAGTTTTGGGGTCAGGCGCAGTTCCCATCCAGCACACAAGGGACATTTTGGCAGCTCAAATCCAAGACATATCGGCAGATAAAGCTAAGAAAGCCAAGAACATGGCATTTGTCTTCGATATCGATGGTGTCTTAGTGCATGGCGATCGTCTGATCCCAGAGGGAAAGAGAGCACTGGAGATCCTGAACGGAGATAACGAGCTTGGAATCAAGATTCCTCACATATTCCTGACCAACGGATCAGGTAAACCAGAGCTGGCCCGCACGCAGCAGCTAGCCAAGATCTTGCAGAATCCTGTCAATACCGAGCAGTTTATCCAGTCACACACTCCAATGCGCGCTCTGGCGGAGTACTATAACACAGTGCTAGTAGTTGGTGGCGAGGGATATCGCTGCCGAGAGGTGGCGGAACAGTATGGATTCCGCGACATCGTGGTGCCAAACGACATTGTCGCATGGGACACTACGATCGCGCCCTATCGCGTCTTCACAGACGAAGAGCGTGCCAGCTCACGGCCTCGTGATTTTTCCCAGACCAACATCGAGGCCATCCTTGTTTTCTCCGACTCAAGAGACTACGCCACCGACATGCAAATCATCATTGATTTGTTGCGATCTGAGGATGGTCGACTGGGTACTATTGCCGCCGATCCAGTTTCTCAGCGAATCCCCATCTATTTCTCACAAGGCGATATGCTATGCCCTACTGAGCATCCTATTCCTCGTATGAGCCAAGGCACATTCAGAATCGGTCTCGAGGCTATGTACAAGGCGCTCACGGGGGTTGATCTCGAACGTGTGGTGTACGGAAAGCCTGAGATGGCCACATATAAATATGCCGACGAGGTCATCGCATCATGGATGGAGCAGCTGCATGGCGAAGAGCGTATCCCTGAAAACATCTACATGGTTGGCGATAACCCGGCCTCGGACATCATTGGCGGAAACATGTATGGCTGGAACACATGCTTGGTGCGTACTGGTGTATTCCAAGGCGGCGAGAATGATGAATCCAACCCTGCCAACTTCGGCGTCTTCCCTAATGTGCTGGAGGCTGTGAAATCTGCCTGCCGTAAGGAACTTGGAGAGTCGTTTAGATTTGAGTGGGATGACCGCGTCAATCCTGTGCTGCACGGCTCCAAGCATGTTGCATCGGCGATTGAGTAAGTGGACTACTATGCGATATGGACAAAAATTGCTTGAAATTTCGAAATGGGTTTATGAAATGGAATGAACTGGGGTATTATATGCCAAGAAAAAAAAGGAATAGACATCATAGCGACATTGATAAAGAGTGGCATCTTTCATATATGCCACAATTAAGTGCCACGGCAGGCGACCGCCACCTAGCTGATTGTATTTACATTGAAAAGTTACATAGTATTTTTCCTTTTTTATAGACTTAAGCTTCACATCTGGTCACTACTCAGAATATACATCCGCTTATCCAATCACCAGTCTGTGTCATGTACAAGTGTAATCCCGCCCGCCTTTAAAAAAAAAAAAAAAAAAAAAAAAAGCATGGTGATAGCCGAGATCAGGGAGAAGACGTAAAGCGAATAGAATTGCCATTATTCTGTGAAAACGAAGCAGCACAACGCAATAAAGTGGGAGCTATAGAAATACTTAGAGCTCTTATGGCAGCTTGGCAATTTGGTGGTTAATATTCTGATGAGAAATTGAGCATAAAAATTCCCAGCATAGAAACGCTTTTACATCCAACAGATAATGAAAACAATTATTTAATATATGTGGCTATTCATCATTCGATAGACACATTTCTTTCATGGGGGACTAGCATATTACCGGTTAAAAATATAGCTTCTATACCAAAAATAAACTCGTATCTCACCACTAAAGAGAGGAGTACTGCGGTGTTTCTGGAATATGTTCAAAATTTTCTTTTTACCTTTTTGACTACTGTTTTCGTTATAAGAGCAGCTTATAAAGCTCCAAAAGCCGAGTCGAAGCTTAAGCCAGGTCCATAACGCTTAAGTAGTGCATAGTTTCTTGAGGATTTTACGACAAGTTTGAGCTTGAACCAGCAAACTAGTAGAGGGGGGGTTTTTTTTTAAGAGGAAGAAAAATGGAGAAAAAGAAGTGTCTTTACAGAAGGTGCCACTAAAAAAAACAGTGTGTTGTAGGACAAAATTATTAATGACGCCAAGATCCACCAATCTCATGATCTTCCCCAACGTTGTTACTGGATCTATTTATGAAGTCAGCCACTGGTAGGACATCTGAGCATAAGGACGGTAGGTTCAAATCCTACATCCGCTACCTTTTAGTTTGAGAAAGGAAATTTTTTGGGGCCTCGATCTAAATCTTGAGGGGCTGGGCACTGGAACTCCTTACAAACTACGACATTATATTCGAACTTTCTATTTAAATTATATAACCTTCAAGCGTTTAAAATATTATTTCAGCACATTTGTGTCACATAGAGTAACTTCTTTACCACCCAAGTTTAACTACATCGAGAGAGATATAAACTTCTATCCACCTGTATTTTTTTCTCACTCGCGAGGTTGGTAACTAGAAAGCGTACGCCAATAAATATTTTTACATATCACCATATGCACGGCATGAGTTGGCTTTCCGTTATAAGCGCTGTTTCCTTTTTTGGCACTGGAAGAGCAAGTGTACAAGCCCCCTTGTTTTCTCTCTTTTTTCTGTCTTTTTTTTCTATTCGATACGTATGAGCTAGTATTTCGTATTTCCTCCTTCTACATCATTACTACATGCTACCCCTCTTCAAAGCATTAGTGATCATTTATGAATATGGATATGCTCTATTTACAAATGGCTGCTTCCGAACCCTCTGCCAGTAAGCACGGCTGTTACTTATTGCTCGTAAAAATACTGTAAACGCTCACAAGACAAATCTTTTTTGTCTCAGAATAACTGGTGTAGTGCACGCTATTGCAAGAGCCTGCTTTATTGGCAACTAGCTGCTTTCTATGTGCAGCTAGCTTTGCGAGTTATAATCGGTGCATTGATCAATAAAGAGTATTGTAATCCGAGTTTTGTCGTCTAACGCTCCATACCACATCCCGTGTGTTGCGTAATTAACTCACCTAACTGCTTCTTTTGGATACAGCTAGTTGCCGCTCTAGGATAGTGTGAGCAAAGTTCAGAAATTTCGTCAGATGATATAGGTACATAAGCTACTAGCCATGATAGCATGTCGCTAGGGAATTCTAGTTGTTAAGCACCCAAAGCCTCTACATTATTCTCATATAGAGTGGCGGCAACAGGGACTCGCCATTTTCAACCGGTTTTACCTTGCCGTAGAAGCCTGGTGCACTTGGCTGTTACTGTAGCGTTCAAGCCTGATCGACCTATTGCGTGAGAACCTTGCGCTTGGCAAATCGTAGGACAGAGACGGGAACTGTAGCCCCTTATTACTGGGCTGAACGCGCCACCACAGCCCCTTTGTATATTGCGAGTACACTAAAGAAAGTCTGACGACCACTACAGAGTACAACGGATATACTCCACAGCTCCCAATGCTTTCTAAAATTTCCGATCCTGGACTCAGATTGCCCCCGTTCTGCCCGGTTATTCATAGATTGGCTTATTATTATGCATCTGTAAACTAATAAGATTGCTCATTCCCCCTTTGGCAAAGACTAGCGGCCTCTAGTGTCTACAAGTATAGAACACGAGGACGAAAAGCAGCCGAAAAGGAGTGGTGATATCCACTCTACGGAGCAGTTTTGAAACTATATGCAACAGTAAGCCTGACCAGATTCTTAATTAGGCTAGTAAATTGTTTACAAGTAAAAAGTTAATAATAGAGATCCTGCACTCCTGCACTAATCGGGCCGTCGATTGTTTTGCTACACATGCCACAGTTGTTGACGTTAGTGCTATACAAGCTAGCTTATACTAGCATCACAGCTGGCTAGGTATTGAACTATTGCAGGCTGCCATCAAATCATGTACTCAAAATGTCTAATCGGCGAAACAGCTAAATGTTATTCCACAAAGTATTCCATCAAGCCTATATATAAGTTGACATAGTTCCCAGCATCTAAGTTGAAGATTTTACTACCATCACCGACAGGGCTTGACCAATTTCTATAGCCAGCATCAAGATGCGATACTCCATTGTTGCCCCGGCTCTGCTGGCGGGCACTGCTTACGCCTGGCTTCCTCAAGATCGAGATCTAGCGGCCTTCAACCAAACGGCTCGCTTTGAGAAGCTTGGCAAACGATTTGAACCTTCGTTAGCTTCTGGTGTGACGAAGATCAGAGGTGTCAACTTCGGTGGTAGGCTCAGATACGATTAATTTCTAGAATGAAATAGGACGCTTACATGGGATTTTAGGCTGGCTTATCTGTGAGCCATGGATGATGCCGACCGAGTGGAACGATGTGATGGGCTGTAACAACGCTGCATCTGAGTTTGATTGCATGCTTAATAACTATATGGGCAACAATCGTGCGGCAGGCAATCAAAAGTTTAAGACTCACTGGAGCAGCTGGATCACTCCAGCTACCGTTCAATCGGTTCACGATGTCGGCCTGAACACTATACGTATTCCCATTGGCTACTGGTCCTACACAGCTATCGTCGACACATCCAGCGAACCATTTGCTGATGGTGATGCCATGCTCCCATATCTGGATGCAGTAGTTCAGAAGGCCGCTGATTTGGGAATCTACGTCATCATTGATCTCCATGGCGCACCTGGTGGTCAGCAACAAGACCCATTCACAGGTCAAAATCCTAACCCTGCTGGCTTCTTCAACTCATACGACTTTGGCCGCGCCGAGAAGTGGCTATCATGGATGACGAACCGTATCCATACTAATCCGGCGTACTCCACTGTTGGCATGATCGAAGTTCTGAACGAGCCTGTTTCTAACCACGATGCAAACGGCCGCTACCCTGCTCCTGGTGAAAATCCAGGTTTGGTGCAGACTTACTATCCTGCCGCATTGAAGGCTGTCCGTGATGCTGAGGCTGCCCTAAATGTTGCTAGCAACAAAAAGTTACATGTGCAATTCATGTCCAGCAAATGGGGCTCTGGTGACCCTCGCTCCAACTCTGCAGTGGCCAATGATCCCATGACTGGATTTGACGACCACAACTACATTGGATTCGCTCTGGGTAACAATAATGGCGACCAATATTCGCTCATGCATAGCGCGTGCACCGATTCTCGCGTTGTGAATGGCCAGAACTTTGAGATCACTGGTGAATGGAGCATGACATCAGGCGTTGATTGGAGCGACGCTGCCTTCTTCACAAAGTTCTGGACTGCTCAGCAGCAGCTATATGAATCCCCAGGAATGGACGGATGGATCTACTGGACTTGGAAGACTGAGCTGAACGATCCTAGATGGACCTACTCATATGCTACCTACCTCAACTATATCCCTACCAATGCTGCTGCCTTGGAGCAAAATGTTTACCAGGATGTCTGCGCTGGATTTAGGTAAGAGTTGCAAAAGCTCTCTTGAATCACTAGGATATTTCTTCAGCAATGTACGTCTATTAATTAGACAAGTTATCCAGAACTGAAACTACATTTGATCTTAATAATTGATCTTAATAAGGAGCGTATATATATATTTTACTACATAGGAATTACTTTTCAACAATGAACTTCAGGACTATAGACTCATTATTTCATAAATTCACTATCATGGCTCTCTGCCTATGTGCTCTACAGTCTCGAGAACAATTGTGGTAAAGGTAAGATCGTTTAATTCACAATATGCATTCTAAATGCGTCTCATTCCATTACAAAAAGTTAATATATTAAGGCAAGTCAATATACATCCCTAAAATCTCCAAACGCTCTTTCACCTGTAGCCATTCGAATACAAAGTAATATCGAGTTCGACCATTAGCCCATCATATCACGATATGAGGCTAAATCGTTTGTCTGACCTTGCGAAGCATTCTATATATTATTTTGAAGATATTTGGCTTCACTATACCTTCCACCAATACACGTTTAAAGAGTTTGCGGCTACTCATGACTTTCTTTAAGCGAGACTTGAACTGTAGAAACTACAAATGGCAGTTCCAGCCATTTGCTAGGCGAATTGTAGCTGCTAAAATCCTCAGCTGTGGGCAAAAACAAAGCTTTATTCTCATAGTCAGCTGCTAAAGTTGCTGTTAATACAATTTTCTGAGGAACTCATCCTCTAGTGAACCATAGAGGAAGAACCTGCTCGGTACCCGGATTAACGACGAAAACTTTAGATAGCTAAGGAGTACTGTATCTGAAGCTGGTTCTGGTAATCCGTAATTTGTAGATTAGCCTTACAATTTACCGATATTTGGATAATAGCATTGTGATATTTGGGAATATGTCGCAAAATGTATTTCGCCGTACCATTGACTGTGAAAGTTTTAATAGCCGCGAACGAAACCCTGTTCGGAGATGCTTCGAAAATTTACCTCGAAATCGGTAACCCCTGTACCAATTACAGGCGACTCCAGGCATATGCCGCTTTTGCCGCTGAGGTTATTACTCAGTCCGCCGCATCACTTCGTAGCGGCTGCCCGGCGCCTCCGCTTGTGAGGAAGACTAAGTGGGGAGAGAATACACATAATAAGTAATCATTGCTGCGCGGGGCCGAAGAAAACGATCTACTTGTATGTTGTTAGATAGAGAAGTTTTTCATGGAGGCCGTAAAGCATGAGTCGGCATTAGATAATTAGTACTACTAGTACCTTTACACACATTTTGAAATACAATCCGCGTATTCTGCACCTTACACGCCTAGTATTTGTCGGTCGTTAAGTGGTTAGGACATCACTGCTTTCTGTTATATACCCTGTAGGATCCGCTCGCTCTAAAATACACTATTAGAAATCATTAAGGTTAGTTATCAACGCTACAATGTCGTAAGAGCATATATAGAGGGAGAGTGCTCCGAAGACAAATCTTTCCTGGTATTCATTGCCATTCTATTCATCCTAATAAGCTACACACCCCCATTATTCCTTTAACATCTCATCACCATCATGTCGACTGTAACTCTGCACTACTTCGGCCTGGGAAGCCTTGGGCGGGGTGAAATTGTCCGGTAATGACATCTGGTGCACAACCTATACATTGACGGGTGCTGATTGTGATCCAGGTTGTTTTTACATGAGCTTAACATTGATTATGAGGATGTGTTATACACCTACGATGAAACATGGCCCTCTGTCAACAAAGCCAAGGACGTGAGCTTGACTGGGACGCTACCCGTCTTGGAGATTGATGATCTGAGGCTCTACCAGGTATGTGCGCTCCCCGATCTCCCGAGCGCGGCAAATAGACTGTGCTCGAGCGCCCAGTTATACTGAATATCGATACTAGCATCTTCCCATTCTTCGATATCTATCTCGACGCGCTGGCGCATACGATGGCGAAACAAACCATGAGAAATACCTTGTTGATGCGGTATCTGACATTTACAATGATTGGCGAGTAAGTGCCAGACATTGTGCATTACTACGCGGCGAATAAATTTGGCTCACACAGTGCTGCTAGACAGGCTGGGTAGCCCAGCTAACCGCCAAGTCGCCCGACTACCAAGCCACACATGTCGACAAATTCCATCGCCTGTTCACTGATTTCTACTCGAGGGACTCCAGCGGCCCCTATCTCCTGGGCAACAAGCCGACCTATGTTGATTTTGCCGTCTTTCAGGCTCTCGACAACGACGAGTGCATTGGCTGTGCTCCTGTTAGTCCTCCCTTGATATTTCTTTATCGCCCCGATTGCTCCCAATTATCCTGCCCTTGTAGGACTTTATATAAACTCCATGCATTTGTTCATTTTAAACTTGTGCACTAATGCTGACAAACGCCACTAGAACCCGCTGTCAGAGCCACTGACGAAGCTGAAGGAAGCCGTCCTAGCTCGCCCGAATGTTAAGACCTACCTGGCTGAGCGAGCTACAGCTAAATAGGTGCTGCGGCCACTAATAAAAGTCTAGTCGTCTTCTTCATGTACAAAGTAGTCTTACGTATTTAAATTCGAGCGATCCAGTTATGTTATCCATCTGCATAACGCGAGTGACAACATCTTTCCATCCGAAGCTATGTAAGTAATGCTAGGGTCTGTCAGTAGGTGGTATCCACATTTAGCATCCAGTTTCAAGTTTTATAGCGATTATATGTGCAGACCTGTACCATTATTCGCACCGAATGAAGATGGAGATTAGTTAGATGACTTTTCTGGCGGAATATATGCATAATGAAGACAACTATTGGCCATGCGTATATTAGCGGCCTGCTCAGTAGACAGAGAAGGTGGAGTGTTTGCACAATGATGTGCCAATGGCTTCGACACAAGCATCTGAGTATCTGAACATGCGTGTTATTCTGAATCAGCCGAAAAAAAAGTATGTACGTGGTAGCGTCACTATCGTGGATAAAGTACGATTCCGTCTGGAAGAAGTGTGAAAGCTAAACATTATGTTTTGTATAGAATAGATGAAAGTAATTGATCCATAGTAGTCAATACCATAATATTACCCGTCTTAATTTGGGCAAACTTTCACTTTGGCCCTGATGAAGCGCGGTAGTCCAAAAGTTATTACCAACCTTGCATTAAAATCTAGAGCAAAGAGATGTATTTCACCCGGTTCATGAAGAAAATAAAGGACAATAGCTTGGAGAAGTAGTCTCAATGGCCAATAGCAGTATGTCCCTGCTGAGGTTCTTTCCACCTATCTAGGCGACAGCTCCGCCCCAGCTCGGAATACCCTCGATGCTAACATCAACTCCCTAGTGTTCTAAAGGACCGTGGCAAGAGACTTTTAAGCTCGTCCAAGACAGTTCCATACTTCACTATGGATGAACTTGTTTGTATGATGTATCTTTTACATACTGGCTGTTTTATCTGGCAAGGATATAATAAAATTACTGTAGCGTAGAGGCGCCCATCTAATAGGCTAATGTCTGTGCATTATTGATCAACTCCGTCTTAGAATATGGGCTAACATCGAACTAAATGATCTGGCAATATCACATTTAACTTACGTTTGAGTATCTGCTATTTATGCCCCCAGACTGGTAAACTCAAATCTCTGGTAGCTAGCTTTATGCGATCGATAGAAGACTGGACTATATACACAACACGAGAAGCAACCAAGTGAAATGTGCATACTCGATTGGCCAATGGTAAGTCGTCTTGGACTACAGCATTTATGGTCTATGGCATGGGTATATTGTATATTTAGATGAGTCGTCTTATAACCTAAGCTTACCCTGTTGTCTTATACAGCCAAACTCCTTGGACATGCCTCTGAAGCGGATTTGGATTTGGATTCGGATTCGGATTCGGATTCGGATTCCTCGCTAGAATCTATGTACTATGTAAGGGGAGCGCGCTGCGGATCTCTCAACTCCCCAAATCGCAAAGCGCCATCTTCCCCGCATTGTCCGTCTACTTCGTGCCCCTCACTATAATAGCAAAGTTACTTTCTATTTGCCGCCGTTTATCATTCTTACGCCTATGAAAGCAATTCACGATTCCGATCATTCCTGTTCTTTCGGCTATCATAATTCTATAAAACGCTAGATCAGGTCTGTTCTTTTTTTCTTTGTCGTGAGTATGCTTTATTTGTCTTGAAGATATTCTATGTGCCTCACATTTCTTAGCGTTGAAAAGAGCGATTCGGGAATCACAAGACTATTAACGGATATTCCAATGTGCTAGGCTACTTGCCAGTAGCATACATATAACTCCGCTATGGCATATCAAGTCCTGGGAATAGCGATCATCGCTATTATTTTCGTTCTATTAAAATCCCTCAACGCAACTGATGCTCCAAAGATTAAAGGCATACCTGAAATTCCCGGCGTTCCTATCTTTGGCAATTTGCTGCAGCTTGGAGTGGATCACGCTCGTGTTGCCCAGAAATGGGCGACAAAGTATGGGCCTGTTTTTCAGGCTCGCCTCGGAAATAGGGTGCGTATTTCTCAATTACAAGACGTAGCTTAGCTAACATCGGTTCATCGAACAGCGTATTCTTTTCGTGAATTCTTACGAAACAGTGAAGCATTTCTGGATCACCCACCAGTCGTCTCTCATCTCTCGGCCTACCTTTCACACCTTTCATTCGGTAGTATCCTCGTCTCAGGGGTTTACAATCGGCACTTCTCCCTGGGACGAATCATGCAAGCGCCGCAGAAAGGCTGCTGCTACGGCATTGAACCGCCCAGCTGTCCAGTCCTATATGCCTATTCTCGATCTTGAATCTACTGTAAGCGTCAAGGAGCTCCTTAACGACTGTATGAATGGCTCGCGGGACGTGGATCCCAGTCCATATATGGCACGATTTGCACTCAACACATCGTTGACCTTGAACTATGGATTCCGCATTGACGGCAACATTAACGACGAGCTCTTGGCGGAGATTACACATGTCGAGCGCGAGATTTCCAACTTTCGATCAACAAGCAACAACTGGCAGGACTATATCCCTCTTCTTCGCATCTTTGGCAAGAAAAATAGCAAAGCAGAAGAATACCGAGTCAGAAGGGACAAATATTTGACTGACATGCTCAATGACTTGAAGGAGCGAATTGCCAATGGTACCGACAAGCCATGTATAACGGGAAATGTCCTCAAGGATCCAGAGGCAAAACTTAACGAAGGTTAGTGCCACCAATGTAAATTCATTTCATCATTCTTGAAAGCATGGGCTAAATAAGACTTATTCGTATAGCCGAACTAAAATCCATTTGCCTAACAATGGTTTCTGCCGGGTTGGATACAGTGCCTGGTAATATTGTTATGGGAATGGCATACCTTTCTACCAAGGAGGGCCAGGCAATTCAAGCAAAGGCCCTACAGGCCATTCAAGATGTATATCCCAATGGGGATGCTTGGGAGAAATGTCTTATTGAAGAAAAGGTTCCTTACGTCACTGCGCTGGTCAAAGAAACGCTCCGCTTCTGGACTGTTATTCCAATTTGTCTTCCTCGTACCAACATCAAAGATATTCCCTACAAGGACTCTGTCGTCCCCGCTGGAACAGTGTTCTTTATGGTAAGTATCACTCAATATGCCACCGCAATCAAGTGTCAGCAAAGGTTTGTGCTTACGATTGCCTTAGAATGCTTACGCGGCCGATTACGACGAATCTCGATATAAGCTTCCTGATCAATTTATTCCCGAGCGGTTTATAGAAGACACGGAGATTGGTACACCGCATTACGCATATGGGGCAGGTTCTCGAATATGCGCGGGCTTTCACCTCGCTAATCGAGAGCTCTATACGGCATATATTCGACTCATCACCAGCTTCCAGATTGTCCCATCCGATGATCCTTCGCAGGCTCCAATTATTGATCCCATTGAATGCAATAGTATGCCCACTTCATTGACTACAGATCCAAAGCCATTCAAGATTGGGTTGAAGCCTCGAAACGAAGCAAAGACTAGAGAGTGGATTGCAGCAGCGGAGGAGAGGACTAAAGATTTGTAATTGTTTTCGTCAACAGGTGGACGCTTGTGTTATTGCTCGTGTAAAACGGTGTTTTTAAATAAAATTGGAATCGGATATGTCATCTAGAATCTCATTGGAATTTAATACTCTATGAATTACACCACGGCCAGAAGAGACTTGTTGATATAAAATCGTGCGGCTAGTATAAAAATGCCAGAGACAAGCGCAAGCGCACCGGCATAAAACATGGCAGGGCGGTACGCGTGCAATCCACCATCAGTACCACCGAATGCTTCTAAGATGTAGCCCGCGATTGGAGCGCCCTGTGTGTGAATAGAGATCTTGTCAGGCCATGTCCCCAGTTTTGAAAGAGAGAACAGCTTACCAGGAGATAGCCTCCAACCCAGCCGGTTACTACCATACTCATGGCGATAGCCACCCTGGCACTACCAAACACTTTGCTGATAGCAGTTGGCATGGTGGAGAAAAAAGCTCCATTGGCAGCACCATTGATGACGACAAAGGCAATGAGCGGTCCTAGTTCCGTAGAAGTTGGCCAAATTGCAAGCATTGTGATAGCAGTCAAGACCAACGACACAAGTACGGTATTAATCGAGCCGACTTTATCGGAAGCAAAGCCTGAGAGGATGCGACCGGCGGCGGAAGACAAGCTGAAGCCTGCAACCAAGCCGGCGCCAACGTTGGGCGAGAAGCCCAGTGATCTTGTATATAATGGAATAAAGAACGGCGGGACAAATAAAGGGAAAGTTCCAATCGCACTGCCGACGAAGATGAGCACAAATGTTGGGGATTTGAACAGCTTCCTAAACAGCTGTTAATAACTTGCGATTTCTTCCCCCAAAGGTACATGGTAATTCAAAAGGTTTCACAGCTTACCATTCAATAAACCCTCGCCTCTCAACAGGTATTCTCTCCTTCATCAACCATGCGGCTGGGAGACCTGTAGCAAGAGTCATGAGGCCAAGGATGCGGTACGCCCACGCAATGCCTAGTTTTTGGATTAAAGAATCTAAAGCAAAGCTGACTGCAGCGCCTCCAAACCCACTTCCAGCGAACATGAATCCATTGGCTAGGCCGCGTTTGGTATTAAAATATTGTGATGGAACTGTAGAGATGACCTGCATCGCGTTCAAGGTTAGCTTCAAGAGATTCCATGGCCAGTTCCCGGAACAATGCGTTATGTTGAAGTAGGATGAGGAGCAGTATGCGTGTATATCGTCAAAGTGGCGAATAATCGGAGAACACTTACGGCGAAACAAAGACTACACGTATGTGACACATGCGCGTTAATACTCTCTCTCAAGGCATTATCTTCTTCAAGTGTAAGGCTGAAGATTAAACGCAGTGCATCGCGTTCGTTTTTGCTCTCACCTGACTCCAATCCCCATCACTACCCCCGACGTGAAAAACAGTGCGCCAACGTTGTGGATCGTGAAGCTGCTCAGGATCTCGCTGCCGCCCATACACGCCGCGCCCAGCATTGCTGCTGCGCGGACTCCAGTTTTTCGCACCACCAAGGAGTTGACAATTGCCAGCGCCGAGATCAGCGCTGCCTGCAGCGATCCCACAAACGAGAGAACAGCCGGATCAGCCAAGCCATCAGCGACCAGGGCGGTCTGCATCACGCCCCAGGCATACGTCGTGCCGAGTGACCACCATAGCAGAACGAAGCCGCCGGCTACGATGACCCAGCCGTATCCGCCTTCAGGGGCCGTCGAATCGGCCTCGCGCGACGCCTCGAGGACGTGGTCGGTGACGGTAAATGCTTTGGAGACCTCGTTTTTCCTGCCATTGGAGTTGCGCAAGCTCCCTGTGTTGCTGGAAGCAGAGCTCGTGGCAAGCTCGATGGCGGTCGTGGTCGAAGCCATCATTACATGTGCCGTGAAGCAGCAGCGTTACCGGCGAGGCGAGGGACGCGAACGCGCTGTGGCCTGTCTCTTTTTCAAAAGCAGCGCCGACTTTCTCGTTGGAGTCCTTAGCAGGGAGAGTTTTCCATCTCTGCTAGGATTCTGGGAGGTTTTGCCAATATGCCAGTAAGTGAATAATAGCGGGGTGATTGTCGCTGGAAGGCGTTTTTTTTTTCAGTTCGCCGCGGCGCTGGAGGAGAATCAATTACTCGCGCGTATGCATACATACCAATCTGACAATACTCGGAAATTAGCTTAAGCACTGGCATGTTATGTATCCCTTTTCTTTTCCTTGTGGCTTCTTTATGAGGTTACTGGTAGTATCTTGCTTCAATTACATACCTTCAGCACCTTTCAATCTCACTCTGCTCGTTTCTCTTCGCGCAATGCCGCATGCCATTGTATGTATTTGCAACAGAAACATGCTGCATCACACAGACAACCGCAATCAGAGCCGTGATTTGGCGGGCTAGTAATAGACTACCATCCATATTGGTTGGGCTTGCTTGTTTGGCTTACATCAATAGTAAATATAGTGTACGCGGATGCTATCATTGTAGCCAATAAGCCCCGTTGGCGTGAATTAGCGGTTCAAGGCAGCAGCTTAACTGGCTCAATTCAACTTGGCCATTGGTGGCTGCTGTGTTTGGATTGAAAGCTGATAGAAGCAGATAGCCAGCGACAAAAACCACGGGTCTCCCAATGTTTTACATACAGCTGCTACCTGAACGAGCTTAATTGAAGTTTGTTTTTAATCAGAATGTCTTGAAACCTAGTTTCCCATTATTAGAGGGCTGAAGCAGCCGTTATCGTTTGCCTTGAGTCTAGACATGGAGCAACATGGAGCAGAGTTCGCTGATCTTTACCCGATACTCATATTTAGAGAATATGACTGCTCGTCATGTGTTCGCGTCATGAGCATCAATATTCAGGTGGGTAGATGTTACGCTGTAAGAAGTGCGTCACATCTCTTCTGGGACATGTGAACAGAGCAGGCATCATAAAGCCTAATGCTCGCCAAATTACTTGAGTTATTAATGCCGACGGGAATGAATATTGGACGTCAAAATGCATGCTTCAAGGCACAGGAACGTCATAGAATCCCATTCTACCCCCTCAAAGCTGCCCTGTTGTAACATTATGTTGGCTAATAGCGTCGCAAAGCGCTGGTGTTCTCGTACGACATCAATGACTGTGTGAGAGGGGACCATTCCAGGGGTCTCTCAGGAAATCATCCTGCGTGAAACGCGAAAGGACATAGCTACCTTTCGGACTCATCTATAAGTTCATGAAGAAATACCTATTGGTCCCGAGAATTCAATTTGGGGTAGCACTTCGTATGTTCTATATGCTTTCAATATATTATTGCCATAATATCAATGCGCGCATAGTTGCTCACGAACACGGCCATGTCCTGAGAGTGAAACATTGGATAATGGCCGACTAGCCAAGTGTAACCCCGGCATCGAGCAGCTTGGCATTAATTTCAACGAGCTGCCGGGCGGGGACAGCGGAGCATATTCAAGCAATACTAGCACATCCTATCTTGCTCCACTTTCCCCAGACGAATCTGTCTTGCTCGCAGTTCTAGATCTAGGTATACTCTCAGACAGCCGTTTCCAGCGGCAATGACCTGGTTGAATGCGGCATAGGCCACGAGATGATTTACATGCCGTGTCGTCTTCACAATAGGACAAAGAAGCCGACGATCCCGCCATGTTCCACAAATAAATACTAAAACAGGTGCCATATGTGCTAGTCGCTGTCCGTTTATAGCTGTACGCATCCAAATATCGTGTCGTTCATATCCCGAAGCGATGGAAGGCCGAACATGGGGTAGCCCGCCCCGAGAAGAACTAAGCTCGCCTTTAGGATTCTTATACGGAGTACCACTAGCACTACCTTGTAGGGCATGCATGCAAGCGGTCATGAGGAGGCAGCAATACCCGGTCAGTAGATAGACTACCATCTCCGTAGTGCCGGCAACTGTCGAATGTTTCGCAGCACGCACTTCTTAAGACGTCATTTCAGCACTTGATTGGATCGGCAAGCAAAGTGACCAACAATTTGGCGCAGGGAGGCATGAGGCGGATCCACACCCATCTTGAGAGCGGGGAGTCAAAAGGTGTTGGTGTAGCGTTTTTTGCCCTCTTAGCAAGGGCTTGTGCAAAATGATTCGCCGCTGGTTCGCCCTTGGAAGGTCAATCACGCTGAATTTAGCCATGCTCTAATAATACTTGCTTTGTCTTAGATGGTCATTTAATGTGGACGCGGTCATGTTTGCATGGGTGTAGACTCATTCACACGAGATGAAAGAGAGAGGGGTAAATGAGATTTGACGCAAGGAAACACACCCATTGCAACGTGTGTATCGTGAGGCAACAGCATTGGCGTCGGCCCTTAGTGCTTTGCGGCGGAGAATACCCGCCGCCATTTTGGAGGCTCATATGGACTGGAGTTAGTAGGCATAAGTACATATAAAAGCAGATTGCTATCGCAGGAAATGTCTTCAACCTTCAGAGGACGAGTGAAGATATACTGCGGCGAGTTGTCAGATCAGAAGCAGATAGCAGCGCAGGTATCTGACATACGCCCAAATCTCCTCGCTCTATTCAGAATTTGATAAAAATCAGCTACTCGTTACCCTTGTTTATATCATGGTACATATTTCGAATTTCATTCTAGCGGCATTGCCTGCTGTCTTTGCCCTCTCTTCAGCATCCCAGCATGACCTTGAAGGTAGAAGTGCAGATGTGGCTCAGACTGAGGCCCACTGGGCAAACCAAGCATCAGCCCAAGGCCGTCATTTTTGTTACATAAAACCAGATGCCAACGGAGGCGATGATGCTCCAGCTATTATGGATGCTCTCAATAACAAGTGCAACTCTAAGAGCCTCGTCATATTCCCAGGCCCTGTCTATAATATACAGACAAATATGACAACTCTGGATCTTCAAGATGTTATCATCTATCAATTTGGCCGCATGCTCTGGAGTACCGATATCAACTACTGGCTTTCGGTATCTATGCCGGTTGGCTTCCAAAACCAGAGTACGGTTTGGTACTTTGGAGGCCACAACGTGGTTTGGGATGGCTGGGGTGTCGGTACCCTCGATGGCAACGGCCAAGTATGGTATGACTGGGCAAAGAGCCAAGGAAACCTGGCCCATAGACCTATGAACATCAACTTCCGCACCCTCACAAACTCTGTCATACGAAGGCTACGCTTTGTTCAGAGCCAGATGTGGACAATGGCCATCACTTACTCCCAACACGTGGATCTGGATGATATCTACGTGAACAGTACCTCGTCGAGCCAATGGAGCACCCTGAATACCGATGGCTGCGATACCATCTATTCGGATAGCATAACTTTCAGAAGGTGGTTCATTTCCAATGGTGACGATGCCATTGCACTGAAGATGAATTCCAGCAATATCGCTGTCTATGATAGCTATTTTGAGAATGGGCAAGGTATTGCCATAGGCTCCATGGGCCAATACAATGGCGAATATGAACACCTGGAGAATTTTTATGCCCGAAACATCACTCTCAAGAATACTGCTCACGTCTCCTATCTGAAAACATGGGCTGGTATCTCGAGAGGTTATCCTCCCAATGGCGGCGGTGGTGGACTTGGTGTGGCGCGAAACATCACGATTGAAGATGTGAAGCTGATTGGCGGACGACAACAGCCATTGTTCGCATGGCAATGTGAAAACTATTCTGGATACGCTGGGCAGGACTGTGATTCTTCGTTATTCAAGATAGAGGATATTACATGGAGAAATATCCAAGGAACTGTGGGACCTGGTGTGACGGAAGCAGTGTATCTCCAATGCAGCTCGGCTGCTGGAGGCTGCGATAACATCGAGGTGACAGACTTTAACGTGACCGTCGCGAGCAATGGTAAACCGCTGGTTGTTTGGGACTGCTTCAACGTCAATGATCCCATAGGATTCACATGCACAGAATCACAAGCCCAGAAAATGAGTGCTGATGAGACTGGTGGACATGGCACCAATAACTAATAGACTACGGGTCGTTCAAATGTTGATATTCAAGGCTATTGGAGATCTTGATTATCGCCTGCGGCGTTGATGCCTGTATATTTAAATCCAGTATATAGGTAATGATAGCCATTTAATCTTACGCTGTAATTTTGTTTTCCCCTCTATGACATTAGAACATTAAAATGATACTACCGCGTTATGAAGTAGAGATGTCGGTTATTCCCGAGTCAATGCATCTATAACCGATTTCCCATATTGACATGCACAGCTTTGGTCTGAGAATACGCTTCCAGGCCCGCCTCTCCAAGCTCTCTGCCGATACCACTCTGCTTAACACCTCCAAAGGGTATTCGCGGATCGCAATCTTGGCTGCTGTTGACCCAAACCATCCCAGATTCGATCTCAGCTGACACACGATGAGCCCTTTCCAGGTCCTTGGTAAAGACGGCAGCTCCTAGGCCATAGATTGAGTCATTGGCCAGTTCTATCGCTTCTTCTTCCGTCTTGAATCGTAGGATAACAACGACGGGACCAAAGATTTCTTCCTGGTAAATGCGCATCGAAGTATTTACTTCGGTGAAGACGGTGGGGGAGATGAAATAGCCCTTGCCTTTGTCTCCAATTGAGAGAGCATGGCCTCCGGCAGCGATCTTGGCACCTTCGTTTTTTCCAATCTCGATATACCCCAGTACTCTATCGTACTGGGCTTTGGATACCTGTGGGCCCTGGTATGTGTCTTCCGCCCACTGGTGGCCTACTTTGCTCGTCGTGCTTACAGTCTCAAGGAATCTCTTGACAAAGTCGTCATACACCTCATCTTGGACCAAGATTCGGGACGTAGCAGTGCAAATTTGTCCTTGATTAGACATGATTCCCAAGTGAGACCATTTGGCGGCCTGGTCCATATCAGCGTCTTTGAACACCAAAAGAGGCGATTTTCCTCCTGATTCGAGAGTGATATTCTTCAACGTCTTGGCCGCAGTTGCCATAATGCTTGAGGCCGTGGCCGTTGAGCCCGTAAAGGCAATTTTATCGACTAAAGGATGGTTTACCAGAGCAGAGCCAGCGTCTTTGCCCAGCCCATTGATGAAGTTTACAACTCCAGGCGGGAAACCTGCCTCCTTTATAAGCTCTCCAAGAACGAGGATACTCAACGGCGTCTGCTCCGCAGCTTTGAGCACCACGGTGTTGCCGCAAGCAAGGGCAGGCCCCAGCTTCCAGGTAGCCATTGATAGGGGATAATTCCATGGGATGATCTGACCAACAACTCCAATCGGCTGGCGGAGAGTGTACGCGAATTTTTGATGCGTTGTGCTGATTACTTGTCCAAAGTATTTATCACAGAAGCCAGCATAATACCGTATCACAGCTACAGCTTCGACAAGGTCTACCTCCAATGCTTCGCGATAGCTTTTTCCTTGAATGTATGTAAGCATTGACTGCTTATTATGGAGGTATCAGTAGAACTCACCATTATCCCACGCTTCAATTGTTGCAAAGAGTTCCTTCTTTGCCTCCATTAGATCAGCGAGGCGCCACATCAACTGGCCTCGTTCAGAGCCTGAAAGCAGTTTCCAGTCTGGCGCTTTCAGAGCCGTCTTTGCGGCCTTTACAGCTTTGTCTACATCTTCGGCACTGGCAGCATGAACACTAACAATAACTTCTTCGGTACTGTTGCAGTCAAGTTAGCCGACCAACAGTCTAGCATCGGCTGCTGGGTGATGCTCAAGGCTGCTTACGCTGGGTCAATAGACGCGATTGTCTCGCCGGTGGATGACGCGACAAACTCGTTATTAATAAACAGCCCAACAGGCTGGCTCCATTTAACACCGTTTGGTGCAGCGAGGTCAACTGAGGGCACAGTCATGATTTGGCTTGATGGGTTTTGTGACGCGTATGTGAGACTGGCAGTAGATTCTGTTTCAGGAGATGGAATGAATGGTAAAAGTCATATATAGACAAACGGTTACCGCAAATATATGCTGGTATATCTAGCAGATCGGACTCCGCGGCGAGCAGTGGCATTTACAAAGCTTCCAAGATTCTCGTGAAGATACTTCCCTGCATAAATTACCGCCGCTGTTGACGCCGGTGTGGGGGTTTCATGACAAGCGGGGTAATGCCACCAATCTTCATTGTTCGTTGCGCTTTCGGCCGCTAGGCTCTGGCAAGCTCATTGCTGTATTTGGGCAATAACTAGCAACAGGACGGAGGAACAGAGCAGTGTATTAGCAGCGTGCATCCGCAAAATTCCGCATGCACCGCCATGACAGGCGGATATGGAGTAAACATGTAATACTCTGCATCAACCCTAAAATAATTGGCTAGAAAAGAAAGTCCGTGAAGGAGGTAGGATTCTATGGCTTCAAGGATCAGGTTGGGTTGCTACACTGCGACCTCAGCAGCGTCTTTGTCTCGCTGAATTGATAAGAATTCTGTTTCAAAGTCAATTTCCATTACCGGTATGACCTTCGACTTGAAGCATATTTTGAAGGAAACGTATATAGCTTTAATGGCCTGTTAGCATATCAAGTAATGGGCGAGGCATGAAAGAAGTGCTGGATAGAGCTGGGACGTACCGATAAATATGGCAATATTAAGGTAGCAGGTCAAAAACCCCGCGGCAGTGAAGCGACCTTTGACAAATACGTCGAACCCTACTCATGTGTGAGATTAAAGTATCATCGGTATGCATTCTACGAGCCAAGCAACATACCTGAAAAAATAATGACGAGGCTTACCACCAACAGGGTCGCCCATGAAACGTATGGCTGCAGTGGACTTTTGTAGGGAAGCGCTGCGGGTCTCATTAGCTGGATTGGACTTTGCATTGGTCTGGCTGGCCTTACCATCTCTCGAATAACCCTGCCTTTTAAGTCCTGCGTAGAATCGAAGATATGTAGCTTCAATTACCACCCAGCCTATCAACCCAGAAACCGTCGTAATGTTGACGAACCAGCCAAACACCACCGACGTGTTGTTAGCAACGTTCAAGTATACGAGTGGTAGCAAGAGGCAGGTCAGTCCAATCGCATAATAAGGTGATCCGAAGCGGTTGCATCGTTGAAAGACATGAGGTGCATGTCCATCACAGCTCAAACCATACAGAGTTCGCGACGCGATAAAGATGCAAGCTGAGCCACTGCTAATGGCAGAAGTGCATACAACTGCATTGATAATAGACGGCACGACTTTAACACCGGATCGTTGAAACGCAATGACAAAGGGAGACTGCTGAGCAGTGCCGGTGGAAATAGCGAGAGAGGGGTCATTGTATGGGCTATTTGGCAACATAGATGAGTACTTATGTAATTTAGTTTGACATTCGGTTAAAAGACTTACACGATGAGGCCAACAATGAAGATGCTAAGAACATAAAAGAGCAGGACTCGATAAAATGTCTTTTTGGTAGCTGCCGGGATGGCTTTTCTTGGCGTCCGAGTCTCTGAACCTGAGATTGCAACTACCTGTATATTGCCATAGCTGAACGCAGCCGTAAGCATTACTTTCCAAAAGGCTAGAAAATGCCCTGTTGCCCCCGTTTTAATGTAGTCGTTGAAGGCCCCGGGATGGTTCCAGTAACGGAATCCCAAACGGTCGTGATTTGGTCCGCCTCCCAGATCGATAACCAGACCACCAATAATCAGGCCGAGGATCAACATAATCTTTAAGGATGCGAAGACGACTTCAGACTTTGTTTTTATTGTTAACGCGAAACAGTCATTTATAAAGCTGTGCAATTGAATTCTTACCTCGCCATATAGACGTACGCCACAAAGGTTGAGAGCAACGATGACAACCAAAAAGATGGTAATCCAAGCCCCCGGATTAATCGACTGATTCCAGAACTGTATCACTGTAGCAGCTGCGCTAATTTCTGCAGGAACAGTTATAGCCATAGTGTACCCTACCAGTTGCCTGTAAGCGGAAAATTCTATGCATTAACCCCTGGAGAATGTAGAGATGGCTCACAGAAATTCCATCCTGTAGCCGCACCGAGCGCTGGCTCCACGAATTTTGTTGCATGCCGAATGAACCCACCGGTTCCGGGCATAAATGCAGTAATCTCGCCCGTTGTATACGAAACTCCAGCCGTGACAAGTCCCATCACAATGTATGCCAACAGCGCCCCAGCCGGCCCCGCAGTTGCAATTGCTTGCCCTGAGCTGAGAAAGAGACCTGTGCCCTATTTAACGCGGCGGAACGCGATCAGTATCCAATACTATGCAAGTTTAAGATATGAATATGTAGACTTACAATCATCCCTGCGATGGCAATCATATTAATATGACGAGAGCTAAGGTCTCGTTTGAGGCCGCTTGTCTCGATGACAGTTGTTGAAACATCTTCATTGCGAGGCGTCTCTTCATCGACGGCGCGTTCCAAATGTTTCTCCATGTTCACTGACTTGCGGAATGACCAGTTGAAATCCTCTGAGAATACAGTACAATGGAATTGTACTAGGGTGCCTCTGCAGTTTTCGCTACGCCTTTGCAAGTTCTCCTACCGGTGACTTGGACAACACGCGGTATTGGTAGCTATGCATGAAGCGTTAAGATCCTTTGCGTGCTGAGAATGGGGAAAACAGCTGTAAGCACAAAGACGTGGCCGGGAAATATGATAATGACCCCTGGAAGGATGTCTGCTGATATTTTAGGGGTGACATTCCTGTGTGATATGCTCAGTTGATATAGCCACCGTCAATAGGCACAGATGTTATCGCTACTTCCCCGAGTTCTCCGCACAATCGCTATCTTAACCTTCAAGTTACTAGAATAAAGTCTACAAAGGACATACATTTGTTTGGAAATCAATCTGGCAACTCGCTGTCATATCCACTAGCCTCTATCGGCCGGTGATGTCTATTAAATGCCGTTACCGGTATTCATCGCGTAGCTTTAATTGCCGGTATGCTTAGTCCGCGTCGATCTCCACACACCCGATACCTACATCGGAGAGATAGACTGTAAGCGTACTGACCGAGCCGACAGCTTGTCGCAATATAACTACACCATCCACAAATTCCATTGCGTGGTTCTCAAATAAATCAGCATTCAAAAATGTCCAAGAATACAGTTCACGACGACTCATTCCAGCTCTATGATCTCCGAATCGAAGTCATATGCCCTCCAGGGAAGCGCATAATGTGCGGGGCAAAAGAAGGAGACTACTTTACCCTACAAGGAGAAATGATCTATTTGCCACCCAACCAGGGAATAAGTATATATTCTTTAGGTAAATAGACGACATACCGTTCTGTTCAATTTTGGCTATTTCTTTATATCCACAAGTCTGATAGTAAATAGCAGCTGTTATGCCCCTCCTTCCAGCGAAGCAAAGAGTCACGTCTCCCAATGACTGGATGACGACCGACGCCTTAATAGCTTGTCCAGATCCGAATTGTCCGTCTCAATTGAAAATTATCAGAGAGGGCATTAGGAATTTCAGTCATTCTGAAACAACTATAGTTCCATTGCATCATAAATAGAGCAGAAGATTAAAGCTAGAAAGCAATATGGTCGAAAAGGTCCTGATGTAGAACTTTGCCAATATATGGGTTCTTATTTCGCGAACAAGGAATGTTTACGCTAATATTGCATTATTTTGAGTGTTAAAAGCAGTACTTGACATTATATCTGCCCATGCGCAGTCGTCTGTAAAAAAGGGGTCAAGGTCAGCAGGATGGAATATAAATACGTCGGGGTTGGGTTGTTCAAGGGACTGCGGCACGAATTGGCTGGTTTCTAGAGGCAGAAAAGAAAACCTGGTTGAATCCAGCTCATTGTGATTAGTGCTTGCATGGTTATCCATGTTTGGAAGATTTGGTAGCGCTGGAGCATCATTCCTCCTCCGCTGGGAAAGCTTGGTGGCGATATTATTAAGAAATCTTGCTTGTAGCTCGCAGCTTGTCCCAGAAGTTGCCCCGCCTTGGGAAAATGCTTGAGCAGCAGCACGAATAGTATCTACCACGGTGGATTCTATATCCTGGACAATTATATCGGGAGCAGATAAGAGAAGCTGAGCGTAGGAGTGTAAGAAAGATCATTAATTAGTGGAGGAAGGCCTGAGAGCTGAGCAATGGTGACAGCACACATACCTTGACGAGGAAAGCCGCACTATAAGCAGTCATGACATGAATCGAATCTTGAGCGAAATATAACAATGATGGATGGCGCGATGTCAACTTCAACATATCCATGGCGCCTGTGAATGCGGCCCAAATGATGTCCAAATGGAGCGATGAATCTGAATACTCTGACGACAATACGTCTTGCAATGGCAAAGAGAAGAGCTGCAATCGAAAATGCGTCCCATAAAAACGGATTAAGAATTCATGGCAATTCTCCTCTTCTGACGATTGCTTTTGTTCGACATTTTGAATCCAATGACGCTCCCATCTCTCGATGCTAGCTTTTTTAATGGAAAGCAGAGGTTCTAAATTCTCTGATGGTATCTTTTCACCCCGTCGAGAATTGGTAGCGTGCAAAGAAAATATTGATGAGACCATTAGCCTTAATGTAACAAATGCACCGAGCAAATCATCGTTTCGGTCGGCTATTGGATCGCGGCACCAGGCCTCGATTGACTCTATAAACGGACTGCGCTCAATCATCCAGGGCCGTCCTGTCTGAAGGCTGATACTGTACTTGCGTCAATACTGATTATACAGTGAGGGTGGCTATGACAACATACCTTCGATCGTACACAAATAAGACTAACCATGTTCTTTCGACGTTACGAACTTCTCGTCGCCTTGTCTCATCCACATTAGTCCGGCTGGCTGCTGAATATGCTGTTAACTTATGCCATCCCATATCCATGCACATACGAATTGCATATCCAAGCGAAGTCCAAGCTCGTGTGTCCTGCGGCTGCTTCCAATAGGTGAGAATGAGAATGGCTTGAACAATCTCGGTCGACTTGGTACCGTTCCTAAAGCTTTCGGTATAGAGGTCCTGCGCATGGTCATATAATGCATTATACACGATGGGGTTGAATGTCTTTGCAGACATAGCAAGAACTGCTGTGAAAAGAAACGATGATTTGCGAACGTAGTCGAAAGTGTGTAAATGAGGATCAAGCTGGCTGATGTATGGATTCAGAAGAGTTATGAAGCTGCACATATAAATTAGTTTCTCAAAACCTGGCACTATAAAAAGCTATCTCACCGACTTTTCGAAAAGAGATTTGGCCATAGAGAGATTCAATATGCTCAGTTCTATTGGATCTTCCAGGCGAGCTGGCAGAGGCTTTTCGGGCGGCTCCAGCGCATCGCCATCCGTGGTGCTTAATATGCGTCGCAGCGAAAATTTGCCTCTCATTGCTTCTTGGTTGAGTACACCTGATGGCTGCAAATTACCAGGATCTCCAGCTGATCCGCTCGCTGCGACGGATGGAGTGCCTCTGCTGTAGTCCGGCGTCTTCTTGGCGGCCGCATCTGTTGAAGGCAACTCAATGGCTTTCCGCTTAGAGATTCTATCTCGTTAACTGAATAGTACTTGGTACAATGGCCATGTGTCACTTACTTCGTTCCAGGCTTTCGACCTCTGCGATGTTGCTGGAACACGCAATCAAGGGACTTCCGCGCGCAACGTTCGCATTTAGAAGCCGGCTGGCTGCTCAGCCGGCATTTCATCTTTACCTTCCGACATGGGAGACAGGCATTCATGGTGAGAGTGGTGTACAAACGCGTGTATCCTCCTTATACGTGACGACCCAAAATGTCGGTGGTAGCGGAGTAATCAACTCAGCCGGGAACACAATACGGGGTATAGCAAAGACGTGAGAGGGATACAGATCGAAAGATCCGTGGAGTCAGTGGGTCTTGCGCAGGTAGCTGGTCTGTTATGCGCATACCTCAATGTGCTGTTGATTGTTTATGCTAGCAGCCCTACATACTAAGTAGGTAGTGCTCGCAACATGCCATGTACTAGAGTAAAGTTGTGAAAGATGCCGAGACGATACCGCAGGTAATACGTACGACTCCTCCTTGGCTACTGCCAAGGTAGTAGGTAGCCTAGGTACTATTATTAGCATTATTAGCTATACCCAGATAATGACAGACCCGTATTGATGACATGCCTAAACTAGTTTAGATGTAAGCCAAGCTGAGACTGGCCGGTGATTTATGGAGGACTTTTGAGATACCGGTGGTCTTCGAGCTTCAATAGCCGAATATTTCCCATAATAAGTTGGTAACATAAAGCAAACAAAGCCAGTGTCCATTTCTTTCTTGATCGGAGACAGCGAGTAATCTTGTTCAGGTGTATATATTTTTCTTATCAAATCTGAACTGTCAATTCAATGCTTCTGTCAATTTCAGACCATTCGGACATGGTAATCTCTCAAAATGGCGGCGGGGTTAGCACGGCCCATGTCAACATGATGACAGACACCATCATCGCTAACCTCCCCGCTGACGGTCTTCGCGTGGTCGTTAGGTCACTTCTCGTCCTATTTCCGGAAGTTACGCGCGCATTTGAACATGAGACGAAAAAATACATCACCCAGAGAGTTGCGTCTTCATTAATACCAGAAGATGCAACTCCTAGTCTCGTGGACCTTGGACAGACGCAGCAGATTGCCCGCAGTATGCTGGGCTGCGGACTTTCCTTCGAAAGCCTTCAGGTGTTCCAAAATTTGGTCAATCGAGGAACCACTGTCTTGTTAAGGACGAACAACAACGATCTCTTTAATGTGCAAACATTTCTTACCAGTGTGGACGGTGATATCGTACAAGCCATGACCGCTGTTCAGAAATCTCTCTTTGTAGACACTGGCGCCCGAGCGATGAATGATGGAGAGCATAACATGGTGAAGGATCTCTATCAGTCATTTATGGACTGCTATGACACGATAAAGATGAAAATACAAGATTTCCCCTTTGAAAGAAGCCTAGTCTCAACGGCTGGGATTCTCGGCTTATCCCGACCTGCTCTTCCAGGTGCGAACCAGGATCTTTGCAATCAAATTGCTATAGCAGAACCTCCTCCACAGGCCCGAGAAACATTTCAGTTGAATAGACGCATAGTGCCTCGAATATTTTCAGGACTTTGGCAAATGTCGAGTCCTGCTTGGGGCGCTGCATCCACGGTTAAGATCGTAGAACAGTTCTCAAAACATGTACAACAAGGCTTTACGGCATTCGACATGGCTGATCACTATGGAGATGCTGAAATTGTATTTGTATGTAGTATAGCCATTCATTTTCGTCCTTCACTCTGCTCATACAAGTTACAGGGCCGCTTTTCATCTCTGTATCCTCATAAAGACGCAATATTCACAGCAACGAAATACTGCGTTTTCCATCCAATGGCTGTATCTCGCGAAGCCGTGCAAGCAAATGTCAGTGAGAGATGCCGACGGTTACAAACAGAGAAGATTGATCTACTGCAATTCCACTGGCAGTTTGTATGTACTTGATGGGACCTGAAGCTATGCCTTCTGAGCTAACTTGTTTTTAGTATGAAAACGCTGACTACCTAAAGGCTCTCCAATTCTTAACTGAAGATAGTAGGGTCGAAATAGTTGGTCTATGCAATTTCGATACAGAGCATCTTCTTAAGGTAGTTGAGAGTGGCGTCAGAATACACACCAACCAGGTTCAGGTTCGATATCGTTATTCTGATTACTTAAAAACACAATCACTAACCTGTAACAAGTTTTCTCTTATTGACTCGCGACCTGTCTTCGGAATGGGGAGCGCTTGTGAGAAACACAATATCAAGCTCTTGACATATGGTACACTGGTGAGATTTTAGCCTAAAATAACCCCCATGGATAATAAAAAATATCTTTTCTAACTGCTGGGTGAAGTGTGGTGGTTTTCTCGCCGATAAATGGCTCGGAAAGGCGGAGCCAGATATATATGACGGATCGATCACACCTAGCCAGAGAAAAGTGAAGCGATAATCCAAAAATGCTCTTCTGTTGACTTTTATAACTAACGCTGCTTTTAGTATTTCGAGATGATTCGCAGTTGGGGCGGCTGGCGTCTTTTCCAAGAGCTTCTTACTGCATTGAGAATCGTTGCTACAAAGCATCAGGTCGACATATCCAATGTCGCGACACGCTGGGTATTAGATTTTCCCTACGTAGGCGCGGTTATCGTCGGTGCACGCATGGGCATTAGCGAACATACAGACGAAAATTTGCGAAGCTTTGGATGGTATCTTGATTCCTCAGACCATGATATGCTGGAAGCTATTCTAAAGAGAAGTAGAAGGTTGGATATTTATAAGAGTATAGGTGATTGCGGAACGGAATATCGATGAGATTTGCTCTCGCAGATGAATTAGAGAGCGATAAAGTATTAAAGTAAACAGATTAAGTAACACCCTATCCACAGACTTAATCACTAAGCATCTTTTTCTCAAGTCTACTAGTAAGTTGTTTGTGTTAGAGTAGGAGATGAATTAATACAATAATTATGCCTAGCGATGGGTAACTTGTAAAGCAGTTTTCGTCCGTAATCAATTTACCAACCCTCGTCAAGAACGGTCAAGGCTGCGTAACCACCAGTCTTGACCACTTCAGTATCCACCACCATGATGGCGATGACCTGCGTGGAGGAAGTTTGAAGATTGTTCTCTCCCACAGTATGATGACACCCAGGCAACTCGATGAATATCTCTCCAGGCTTGTATACCTTCGGTGGGTTGTCATTCATGCCACTCAAAAGCTCGCCGGCCATGACGTAGGCAACTACGGTCGCTCCGCCGTGTCGATGTGGGGGAGTAAATCCGTTTGGGGGATAATCTAAATGAAGTCCGATAATCGATTTTCCAGGTGCATTAGTTAACTCATGATCAAAGAGAACCTCGATGTCCTCCCGTGTCGATCTCTAACAAGACGCTTTCAGTGACGAACCGATACATGTGACACAATATTAGACTTACGTTTTTTTCGTGGTGGAAGACATTGTACTGCTTCAGAGAGTGTGTTTGAAAATAGAAGAGATGTAGTCTGCGCTTGAGTCGAGGCTGTTGTGATCGTTGGTGGTGAACTTGTATTTGTCCTTGTCCTAAGAAATGGGCCTAAGCTTTTGAGATTGGGTTACAGGTTTATATAGATATTCATCTACTGCGACCTTTTTCTCATGTATAGGTTATTCGGGAGCGTAGCCAATGTATTAATCTTGCAATTAATCGATTCCCTTCAACTCAGCCAAAGATATGGCCACCCGAACTTACTATTCGGGTCGGGTCAAATAGTATAGCTCCACATTCGGGTCAATTGCGTCTCTCCGGTTCGCACCCGAGCTGAGAGCAAGTCACCGCTGACGCTTAGAAAAATTATTTCCGTGGCCCGACAAGATCTCTCTAGTCCGTATGCCTTACAGTGGCTCGTTGTTCTCACGCAATAAGATGGCTTGGTGGGCAAGGCATACTTCTCTCACTCAGGGCATGTCCACACCAGCCATGGATAAATGGATTTATTCAGTTTTAATTGCATGGTAGGACAAGGTTTGATAGCACCCCTTATTTCTTGTTTTTACATGTAACATACAAGCAGTAAGACTGTTACCATACCGCCTTGTCAGCTTTGTTATCATGGTCATTCTGATATAAGGCCCGTAGTAGATGCATTGGCCCGAGTATGCTTTACACGTCTTCTATTGCCGCGCCCTAATTTTTGCCGATATCTAAAACCTCTGCATCTTCGAATATTTCGCCAATATGGGATGCACCTTCAATGTTCGTCATAGCTTGTAGAGTAGAAATGTCCAATTGTCCAGAGGCATCATGACGCTCAAGAACCACCCGCGCCATCAATTTGATCTCATCTGACCAGCGCCGCGCCTGTGGCCATATTGTCATAAACGCTTTGAGTATGCCTAGAAATACGCGGACTCGATCTCTCGCATGTATCAGCTCAGAGCCCGTCAAAAAATGCTCATAAGCGGAAAGAAGAGTGGCCATCGCCAAAGATCCCATGCACATCACAAATGGGCTGTGTGTTAAAGGAGAAGAGGAGGCAGTCAGCAAGTCAACAAAGTTTTTCGCAGCGGCAATTGCCTTGTGCGTGTGCCTGTCGCCATGCTGTGTTTCAGTGGTCCAAATTTCGCCGGGAAGCGGCGGTGCGTATTTCGAGCATAAAAGCTCCATCGCGGTGTAGTGTAACATAGATCTTGGCCTATGTAAGTGAGTAGATGTGCTTTAGTCAATGGTCGTTAGTTTATTTCCAAACTACATATTCAACAGGATATTTCTCACGTATTCATCACCATATGTGCTTTGAACATAATCTCATCAATAGTTCCATCTCTTTGGACGGGATCGCGTTTCGTCTGCGGCAGATACAAATTCCAGCTCATGAGATTTGCTTCTGCGTTCTTAACCAGAGAGTAAGGCGATTCATTGGCAATATCACCAGCAGCCAGCGTCGTTCCAAGTATCCGAGTTGCGTCTATGAGATATGCAAAAGAGGAAAAGCTTTCGTCGTTTAAGCCACGGTCATCATATTCGCGCATCGTTTGCGGGAATGGGATCCTCTGGAACAAAATTAGCAAATAACATACTGACTTTATGAACCAAGTATAGAGTGACTCACTCCTGCAATATACAGCTCTTCTTCGCAAGGAATGTCGACATCATTGTCTATTCCCCAGAGTGTGAATGTAGGCAGGTGGCGGATCCCAGCAAACATTGCATCCACGACAAAGAGTTCCCACCAAGTCCGTCGCCAGCTTTCTTCTAATACTGTTTCTCCACGTCCGTGGCGAGAAGCAAAGTCTCGGTGTTGCATTCCTATTTCTAGTCCCATTTTCTTCGCCCTTTCAAGTACTGCTGCTGCTCTCTCATTTTCGCCAGTCCATTCCAGAGTGAGAGAAAGAAGTAGGAGAGCCTGGACAGTGAAGCCATTAGGTGAAAGAGCAAGATCAAAAGACTCTTCAGCCTGCGTTTTATATTCGCTTGACTGTGGATCATGAATATATAGCGAGCCGATGAATGTGATCATGAGAAACAACTGGCCGCTGAAATTTGGATTGCTCTCGAATTGTTGTTTCAAGTTCACTCTAGGAAGGATAAAAGGGTGGCTAGGGAAAAAAAATTTGTAAAATCCATCAATCGGCCGACTTATGAGAACGTCATTATCCGCAAATACAGTAGGGTGCAGAGCGCTATTTGATGCAGCAGAGATAGATTGAGGGCTGGATGGAGTGCTGGATTGATTGGGCGTTAATGAAGGCCCGTTAGGAGTCGGATTTGGTTGACCAGCTTGCGCCATGCTCTCGACCATGTCTGTAATTTCATTAGTTTTACTGGCGAGTATTGAATTCTGGACTCCAGTACGCCTTCTGCGGGTCTCTCGCAGATCCGTGTAGATGCATGGTTTGTTCAAGCTGTGGCATCGCGAACAAATCGGTATGGCAGCATCGCACCGGAGATGCTGGCCGCGGCATGTGGTACAAGCGATCGCAACTCGCGCCTTGATCCTTTTCCCACTTGGCTTCCGTGTAGGTGTCTTGGATTCCATCTTGGCTGCGATGAGAGAGACAGTTTGTGCCGTCCGTCGTCATCTGAAATTTAGGGATTCGGCCACAGTGCGAGCAGCCGCAAGCTCCACCTAGTCTCGTCGCTAGAGCATGATTCGAACTGTTGTAGCTCACCAAAGGCGATTTTTCTTTTCTTTTCTATTTTTTTTTTTTTTTTTTTTAAATAGTAAAGACTTTTGGATGGATGTTAAGGCTGTATATACATCTCTATCCATTTCTATATTGTGATAATGAATGCAAAGAGAAAGTCGCGTAGAAAGTAAGTGCTTTTAAAGAAAGAGATTGGCTTTAATATAGTAATTACTTTTTTTCTTTTCTTTTCTTTTCTTTTCTTTTCTTTTTTTTAATAATCCAAGACCTATTTGACTAATTGCTTAAATGTAGTTACTGATGCGCGGATCGCTTCATCAACATGTATCCTCCTGATTCCAGGGCATGGGCCAAGGCAAATTGCTTTATCTGCTAACCCCCGTATTAGCTTATCCAGATCAACAGTTATCTTAAGGTCTTGTTCTTCTTCTTGGCCAGTTGCCGCCTTGCTTGTAGGAAAACCCGTCTCTGGTAACATCTCCGATACTGCGAAATTACTTAGCCCTGTAGGTATAATTTGATTCTCCCCAAAAGTCCTCCCAAATATTGTCCAGTCATGTCCTGGGAGTGCCACACGCTTTGCTAATCTTGATTCGTTATTCCTTGGCGCTGATAGCCTAATCACGTCACCGGGCGAATCCATACGGACAAATATCCCTCGCTGCTCGAGATATTCCTCAACATCCGGCGCCTCCAACCATTCTCCTTGGAAGTCAGAATTGGTTGTATGAAGCATTGTTCTTGTCATTCCAAATTGCAGGCGCTCTAAATTTGGTGGTGGTGACCTTGGTTGGAGAGTGCTCAAATCCCCCTCGACAAGGCGCATTATCTTGGGCAGATATGCATTTCGGCCGTCGCGATAGCGACAGTCTGCAAGAAAAGCCTTAGGACCGCCAGAGAGCCGCTCAGAGACACTTTCTAATAGATTCTCCGCTCGATCAAACCTTAACGGAAGAAGCATCGTCGGAGTAAGTGCTAAGATATGGAGATTTCCAAACTGCAATAAATCCATGGTTCTTGTCAAACAGGCTAGTAGCAATCGTTGTGAGACCGGAGCTGGATTGCTACTAGCTAAAGGTTCATAATGTTTCGAGTACTGGTCTGCTCCAGCTAAATCCTTTCCAGATGCATTGAGCCAGTCAGCTATTACACCTGACGGATCGCGGTCGGAGCTAGCATCTCCATTTGAAACTGTTGTACCCTCTTCAGGAAGCTGGGTTTGGTCGCTGTCTGAGATGCCTTGTTCTGTGCGAGCCTTCCTTGCTATAGACACAATATTCATGGCTGTTTTATTGACATCCATGATAAGCTCGTGCGGTAATTCGCTTTTCTTTTTAGATACATGTTCATAAAATCGTATAAACTCGTTAATGGAGCTATCCAAGGCCTTTTCGAAAACTTCAGCTCGAGTCTTGGCCAAGACAAGTGCGTTCTGTTTCCGATTGCGGTATGACCTCTGTGCCAATCTCATTCGAGCTCTCCTCTAAAATACGACTGATTAATTTGAATTAGGCCCAAACGGAAGGTGGACTCACAGCTTCATCGTTTACGTCTCCGTGAGCAGTCTCGCTCATTCGCGGACGACCAGGCCGACGAGGCATCGCAGCACCGGCTTGGGGATTCATAGTTGCTCACGCTGCTTCACTGCGAATCAGACCAATGGATAGCTGATTCTTCGGGTAGTGAGACAAAGGATTTGTCTATCTATAATAGACGGGCTGTCTCCTACGACGTTTGAGCTTGTAGGGGCCAAGGCCGCTGACAAATAGTGCCGTGTCCCACTGACGTAAGCTATGTCCGCGAAATCAGACAAATCGTTTTTGCATTAAGGCCGGCGGACTTGATTGTGTCGCATATCAACTTGGTATTATTAAGATGATAGAGGGATTACTATATTGCTTGCAAATATTTTTTTTCTTCTTCTTAATTTTCTCTCTGCAAGACAGTTGAATCCAAAACCTCGAGTCCCTGTACTCTGTAGCCTCTCGATAACAAATCTATATCTGCATAACTACTCTACAGGCTATCGGAGCTATTGAGGGCGTTATCCTTGCGACCGGCTTACATACACACCAAGAGGCCTGACAACATCGCTGACACTGGGTCGGATAAGCTCTTGGGGATCATAGAGAGACACATATATCGGCAATATTAATGCTGCTAGAAATTTCGAATGTAAAATTATTAAGAAATTAAATATATTGCTAGCTTTAACGAGATAGGTTTTTGGACATTTGAAAGAATTCTACAAATTTGGGAGACGTCTGGCAAATTTGGAACGGTTACAATGGCTATTCCGGGGGTTAACTGCTGGGGAGAAAAGGTCTTAGTTTGCCAGACAGGTTTTAGAAGAATTTCTGATTATTTTAGCCTGTACAAATCTCTAAATACCCAAGTTCCTTTTGTTTTAGATTCTCATTACACCAAACTGGGCAAGAGATCTTCTTTCCATAACTCTGGCAAAAGTACGCAATGACGATGTAGGAGAACTATGCAGAATCCGAGAAGGTCTATCTTAAAATTGCAGTAAACGGGAAGCTTTGAAGCTCTCGGGGACTAATAAAAGATGAGTCTCCAATTGGCAACTTTATCTCAGTGTATGAGGCGATTCAAGAGATGGGGTGCTATAGTCAGGAGGGTCAAGCATGCCAAAAAATAAACGCAACAGACATATGACAGTATATACATAACAAGTACATCATGATCTTCGATTATTCATGATTTTAATGTAATGAGACATGTCTTCAGACAACATGTTGTGTACCTAGAGAACTGATGATGACAATTTTGTCCTAGCAACTCATAATATGGCGTTTGTCTTTAAATCACTTCCAGGAGAGTAATAATGCAATCTCTTTCCTTAATGTGTTTATAAATGTTAATTTAATTCAAAATCATGCCGAGTGACAATTACTTACGCAGTTTTTTGTAAACCCAAGCCCGGCCATTTTGTCACCCGAGAGAAGAATTCTTAGGTATGTTAAGAAAATAGTAGTACATCGTCGAAGCACGTTTTGAAATTATGCAATGAAAATATCCTTACGGTTGATTCAACTGAAATATGCCAATCAATAATGATAAACCTCATTAGCTTAGATAACCTGTTTGTTTTCGTGGTATCATCATATAAGTACTCGTATCTAAAAGAACAAACGGTCATATGTAGGCTGTAAATAGGCTCGAGCTATTCTGGCAGCTCTCTAATTTTCCGTCTTCAGACCTATTGCCACAGGTTTAGTCATTCGCTACGATAGGATGGGTACCTAATTAGCCTGGCCTGTTCGTGCTGTAGAAAAGGTGGCTGAACTTTTATGCCATATCAGCAGCGCACGTACCTGCTTGGAGCAAAGCCCCCGATGGCAAGTCTCCACAGAGTTTTACCAAAAATGGCCACTAGACCCTGAAAACTTATCGCCCACGATAGAATCAAAAAATTTTCACCAGCAATGAATAGAGCAGGACCCACGTGGGCCAGGCTAGTTTGGTAGATATCAGAGGAGACAGGGCCTCTCTCCCCCATAAAAAGTTGTTAGAAGGAGAAAAGAAGGACTCTGTGAACATCTCCTCTGTCGATAGCAGTAGTTGTTGCGGAAGCCGTCTCTGCATAATGAGGTCTCGTACTGTGGAGCCGTTGATTCAAAGGCTACCACCCCTTAAAAGAGCCGCTAGCCTTACAGAGGCTGAGGCACGGCGGGCGCTGCGCTGTCTTCACGAGTTTTCTTATTATCCAATCCCAGAAGTGTTAGGACGAGAGGTGCCCTGTAAAACGCAGGACGCACCTGTGCTGGACTCAGGTTATGTCTCGGAAAACGATGCTAACGAGATATCCAACGAGAACAAGGCCATATCTCTGCATCTGGAACCGTTAGAACGCGACTACGCTGTGCGATGGCTTACGGGATTTGTTGGACAGGCCTGGGAGCTGTCTCTTAGTGATGAGACACGAGATGGCTTTGTTGATGCGGCATGTTCACTATTATCGCATCTCACTTCGACCGAGAATGGTTGTAGTACGACTGATGAGGAGGACCTTGGCATGACGCGCCGGTTTCGGTTCTCGACAAGTGACAACGCGGAAGACCTTGTTGTTGACCTCTACGACACCCCCATGCAAACGGGAGAAGATCACACAGATGTTGGCTTGCAGACTTGGGGGGCATCTATCGCATTCTCACAGATGCTTTGCAGCGCGCCATCAGAGTTTAACTTGGATCAGAGAACGCTTGATGCTTCCACACGAATAGTTGAGCTTGGTGCCGGGACAGGCCTTGTTAGCATGGTGCTTGCAAGCTTACTACCCTCACTAACTGATTCGCTCCCCTCCATTGTTGCGACGGACTACCATCCCACCGTGCTGAAAAACTTGGAAAGGAATGCGGCGTCACTCAGCTCTAAGGCGGAACCTGCGGCGTTGATGCAAGTCGCTCATCTTGACTGGTGTGCCCCTACGCGGGAGCCCCCTTTGGATGTATTGGCAAACATAGTTATTGCCGCAGATGTTGTCTACGCTGCGGAACATGCTTGCTGGCTTCGTCATTGTGCCGCTCATATCCTCGCACCTGGAGGCGTCTTCTGGCTCATGGTTTCTATTAGACCAAATGGCAAATTCGAGGGTGTTTGCGATTCAATCGAGGCTATATTTGCTGAAAACAATACTACCACTGCAGATAGTCGCCAGCATCTAAGGATACTGAGCAAGCAGTGGATAGACAAGAAGCATAACATCGGACGAGCTGATGAAGTCGGATATAGGCTCTTCAAGATTGGCTGGGCATAAGCGGCCTGGCGTGGACCGGCACCACTTTCGGTCATTTTACTTATTTTCAGTTTCATTTTCTAGTCTTTTTTTATTTACCTCATAAGTGGAAAGAAGGGTGTGTAGAGCGCAATAGACAAAATGGGATCCTTGATTAGATGGAAGGGCGATGAATAGACAGACTATAGACTATTAGAATATTTTTATATAGATATCGCATTATTACCCTGAAGGTTTTTTTATTTCTTTTTTTATTTCCTTTTTTATTTTAAAGGACAATCGGCATTATTTATAACCAGAGCTTATCCTGAATGATTATTTTGAGCGATTCAACGATACACGCACTCCATTCAAGCTGCTTGTTGTTAGTGCAATATTTTCTTGCCACGGCCGAGAGTCCCTCGACTCAATGGTTTCAAATTCTTGAAGAAATCGAATAAGCACATAGCTAGCCTCCATGATAGCGAATTGTTCTATAATTGAACAAGTTAGCTAAGATAGGAATCCGAGAGTTTATAAAATGATATACTCACGTCCAATACATATTCGAGGGCCGCCATTGAATGGGAGGAACTCCCACGATAACCGGAGCGACTTCCATCGCGAGGGATTGAATTCCTCAGCGTCGGCGCCATATACCTCCTGTTTGCGATGGAGACCGAATACGTTATATACAATCGGAGTTCCCTTGGGGATGAATAGAGGGGATTTCCCCTCCAGGCCTCCCCCTCGTGGAAGGACTGTATCACAGATTGCAACTCGTGAGTTGACCGGAACCGGGGGATAGAGGCGTAAGCTTTCATTAATAGTATAGCGAATATATCTGAATTGTGATATATTGTCAAACGTTGGTGGCTCATTTTGCAATTGTGCGACTTCATTGCGTAGCATTGACCACATCTGTGGTCGCGTCGAAAGCATGAAAAAAATATTAGCGATGAGGCTTGCAGTCGTATCTCTGCCAGCCACAAGGATATTGAGAATTTCATTCCTAATCTGGATCGGATCTTGAGTATCTTCAATTATGGCTCGCAAGAGAACATAGGGGAGTGCTTTGGAATCCGAGCTGTTGCCACGCAAGGCGTCATGAACGAGTTCATCGACAAACTTGTGTACCACGTGTACATGATGCTGGAACTTTGGATCTGGTTTAAGAATAGCCAATCTTCCCAACGCGATATGTGTTGCTATTCTGTCTTGTGCGTATTGAATTGATTCTTTAAATCCCTTAAGTTTACTGTGATAGTCATGCTGCTCCTCTAGTAGGCTATTGGTAGACTCTCCCAGTAAAAAGTCGGTGGCCATATCCATAGTAAAACGCAGTACGAGCTCTTGGAGTTCTATCTCCTTCCCGTTAACGATGACGTTCATCAAGCGCTTGACGTGAGTCTCTAGCATTGACAAATCCATGAGTTGTTTACGAGCGAATTGAGGTCGAAGAAGAGCACGTGAATGAGTCCAAGCAGCGCCATCTGAACTAAAAATTCCAGCTCCCATTAAAGGATGGAGAGCTTTCTTCCGCTCTTCTTGCAAATTGTAGTCTTTGAAACGGGTAGAGAGAACCGTTTTGATGATTTCATGATCCCGGGTCATGATGCCTATATTGATAACATTCGTCTCAGCCAATATAGATACGAAAATGAACGTCGCGTGTACATGGCCATAGACTCGACGTACCTACTGTCCCCAGCATGTTGAGCTGGTATGTTTCCCCAACTTCATCGTGCCGTTTTGTTACTGTTTCTAGAAACCGATGCTTAGTGAACGCCTTGAAGTTACTGATGAGTAGATCAATTCCATAAAATGGATCCTTGTGAGGGTATTTGATCTGAATAGGTTCGCATCCATGCTGCTGCGAAAACTCTCTCTGCTTTTTAGAGCTGCTAATTCTATAAGATATGAATTTGAAGAGGCAATAGAATACCCCCCCAGTATACAAAGCCAACGCGATTTGGCTGAGATCCATCACGTTGGCGAAATATTGAGATAATGGAGACCGTTGTTACCACCACTGTTTAGCTTATTTCCCAATCTGTCATGAGACAGTACTTATAGCTGAGTGGACGGAGTGCTTGTGTCCCATCGGGAGGATGCTCGGTCGAATGATGAGCGCTAGTGCTCAATCAGTCTATCCCCCTTGGAGCCATTCATTTGCAAGGCGATGCAGCTCTCAGCGTAAGACAAATATACGCACATACCACAGAATCATACACTATTTTTGGCGGCAACCATATTTGACATGAAAAATATTTTTTTTTCCTGGTTGAGTCATTTACGTTTATTCTATACATGGGCAGCGCTACAAAATGCAGAATTCCGGTCAGTGAGAATCTACAAATCAGCCCACCACCTTCGACTCTAGCCTTACCTTATGTGGAACTCCTTGCAATAGCAATTAGGCTTCGTCGATACGGTCCGTCGCTATAGACCACAATTTGTTCCAAAATGAAGATTTTATGTTTGCATGGACGTGGTTCCAATAATGAGGTTATTTTCACCCATTAAAACTCATACAGACTCTTATCAGCACACTGAACTAATCCACATCATGGGGATATTATAGATCTTTCAAGCCCAAACCGCCTCTCTGAGAAGCATTTTAGATGATTATTCTTTCGACTTCGTCCAAGGAACAGAGCTACATACAGAAGGTGCGTTGTCATATCCCAATTAAAGCCGCACTCAAAGTTCTTATTATATACCCATATAGGAAATTGGTCTGTATTCACTACCCAATTCTCAAGTTTGCCTCAGTACGGATACTACAACCCCCTAAGTCCATCATCTGTAAAAAAAGCAGAGGAACATCTACTAGAACTTATCGAGGAAGAAGGAGGATTCGATGGAGTATTAGGTTACTCTGGAGGGGCAGCATTTGCGGCTCAAGCGATTATTCGGCACAACCAAAGAGATCCGAGTGAACCGCTGTTTCGATTTGCTATCTTTGTCAATGGCGGGACTCCTATCAAGGCTTTCAATCTAAGTGAAGAGAAGGTAATGACTGGAGCAGTAGACACTGCAGCGATAGATAAGGAATTGGCAGCAACTTTCTTTCGCCCCTCAAACATGCGAGTGCGCAAAGGGGATAACAGAGAAGAAGCCGAAAAGGCTATCGAATCGAGGAAGGAAGAAATGAAGTCTATTGAGACAGGCAAGCTTAGTGATGGGAGATACTTTTTGACCGACGGAAAACTTGGTTTGACGAGATACGAGGGTGCACAAGATGGTCCGCTTATTGACATCCCGACACTTCATGTAAGGAGTGAACTCGAAGATGATGCTAATCTGGGACTTAACTTGTTGAATTTATGCAACCCAGATTTGGTTCGCGAATACCATCATCCATTTGGACATGACTTCCCCAGAGGGCAGGAGGAAATCCGAAAGATTGCAGAGATGATTATTGAGTTAGTGGAATCAGCATAACTACATAATTAGGCAGGCAAAGAGCTAGGTTTATAGTGCATCAACAGGAAAGGAAAACTCAGTTCCCATATTCTTCCCACAGTAGCTGTTTGCGGGTTCGATGCCAACAACTTGCATCTCGGCCACGGTTGCTCCAAGGCCATCTGCGGCGTAAGATCCCTCAATTGACAGTCTCAAGAATCGAACTTGTGCTAGTTTATGAAGCTCCACAACGGTTATGTTCCCTTCCCGTATTTGAATGGCTCGTGCTTCCTGGGGATCGTATGGTGCTGATATCTCCACCTTTTGCGTGGGGTGCAGCTCTTGAAAATTCTCTGTCGCCTCTTTGCTCCCAAGTAGGCTAAAACTAGAAGGTGGCACACCACCCCAGTTGAGGATAACTTTTGAAACATCGCGTGGTTTGTTACCTTGCAGCTCAACAGTAATTGATGCCAGTTGAGAGCTAGCTGGTTGCCACACGGTCGAATTGGCTCCATCAACGATTGCATACGGATAATTTCCAGCAGCCCAGTCGGAATCAGAGGCAACTGGCTGACACAACGCCAGATCCTCTTTTGCATAGCTTATATCAGGCCGTCTTGTTGGGACGACAATCGACTCCCCTACAGCCAGTCGGTATGCTTTTACATCCGTATTCCCACCAAGTATGCGTAAGTTTACATATTTTTCCGCATCTGTGGATGTGTTTCGTCGAGTGATCGTAGTTGTTTCCATCTCAATCGTCACATCAAACGATGCATTCTGCCATTTCATGCCCTTGACTTCGATTCCGCCTGGAAGCTGAGGTGGCAGAATTGGGTCAAGATAAAATGCTTCTGCGTTTGGGCGCATCCCAGTAAGACCATGAGTAAAATATTGCAAGTAACCACCAGCCCCAGTAAGAAAGGGAAACGCTGGGTTGAGTCCAAAGATAAAGGCAGGGTTATCAACTCCTTCAGGCTCTGAATCCAGCATTGTCTCGCTGAACTGGTAGAAGGGTTGGCGGATATATGATTCCGATGAGCGCTGCATGAAGGTATACGAGGCACATCCCTTCTGTTGCAGCTGAGCTTCAGAGATGGCATAGATGGACCATGTCATCGCTGGGCCATCTGCTGTGTTAACTGAAGAATACTGATATTACAAGTTAGCTTCCTCTACAACAATAGAAAAATAAGAGTAGGGGCACCAACATATGCAACGTCATTTCGCGCTTGTGTATCACTCAGCTGAAATTGCAGTGGGTAGTTGATCAAGCCCACGCTGGCTTGCTTGACCCGCCATGAGCCATCCATACCAGAAAACTCGATAATAATTTTTTCTTCCTCGTCATACGGAATGTAAATGTTCTCCGCAATATGAGACCAATTTTGAGGGACTTGCAGATTTAAACGGCTAGCAGCTGATGGCGCCCAGTTGCCCAGTAGCTGCTTGATGGATACCCCGGTGAATGCGCCATTGTTAATATTATATGCAAACTCGTCCTGTATAGCACATTGTCCGTCAGCATAAACATCTGGAAATAAAGAGCACTCATCAAAATGATAACATACCGGCTCTCCCAATTGAATGGTTTCATATTTTCCAGTAGAAGTATTGTGGAATACATACGCTGCAAACATGTCGGCAACTTTTTTTATGACGGGCCATCCTTGCTTAGCAAGCCAGTTCAGGTCATTTGTTTGCTGAAAATACTGCCAATGGGCTAATGCGATGTCAGAGTTGATGTGGTACTGATAGCCCTTGCACACCCCAGTGCCTGTACAGTTACCAAATCGGCCACTGGTCCACGGGTAGAGTGCTCCGGAAAAGTTATAATGCTGCGCATTTTGAACAGCTTGGTCCAGAAGCAGCGTCCGGTAATTATTGATGCTCGCGGCATACTGTGGGTAAAGAGAGAGTATCGAAGGATACACCCACGTATCTGCATCCCAAAAGACTAATCCAGCGTAAGAATCGCTAGAAAGACCACCCACGGAAATTGAATTAGAGAACCCAGAGTCCTCGGGAAGAAGGCCGGCGAGAATGTGGAATAATGATGCTCGTGTGCGGATCTGCAAGTCTTCGTTGCCTCTAATCAAGATGTCCCCATCGTTCCAGACCGCGTCCCATTTCTTTGTGTGCTCGGATATTAGACCATGCCACTCAGCAGATCTTGCCGAGATCGCCACATTCTTCGTATGTAGCAGCGTGTCAACCGGAAAAGCTGCTGTGGAACCAATGCCTACAAATTTGTACACGGTCAAGGTATCCCCCCGCGTAAGATCCCAGTCCCAAGTGCTCGCCACGGTGCTCGAGTTTGTGGAGACCCAAGGATACCCCTCACCATTATGCCTCGTACTATATCCGCGCTGCACGTTTATAGGATTAGCATTGGCACTTTCGAATTTGACTGTGGAGACAACATATGCTGTGCAATAGTCGATTCCCGATGGTTTCACGCTCGTCCAAATCGTAGCGTCTTCGTCGAACAATTTGTCATGAAAATCGGCCCGTACAGCGCCCGCCCCGTCTAAAAGATCAGTTATCTTTAGCTTCGAATCCTGGCTGACTGAGAGATCTAAACGAACGATCCCCAAGTTGAGCCGAGCTCGGTGCGCAAGGACGGTGTAGTTCAGCTGGTAGTTAGTGCTATCTCCCGGAGGATTCCACGTAATGTTGGTTTGAACAATTCCATTTCGGACTGAAAATGACTGATGAAAAGAGGTAACAGTAGAAGGATCGACTCCCGGTTCATAAGTCTGGCCGTTCTGTGTTGTAACTGTAAGACCAGTCCAATCAGGAATACCGCTGATAACGGATTCTCCTCCTCGTTTCAGATTGTCTGGGACGAGGGTGTGCGTGATATTTTGCTGAACGTCCCAAAATCCAGAAATAGTTCCGAATGTGGCTCTTGGTTGATCCAGCGGCCACGCTATATGATCACAAGAGTGATTAGAATGATTCCACACGAAGGAAACTCAAAGAAACCACGCTATACAAACAATTTAGCACATAGCTGCCAGTAGAATTATCTTGATATGTCCAATATCCAACCCCTTCAGCCGGTAGTCGCTGGCCAAAATATCCATTCGCCACGTAGGGGGAATTTTGATAACGATTTGCAATAAACTGCATTGTGGAAAGGACCCAATGGTCAGAATCTTCAGAACCAGGACTTGCCCGGGCGCCAACAGCTAATGCTGCCAAAACGAAGGCCTTTTTCATGATTACGGCATGGAGGTTAAGCTTGATCTTGAGAACATGCGGAGTACATAAGTAAGCTCTTTATTTCTCTCGGAGAAATTACAAGATCCCCCAGTCATCGACCTTAACGTTTTGCGGCTCGCTACGAGACAATTAACAAGATGAATACGCACATACAAATTAGTGCTGAATAGAAACAGACAATCAGTGTTGCTATCATACATCTATAGCAGACTTATCCGTGCTAGTCCTTTATGACTGTCTGTTCTTGCTGGGTACCAACTTGTCTCAATTTTGTTCGTATTCCGGACCCACAGCCAGCACAAAGGTTGAGCAAATACGCCAATGAAGATAAAAGCAAAGGTATAGACAATGGCAATAAAAAGTTCTCGTAATGCCTAGTAGATTCTGATCGCTGTCGGGAAGTGTCCGATTTGAGCGGTTGCCTTGAAACAGCGGTGCACAGAATAAGCACTATAGCTGCTAAGTGCTCCTTCATCCTTGAGTAACGGGCCGACAGATTCTCGCCGGATCCTCAAATTCGTGGGGGATTTAGATCTGCAAGGCCTTGTCTTGATGTCCCAACGATTGTATTATGCATGTGTCGAAAGAAGGAAATGAAGTGCGAATCAAAGATTGCATTTCCTACGAGTCTCCGGACGCACTATTGTCGTCAGCTTACGCCGGCGTCGACAAGTACTACGGGGAACGGGCCGAAATGGCGGAGCCCCTGCAAATCGTCCCATCAATGAGCGGCCAACTTATTTTAAAAACCACATGATTAATGAAAAATATAGGCCAATACACTTCTAAGAAAGGCATAGACAGTCATAGCCAGTAGATACAAGCCAGCAGGCATATAAGGTTCTTAGTTATGATCACTCCTTGTACGCAGCTATTTCCCCAGATTTAGGTCTTCTTAGTGCCCAACTAGTTTATAGCTTGCAGTCCTTCTTGGTAGTGAATTTTGATGCTTGCACATGCTCCATACAGACAATGCAGCTAACCTATATTCGCAGGAGGGGGAGCAATGATGGACAGAGACTGGAAGAAAAAGGCTTATACGAATGACCAATGACCAAATGTGGGACAAATGTTCACGGGGGCTGCATTCAGGAAACTGCAATCTGGCTTTGGGCCAATACTATATAGAGAACTACCCAAATATACGCCCACAACGCAGGGCTACCCCAGTATACTCCAGAATCGCGTTGGCACGATAATGTGGGTATAATCCTGTCGTTGCCGGTTATGGGTGTCCGCATATACGCCATTCCATTCTTGCTTTATCTAGGTAGTACAAATTACTCCCATCTTGGTAGCACAGCCTCCTTTCAGTGTTTGCAAGCACGCCACTCAAACCTCTGATGAAATTACCTTATAAAGGCCCTCCGAGTATATACTTGATACTCGTTGAGAAACGCTGTATCTCTTCCCTTTCTGTTCCAACCTTGTCCTACCAGAGTTGACGTCGCTGCGATGGAGCCTCTCGCCATTATCGGTATGGCCTCTCGGTTCCCCCAGGAGGGGGACAACAACGAGAACTTTTGGAAGATGCTCATGACTGGCCGATCTGCCATGACCCCATTTCCAAAGAATAGATTTGACATGGACGGGCATTACCACCCAGATGTTGAACACGGAGGAACGGTTAGTGTCTTCGATGAGTGTTGGTTCTACATGTATACTCACATGATGGATAGTTTCACGTGAAAGGCGGCCATTTCATGAAGGGCAATCCTTCGGACTTTGATAATCAGTTCTTTTCAATTCCCAAAGGCGAGGTGATGTCTCTGGATCCTCAGCAGCGTCTAATTATGGAGAATGTTTACCAAGCTCTGGAGAATGGTACGTACTACTTTTCCCATAACACTTATACTGTATTTGATCGCTCATAGAGTCACAGCTGGCATTCCGATGGATCGAGCGGTAGGGTCGAATACTTCAGTATTCAGTAGTGGTTTTAATCATGACTATCTTCAGCTGTTGAACAGCGATCCAGAGATTAAACTAAAGTATAAGCCCATGGGGACTAGTAATTCAATCATTTCCGGCCGTGTCAGCTGGTTCTTCGACTTCAAAGGCCCAAGTCTTACTGTCGATACGGCATGCTCTAGTTCTATGGTTGCCTTCCATCTGGGGGCTCAAAGCTTAAGAAATTACGAGTCTGAAATGTCCGTCATCTGTGGTGTTAATGTATTCACCTACCCCACAGATTGGTTTGGCATGGACCACCACGGATTCCTCGCTGGTGATGGAAAGTCTTACAGCTTCGATCATCGTGCCAGTGGGTACTCCCGAGGAGAGGGCGTTGGAACAATTATCCTAAAACGCCTTTCTACGGCTCTCCGAGATGGAGACACTATCAGAGCGGTTTGCTTAGCAAGCGGCCTGAATCAAGATGGACGAACACCCGGTATCACGCTACCTAGCGGGCCCGCGCAGGAGCAAATGATACGTGAGGTATACAAACGAGGAGGGTTAGACATAGGAAAAACTGCCTATGTGGAAGCCCATGCTACGGGAACTGCAGCTGGAGATCCAATAGAAGCGCGAGCGATTGCGAACACCTTCGGTACTGCTGATCGAGAATCGCCATTAATAGTAGGAGCTGTTAAATCAGCCATTGGGCACACAGAAGGAGCTTCAGGCCTAGCTGGCATTATCAAATCTGTGATGGTGCTGGAATCAGGGATGATTCCTCCAAACGCAAACTTTGAGAAGGCGAACCCAAAAATTCCCATTGACAAATGGAGAATCAGGCTGCCACTGCAGCCTACACCATGGCCCGCACCCGGTATGAGACAGCTTTCTATAAATTCCTTCGGCTTCTCAGGTACAAACGGCCACGTTGTTCTTGTTGATGCTCTTCATTACTTAGAACAAAACAAATTGTCTGGATTTCACAAAACTTTACCTTATCCGGATACCGCTCACAACGGCCATACTAATGGCGAAAGCGCGAGCAAAAGCGCAACGAATGGCCACACTCAAACCAACGGGCATACCCACACCAACGGTGACTCTACAACAGCTCGTCCTCCATTGGTTTTTGCATTCTCATCGTTTGATGAGCAAGGTGTCCAAAGAAATGCTAGTGCTTTGGCTAATTATCTGAAAGATCTGCTTTCAGATCCTCTAAGTAATGCAAAGGAGTACATGAATGATCTGGCATATACCTTGGCAGCAAAGCGTACTACTTTCCAGTGGCGGTCCTACTACCTTTCAAATAGCTTGGGTGATCTAGCTCAGAAGCTAGCCACAGATTCATCTCTTCTAAAGCCAGTCCGGACGAGGGGTGTTCCCAACATTGGTTTTGTATTTACTGGCCAAGGAGCTCAGTGGTACGCTATGGGACGTGAGCTGTTAGTCTTTTCTACTTTCAAGGAAAGCCTAGAAAGCGCTTCTCGTTATATGCAGGAGCTGGGTAGTCCCTGGTCTCTATATGGTAAGTTATTGGTCTATTACTTTGAACACGTTTGCTCAAAATCATATGATTATATGGCTAAACATGCTACGTAGAGGAACTTCTCAAAGATCAAGCTGATTCTCAAATCGACAAACCACAATTGGCTCACCCGTCCTGCACTGCAATTCAAGTTGCTCTTGTCGACTTACTCTCTTCTTGGAACTTGCGGCCTACACGCGTAGTCGGTCATTCGTCCGGCGAAATTGCAGCTGCGTACTGTTCAGGAAAGATTTCAAGGCAGACAGCTTGGAAAGTGGCTTACTACCGAGGTTACGTCTCTGGTCGCGTTTCAAGCAGTGGATCAATGCTTGCAGTTGGTTTGCCAGCTGCAAGCTTAGATGAGTATCTTCAAAAGGTCAACTCTCAATTGCCCGGTGAATTAACTGTGGCTTGTTACAATAGCCCCAAAAACCATACTATATCCGGAGATACGATGAAAATTGATGAGCTGAAAAGGATTCTTGACGAAAAAGAGATTTTCGCCAGGAAACTTAAAGTCAAAACTGCGTATCATTCATCGCATATGAAAGGTGTAGCAGGCGAATATTTGCGACTGTTAGGAGATATGGAAAAGCCATCAGATATCCAATTCTCTGCAGACATGTATTCAAGCGTCACTGGTAGTCGTATCGAGGGCGATCTTACATCGCAATATTGGGTTGACAACCTGATTTCACCCGTACGCTTCACAGATGCATTGCTCAAGATGTCTTCAGAGAGCTCTTCCAAAAGCTCTATGCGAGTCAACACGAGCAACAGTGCAATTCAAGAAATCGTCGAAGTTGGTCCTCATTCAGCTCTCCGTAGCGCCATCAAGGAAACTCTTACTAGCCATTTCAATGACAATCAGCTCATTGGATATCACGCGGTTCTAGATCGCAACACCCCGGGTGTTGACACTCTTCTGACGTCTGTTGGAAACTTGTTCGCACGTGGCAGCGTGGTTGATCTTAGCCTTGTGAACCAGGCATCGCCATCTCATTCAAACAAGCAATCGCCAACAATGCTCGTTAATTTGCCTCCTTACGTTTTTAACCATAGTCAAAGTACGTGGTATGAGAGTCGGCTGAGTCGTAACTATCGCTTTCGCAAATATCCACGCCATGATCTATTCGGGGCTCCAGTTCCCGATTGGAATCCAGAAGAGCCAGTTTGGCGCAACTTTGTACGAATCTCTGAGCAGCCTTGGTTAAGAGACCATGTGGTAAGTTCATAGTTGCTTTTTACGTATAAAGTAAGGAAAATTCTAACAGAACATAGGTCACAGGCAGTATTGTCTACCCTGGGTAAGATCTTGGTCGGATACTTACTTCAAATGAAAAGTAAAAGCTAAATTGTCAACAGCGTGGGATATATTATTATGGCTATTGAAGCTTCGAAACAAATCGCTTCGCCGGATCTTAAGCTACTCGGGTTTCACCTCAAAGATATTTCAATCAAAAGTGCTCTTATTGTTCCCGATAATAAAGAAGGGGTCGAAGTTAAATTTTCCATGGTCGGCATGGATGAATCCAGTCTCGAAAAATCCAAATCGTGGAGAAAGTTTACTGTAACAAGCTATAACAGCATAGCAGATGACTGGGTAGAGCATTGCACGGGCTATATCCAGACTCAGTACGAATTCTTGCCTGGCCCGATCGATGAGGGACTTGAAGAAGCTTCAGAAGTCCAGGCCTCTAAGAAGATGCTTCAAGACAGCATTGCACGATGCACTACACCTACAAGCATCAACTATGATAACCTAGATACCATTGGGCTACACTTTGGACCTCTGTTTCAGAATTTGTCTGAAGTTGTTGTAAACAAGGGTCAAGGTGAGGTGTCTTCATTTATCACTGTTCCAGACGTCGCCAAAATTATGCCCAAGAATTTCGTTCATCCCCATATGATTCATCCATCTACAATGGACAGCATGATGCATCTCTTCATTGCTGGTAAGTCAACAAACTACTTGCTTTCTGAATGAAGCGTTACTAATCACATTCTTTAAATAGGCGTTCTTGATATAACCGACAAAACTACCTTGGAGTCTCCTATGGTTCCAACCTTCATCAAGGAAGTCCGTATCTCTGCCAAGACAGAAAGCACTGCAGGCCACAAATTCAGAGGATTTGGAGTCTCAAAATTCACCGGATTCCAAAAATTCCATAGCGATATCACAATTTGGGACGAGAAGACGAATGAAGAAAGAATTGCTGTCAGAGGCTGGTCTGGTAAATCTCTAGGGTCAGAAATATCTGCAGCCGAGGCCAAAAAGATGTGTCACGTTGTAGAATGGATGCCAGATCTCAATTTGGTTAAACAGCCCAAGCTCAAGGCAGCGCTTGCTTCAGATCAAGAGAACGAGGAATATCGACAAAATATCAGAAAGCTGCAACTGGCCTCGATTTTATTCGTAACTCTGGCTCTGGAAGACCTGAAAGGCTACCCGATCAGCAATTATGAAGGTCATTTCAAAAATTATTACGAGTGGTGCGTTAAAGTTCGGGACGACTTACACCAAAATTTGTTGCCTCACCTCGACTTTGACGAATGGAAGCAATATATGGACAATGAGCCGCTAAGAGAAAAGCTTTTTGGCGACATTATGAATAGCGCAGATGGCAGACTCTTGGTTAGAATGGGGAAAAATTTGGCGCCTGTTATGAAGAAGGAAGTCGATCCTCTACAATTGATGTTCGGTCAAGATAATATTCTCGATGAACTATACAGGAACATGGTTGAGTCAGGAAACTTACCTAATCTTTTGGCAGCTTATCTTGAAATTGTCCATCATAACAACGTCAATCTCAATATTATGGAAATTGGAGCTGGCACTGGTTCACTCTCTGCCCCAGTTTTGGAGGCTTTAGGTCCAGCTGCTGCCAATGAAGAGAGACTGCTCAATGACTCATCCATTGCGAAGTACACTTATACTGACGTATCATCAGCATTCTTTGAGAAGGCCAAAGACAAGTTTAAGAGATGGAGAAACCTTATGGAGTTTCGAACTTTCAACATCGAATCAGACGCGATTGAACAAGGATTTGAAAAAGGCACATATGATTACATTTTTGCTGGAAATGTCATCCATGCTACTGCTGATCTCGAGAAAGTCTTATCAAACTTGCGGTCATTACTAAAGCCAGGCGGTAAACTCATAATGCACGAAGGCATTCGGCAAGGTATGTGTACATTAATCTTCAAGCTTAAACATCAGGCGTGGTATAGGTGCACCTGACAAAGGATCTTTACACCTCGCAACTTATTTGAGCCCCTCACTACCTATGAACAGTTATTGAAGTATATAAATCTTGACTAACATCTTTATTCTTTACCTAGATCTTCTTTGGCTTCCGCTTTCCTTTGGCCAACTGAAGGGTTGGTGGCTAAGCATAGAGCCAAACCGTAAATGGTGCCCGTCTATATCCGAGACCGAGTGGGATGCCGTGCTTCGTAAAGCAGGCTTCACAGGAATAGCAACCGTTCTCCAAGACCGCGAAGTGGCCGATATTCGTGGACAAAGCATTATGGTTGCTGAAAATAACGAGGATATTGGATTGCAAGATGCCAATAGAAAGATTCATATTATATCTTCAGCGGCGACCCAGAACCTGGCATCCGCTTTACAGTCCAGGATTATCAAGGACTTCGGGTACAAGAATTGTTCAATCGTCAGCCTTTCAGATTTGTCAGACGTTGAACTTATCTATGACATATGCATTTCACTCATTGACTTAGAAAGCCCTATTCTCTCTCAGCTTACAGAGGAGCTATACAACGACTTGAATCATACCATTGCTACAAGCGACGGTGTTCTTTGGGTTTCAGGAGATTTCGAGAAAGACCCTTCTCAGTATATGACTACAGGCCTCATCAGAACGGTTAGATGGGAGCGTGATCTGGACGCTCCCAATCTGGTCACTTTAGCGGTAGCAGATCCTCGACATGAAGATGATCAACTTCTAGAGTCAATTCTTTCAGTATTCAAGCATCAATATGTGGACAGCATCGACGATGAAAGCAAGAACGCTGAATACTTTTTGAAAGCTAATCATTTGCTCACAAATCGCCTCATTGACGCTCAAAGTGTCAATAGCTTCATTCATTCCAATTTCGCGGAGGCGGACCCTAAACAAGGGCCGCTTGGGGAAGCTGGGCGACCAATTATGCTGGACACTTCTTCACCAGGATCGTTGAGCGCTCTGCATTTTGCTACAGATCCAGTTTGGGCCCGCCCACTTTCTGAAAACGAAGTGGAAGTGGAAATCCACGCTGTTGGACTCAATTTCCGAGACGTATTAATTGCCATGGGCGAGCACGTCGCAGCCTGTCTTGGAAACGAAGCAGCTGGCTATGTGTCCCGTATTGGCTCCAAAGTCACTAACGTTCAGGTAGGCGACAGGGTAGTTTACATGAATGGACTTGTTGATGGAGGATGTCTCAAGACATTTGGAAGGCAAGTTGCAGATGCCGTGGTTAAACTCCCAGACTCTGTGAGCTTCGAAGACGCTGCTAGTCTCCCCTGCGTGTACTCTACGGCGCTCCATGGACTTTATGACATTGCTCGTTTATCTGAAGGAGAGTCTATTCTCATTCATGCTGCGGCTGGTGGTGTTGGACAGGCCGCTATCCAGCTAGCAAATCTCGTCGGAGCAGAAATTTTCGCGACAGTATCTACTCCTGAAAAGCGAGATCTTCTCATCAACGAATATGGTGTAAAGAAAGATCACATCTTTTCGAGTCGTGATCTATCTTTTGTGAAGGGAGTTATGCGCATGACGAATAATCGTGGCATAGATGTTGTCCTAAATTCACTGTCTGGCGATGCCTTGCGTGCTTCCTGGGATGTCTTGGCGCCATTCGGGCGATTCATTGAGATTGGCAAAAAGGATGCTCAGTCAAACGGAAGAATTGATCTTAGCCCATTGTTGCGCCAAACGGTAATGGCTAGTGTCGATTTAACAACCATTATGAACTACAAACCCAAGAAGCTCGGGCAACTCATCACCGAAACAGTGCGACTCTTTGCCGATGGCAAAATAAGTGTAGCGAAACCCACCAGGGTTATGGACTACACACAAATTGAAGAAGCTTTCCGATCTCTGCAGTCTGGCAAAAGCATGGGGAAGACTGTTTTCAAGCCTAACCTAACCGATATTGTTCCCATCATGCCCGAGAAACCGTCGCCGTTGCAATTTAATGAGAATGCATCATACGTCCTGGCCGGAGGTCTCGGAGGCTTAGGAAGAAGCATAGCTCGGTGGATGGTATCACGCGGAGCAAAGCATCTAATATTTATTTCAAGATCAGGAGCAACAAGTGAATCAGCAAAAGAGCTTGTGAAAGAGTTGGAGGCGACTGGCTGCAACGTCCATGTCTTCGCTTGCGATGTTAGCGATGAATCTGCGTTATCGGCCGTTGTTGACGCATGCAAAGCCAAGTTTCCCCCAATTAAGGGATGTGTTCAAGGATCTATGGTGCTCAAGGTAATATCAATTCGTTTTCTTTTTATTTGACATGCTTTTACTGATACAACCACCGCATAGGACTCAATGTTCGAAAATATGATATACGAAAATTTTGATGCCGCATTGAAGCCAAAGGTTCAGGGTTCATGGAATCTTCACAAATTATTGCCCACTACCATGGATTTCTTCCTTCTTCTCTCTTCTACTACAGGAATTGTGGGCAACCGTAGCCAGGCCAATTATGCCGCCGGTAATACTTATCAGGATGCTTTGGCGGTACACAGGCATTCCCTGGGTCTCCCCGCAACCAGTGTCGACTTGGGGAGCATTCTTTCCGTCGGTTATGTAGCTGAGAACAAGAGCCGCCTCAAAGCCATCACGAATATTACAACAGTTCTCGAATCCCTTCGCGAAGACGAGATCCACTTGATATTCGAATATCACCTCGATAACAGACATCTTGCAGCGAGCCAAGTAGTGTCTGGTTTGACGAATGCTGCGTTGTATAAGCAGCGTCGCATGCCTGTACCCAGCTATCTCAACTTCCCTCTGTTTAGACACCTCCAAAGCGAAACAGTCACCAATAGCGATTTTACTGAAGACGATCCTATCCTTTTGATCCCCGTTCAGCTAGCTGCAGCGATAACAGTTGAAGAAGCCACTACCATTGTCTCCAACGGGGTCCGGCTGAAACTTTCCAAACTCCTCTCAATGGCGGCTGATGACATTGACCCAGGTAAATCGATTAGCTCTAATGGAGTCGATTCTTTAGTCGCTACCGAGTTTAGGACTTGGCTGGCCAAGACCTTGAAAGTAGACATGCCTATGCTGGATATCATGGGAACGGGTAGCATTCTCACTATTAGTGAAAAAGCTGCAAGCTTGAGCAAGTTGGTCCAGTTTGCCAGCAGCAGTTAGTTTCAGTGTGTACAGGTATATTATTTATATATAGTATAATTACACAAAATGATAGCAACAAGCATTCTTTGCCATTCAAAGCTCTGAAAAGACCCTCTCGCAAAATCTTTACATAGTACAACCGTGGTATTAAGCCAATTATACATACAACAGGTCGTCTAGCAATTTGCGTTCAAAGAAAAAGCATCCCATAACTACGTTAAACTATTGGATCGCAGTACAGCCAAAGGAATTTTTGCACTTAGACTAAAAGAAAGTAAGGCAGGCAACCCCCACATTTGTTACTACTGATAGGGATGGCTACATGTAGAATACAGTACATGAACAGTTGATCTGCTTGATTTATATTGCGTGGTACTTTTGTTTGACATGATAGTGACAAGGCTGTCCTCGACTCATATTATAGCCTCAGGGAACGTAGTAGTCTAACCACTTTAGTTTATATATTTACAACTTTAACCTGCTAGTTCGTATTGGAAAATTTACAGCTGATGCTAGGTCATTTAGCTTTATAAAGTAGCTTTGACCTAAATATTATGCTTATTGCGTTCCATTCTCCTACAGCCTGCTAAAAGTGGTATAAACAGGTAGCTGACACTTCTTTCAATCCTAAATTTTTAGGCCAAATAATTGCTAGTTCCCTAATCTTGGAAAAAGAAAAAGTGCAATTTCATTTTTTTCGTGCTATTATATGTTTATTTCTTTTCGAAGTCAGTCCGTTCCTTGGCCGCCCTCTCTCAAGATGAGAATTTGAACCCAGCATAGTCCTTTTCTGCCGCCTCTAGCACAGCTTTTCGGTAGTTGGTGTAACCCGCAAGCCAGAAAATTCCAGGATTGTCTTCTCCTCTTGGGCCATTATTGCCGAAGATGTAAGATTTGACATTTCTGAACAAGCTACCGTTTGCAATCTGGCGGCAAAGATCCATCCACCCCTTCTTAGCTTCTGTATCAGCTTCAATGAGAACCGGCTTGCCTCCATTTTCTTTCTTCAACTTCTCGGCCTTGGCTATCATCCCACTGATAAAAGTACCTTGTGTCTCGATCATCGGTGGCATATTGCCGAGCGGCGATTGCGGGCCTGCGATAAAAAACATGTTGGGGAATCCCGTATCGCCGATCGATAAGTAAGAAGACACACCGTCTCGAGCCCACTGCTGGCTCAAGGTTTCATTACGGCCACTAATGTCGATGGTTGCGTAGCTGCCATCCACGACCTCAAAACCGGTCGCCAAGATAATGACATCTAGCTCATGCAGCTTCTCGGTGGTTCGGATACCGTTTTCAGTAACTTCTACAAAAGGGGTATGTTGGTAGTTAACGATATCAACATTCTTCTTGTTGAATGTCTCATAGTAATTAGAGAGTGTAACCGGTCGTTTGCCATAGAGTTCATTTGGCGTCAGCTTTTTAACTTTCTCCGGGTCCTCCACAATCTGAGCAATTTTCTTGTTGAAGAACTTGCAAAGTTCTTTGTTTGCCTCTTCACTAGAGTGAATATCGCCAAAGACTCCATACATATAGCTGAAGCCACTCTTCTTATTCCAGATGTCTTCCCAGATACGTTCCCGTTCTTCTGGGCTAACGCTCATGGCTGGAGTCGCCTGATGCTCCAAGGGCATTGCAGTAGGATGATTATCAACCATTTTCCAGATTTCATCATAATTTTTGTTGACGTTTGCTCTATACTCGGCCGATACAGGCTTGTTTGGGTGGGGAGCAACGTACTGTGCTGAGCGCTGGAAAGAAATTACCTGCTTTACATCATCTGCGATGTTTACCAAAATTTGCGCGCCAGAAGACCCATTACCAATAATACCAACTCTTTTATTCTTAAGATCATATTGCTCAGTCCATACACTAAAAAAGAGTTAGCTATAATGCTATCCGGTTTATAGCATCATCATCATCGACATCATCATAGAACTAACGCTGTGTGGTACACTGGACCCTTGAATTTATCAAGGCCAGTAATCTTAGGATAATTAGGCGTGTGGAAACACCCTACAGCCAAAATCAAGTATGTAGATTTCCAAACCTCACCATTGTCAAATGTGGCGGTCCATATAGACGATGCTGAGTCGAAAGAAGCCGATATCAGTTTAGTATTAAGTTGAATATCCTTCTCCAGGTCATACAGCTTCGCTATGTTTTTCAAGTATTGCAGGCTCCCTTGTTGTGACACATAGTGGTTCGGCCATTCGTCTGTCTGTAATAGATCCTTATTGAAGCGGAATCTATAAATCTCGCTGGCAGAATCGCTCGTCGCGCCGGGGTATTGGCTCCAGTACCATGTACCGCCAATTTCGGGAGCCTTATCAAAGCCTCTGACTGAAAGCCCAAGCTCCTTGAGCTTTAAGAGGTTATAAAGTCCACCAAAACCAGCCCCAATAACAATTGCATCAACAAATGACATGGTGAAGAGAAAGAGCCAAGGGGCAAGCACGCGTGTAAGAATAAAATATAACCACGGATAGACTTTGCTGACTACCGATCGAGTTACTGATTGGAACTGCTGCCAAAATTCTCAGGGAAATCCTGTCAGATATATACCATAACGAAGCTTACCAAAAACAGCGCATTGGTTTGGACTGTATGAAAGCTGAATAAAGTGGAAAGGCGTAATAAAGTGGAAGGGTGTAACAAAATATCGATAAAAGCATTGCGAAGTATTACTTAAGTTATGAAGGATTTCGATACTAAAAAGCGAAAAGCTCTATTTACACTGTATTTACTACTGTTTCAAGGATATATTTTGATCTAGTTGCTGATTAATTTACCATTTTAATAGATAATGTATTGTAAATTCCAATAACCCCTAGCATTGCGAATTTCTAGATTTATAAGCGCTAAAATTTAAGATTTAATCAAATATAAGCGCTAAAATCTGAGACAATTTAATACTTTATACAAATTTTGAGAATTTTATATTAGATATATTGCAAGCATTTATATAGGCAATTATTAAAATAAAGAGTTTAATATATACTTTTAACTAAATAATACTATATAACTTAGTATTTCAATATTTACTAAAGGCAATATTCTAGAATATAAAAAGTTAAAAGAAATATTATACTTTTTATATATTATAGTTTATAATAAAATTATATAATTGATTTGTATTTTGAAACTGTATTTGTAGATTATGATACATATTAAGAATAATTACAATAATATATTTACTTATTAGAATGTTATGTATATAACACTAAATTATATATACTAGTAGTGCAAGAAGGCAGGATTGTATCAGCCCTACGGATTTTTAAACTTATCTTTTATTCCGAGACGTCGTATCATCTGGTCTTACGACGTAGGACTAGATACTATATACTGCTAGGAGCGGGAAAATCCCTCTTGCATTGCCGCCGAGAAGGGTTCCTGCATGTTACTATGGCTTGAGGTGTATGACCAATGTTCCTGCTCTGTAAGAAATACTACATACAACTTAATCAAAGCTTATTTCAGATATTATTCAGCATTAGTATAAAAGATTACGCACGTTGTATATAAAGCAAGTTTAGAAAGTATGTTTACTTTAATATTATATACAAAAACAATTACTCTATATATATATATATAAATTTGGATGCAGTGTTTACTATACACTCAGGCAAACCCATTACTAGTATAAAAATAAGCCAAAAGTATTTATAAAACTGCAAGTCATGTTTTTTTTTTTAGCAGATAAATACCAAAGCGCCTTTAAACATCTTTTTCTTACAACTTGGTTTAAGGCAAGTTTACCACCAAGCTTAGATCCCCTCGCTAGCTTCGGCTTATAGGTATCCATTCGTTCCGCGATACCTTAGCAGTGTTACATTTCGATGGAACATGGTTTCGTAAAGCTTTGTTTGCTTACCAATACTTCGTGGATGCCTGATAGATTTATCAATTCTTATGTCTCTTTTTACGGATGCAACGGCTAATGCATGGTGATAGGATTACATTAAAGCAGCCATCTATTCCGCGTTCATCTAAGAGCTACTGCAACACGGGTAGCGTAACTGTTGTAGTAGGTATCAAGGTCTCGCCCCATAATTGCTTCTTCTAAGAGGAGGCGCTTATTGCGTTGGCAATCAGATACTACTAATAAGAAGCGCGAAGTATTTAGCCCTTGTCAACATCGTCAATTGCATGCTATTAAATGAATGTAAAGACCACTATAATTATATTCCTTGCAAACTCGATAGTGGGCATATCCAGAATTAAACCCTATTTTAATCAGAATAACCAATAGAGTACCTAGTGTATCACAGCATTACACTAAAAAAAAAAAAAAAAAAAAAAAAAAAAAAAAAAACAATCGCAATCGCAATCGCAATCTCCAACAGGGTTGTGCAAGGGAATGCGGCGATGATTGTGTTAATATGCAATGTAAAAACAGGAGTATATTCCGTAGTGTTTTTTTCCCCCTTAATATATGTATTTAGTCACGGATAATTAGCTTTATTGAATAGGAACATAAAAAAGATTGAGCAAAAATTCGGATATAAGATATGAATTTAAATGCTTTGCTATTTTTATTATATAAGAAGATGAATAATGCAGGATGTAGCGGTGTGCGCATTTATGTAAAGCAGAATTTCTTTTTATCAGGATACAGTCAGAAAAAAAAAACCGATTTTCTCGCAGCAACTTATCACTGAAACCCCAGAGCCCTTCAAGAGGAAACGATTGTCTGCTGCTAGGTCTGAAAGTGATTTGTCTTATTTTCTCATGTAACAGAATATGTATTAATCAGCTAGCTTAGAGTAATAAGCTAGACATTGTTGCCAAGAATGCCACATCCGCTTATTACTACGACGTAGTAAAAGATCGAGTGACTAAGATTAGGCCGATTCTTAGTAGACTACAGAGCAATGCCACTCAACTTCAGTTTACTATCTATTAGTGTCCAGAGAATAAGTACTACAGCTTGAATTATGCCACTTACTCGGCGAGTTCAGAAAACCTGTCAATTGGGTACATATCGATGTACGTCTCTTGATTATGGTCAGTAGTAAAAATGGCTACTTCCTTTTGCGAATTATCTAAAGCCAGAAGTGGTGAAAGACATCCGCCGCCAACGAGATAAAACCTACATCGCATTCTTTGGTGACCTAAATGTAAGCTTACTTTGCTGAAATAACCCACAGAGTAAGTGACTTGAATACTACTACGTGAATCAAAGTACCCTGAAGCATGGAGAGCTCCTCGCACTCTCTAATAGTAAACCCAGCTTTAATTTGTCTAGTTAGAGTGCGTTACATACTTGCCCTCCTTCCATGGCTCTATCAACTGTATGTGCAGAATGTCTCAGTATAGCACTCTTATAGCGGCACTAGCACCGCTAGTATTTCAGCTCCGGCAAAGTTCCTAGTTCACTGAGACCCGCAAACCACCTCAGCCGCAAATTGAGCCGGGTCAACTTGCTAGCTGCCGCCTGCTATTCGCCAAAACATGCCCTTAATTTTCATCATGGGACTCCGGATCCAGCTAAAGACATGCTTATCGAAATGATAGATGGGGGCTAGCGGGACAGGAAAGACCCGATGAGTGCCACGAGTAACTCCCCCTTGCAGACTGCGGCGGGAACGAAAGTAAGGGAAGCATCAAATGACGATGAAAGATGGAGCGGCTGAGGAGAGGCAACCCGAAGCGGCCGCGGCTATGTCTCAAAAGTCTTGCTTGAGAGCGAGGTGCTCGGATAATCTACTTCCTAACTGAGATCGCTCCCGGTGTTAGCTTCTGAAAGCCTCCGAAGGTAGATCCGCATCGTCAAATTTTGTGGAAACCTTTCAACAAATCGCGGTGAAGGTTGCAGTAGTCCTATTGCTCACCAGCCTTCTCCTTTTATTTTATTTGTTTCTTTACGTTCTGTTCTGATACTTTCATTGCTCTCTATTCAGAAGAATAATGATTGGAAGACTTGCTCAAGCAATCCGCTCTCCCGATGGCAGACATCTTCCACCAGATCACAGAGAGGAGCTGGGATTCCCTCCCGATAATGAGCAGGCAGGACGAGAGACAGGCAGCAATGACAAACGGATTACAATAACGGGAACCGATCACAATGCGCTAATTCCAACAAACGATAAGCTCCTTGCTTTTCGTTCCCTGACAGGCATCGACACTGTCCCTGCATTGTCAAGCACTGGCCATGCCAGGCGCGCTGCACCCAACATTGGCCTGTACTCCAGGGTCGTACAAGCTGAGCAGAAGGCAGCTCATAACTACCGCATCTTCCACAGCCTAATTAATTTTTGCCTTGGGGCTCAAATTGTCGTCGCAGCGGCGTTGACTGCAATTGGAGCAGCGAACGGCTCTCGTCACGCAGTTACCGGACTAGGTGCCATGAACACAATCATGGCGGGCATATTGACGTACCTCAAGGGCTCTGGCCTCCCTGATCGCTTCAAAGCTCACGAGAACCAATGGAGAGAGATTCGTGAATTTATTGAGCAGCGAGAGCGAGAACTCTGTTTACTAGACTGCCCTCTCGACGCACAAGAAGAAGTTGCCATCGTGGAGGAAATGTACAATCAAGCCAAAGCTGAGCTAGATGCGAAACCGTTTGAAATCCGTTCGCATTTTGGAGGGAGCCACCAGTCTCAACAAAAGACACATGATAGTTCGATAAGGTCCGTAGTGCATAGAGCAGCTGTCAAAGTTGCTCAATCTACGGATGCACTGTCCACGCCAACACCACCACCGGCAAGCAGCAAATAATGCCAATATGAAACCAAAATGAAGCGGACGCTAATATAACTACTCACACTACGCACCTCCATATTCGGCTAAATACTTTCTAATGCGCTATATTTTCTTTTCTTTCTCTTCCTCCTCTTCTTTTTGGATGCGTCATGGAGTAGGTGGAAATTGGCGTTGAGATGTTAGGTTGAAAGCCTGGTTTGGTATATCTATGGGGACTGCGGGCATGTTCCAGGATTTGTATAAGATCATGGAGCAAGAAAAGGCAGGAATTTAAAACAACGGGTCATAAGCTTACTTTATTCACGGAACACTATTGACAGCAAGGCCAAGAATCTTAATAAACACTGTCTTTCTTTCCTTTTCCTTTTCCTTTTTCTCATGCAGTGGCTTCTACATATGAACTCCTCTTAAATCAAGGTGCGCTGATAAGTTGCTCTCGATTCTTAGTCGATTTATAAATATTTACTGCAGCTAATCCCTTGGGCGAGGTATGTTCCGTCAGCGTGCACCAGTTTCCCCTTCAAAGAGATACTTCAATAAGGTTTTGGTTGCCAGACAATTATATCTCAGTTCCAAAGTAAGAGTGCATTGTGTACAATAGAGGCACTCAGCCTCTGGCATATATATATATGCGCCTTTGTGATCCCATGGGTTTCCAAAAGCATTGTGCCTTGAAGCTGTGCTGTCTCAAGTATAGCGATGGGCATAACTGTTGACAGGAAGGTCGGAGTGGACGACGAAAGTCACTGCGTAATGTGAATTAGAGAACGAAAATGTTAGATTTGAGTAGGAAAATGAATGTATTTGTAGACAAAAAGCAGCTCTGCCCCTTTGTATTTGACGATTGAACAATATTAACAAGAGCGAAGCTCTAACCAACTACGAGTATTGGACAATATAGACAGAGCCAACAAAGATGAGTAACAATCAACTTCCAAGTATTAATTGAGCAGATACATTAACAGACGCTTGTAGCATATTTAGGCAGCACGTTCTGTAGCCGCTTCCGTATATCATCCAACCCAGATCCCGGCCCCGATTCGCCGATTGTAAATCGCTAGCCAGCATTTCATCGATTAGTGGTACATAAAAAGTTACTGAACGAAATGACCAAACATCTTGCCTCCCGAAAAATTAATCCTAACGTCTTATAACGCGCAATGGGGTGCGATTTGAGGAATTTGCCAAGAAGCATAACAGATAGCGACAATACATGTTCGCTATTCATCGGGTATCTATAAAACATTGTGCGATAAATATAAATGAAAAGGTCAAGTTACCATTTGACGTTAATTACGCCTTGAACTCATACTCCTCGTCTCTAAAATGTAAAGTTGACTGGGTTTTCATCCAAAAATTGCCCCAGCTCGGGAAAGTTCATAAAGGGCAAGTCATTGGCCATACTAAGGATATTTGCCGGCATTTCATATACACGTCTTGTATGCGGTAGATCTGATGGAAGAGTGGGAATACCAGCAGATGTTGTGTGAGGGTACGGCTGCGGTGGCGAGGTCATTGCTTGGCTGGCTTCTAAATACCCTAGGTTACCGCGCTGATGTTGATCTCTTTCGCCCATATCTCGCCCGGATAACGTGGGAATTGGGAGTGTCTGCTCAGAAGTTCTTGCCAATGGGACGTTCACTCTAGAACTATTGCCTTGACCTGCCTCCATATCCAGCCGCACAAGCCCTGTCGGCCGGTCAGGACTGTATGCGGATTGTACTAGTGATGTGGTTCCGTCGAGACTCGATGAAATTTGCGACGTAGCCCTGCTACCTCGAGCGCGAAAGTTATCCATGGCCTCATGAATGTTATGTAACCGCTCTAGAAGACGTTGGGAGACAGGTGATGTTAATGAAAGTCGCTGGATTAGCTCTACAGCGTCAAACGCATCTTGGAGGCACGAGGCTCGGTTTGTGTCGTCGTTAATACTACCCAGCACAAGCAGCATTGATGAAAGAGCAGATTCGAGAAAGTGGTTGAACGTTTTGTGCTGTGCATGATAAATGTCCGTCTCATCGGCCAAGCGGACTAGAGTTCGAATGGTATCATGGGAAACATCAGCTAGAACATTAACTGTGGATGGATCAAGACTATTCGATCCGAGCCGGTTTGCCGATGTCCTGTGTACAATAATTCTCATTTGGTTTGCCCTTAGATGAAGGAGTAAGCAGATCCTATACTCCCCACGGTTGTCTCTTGAAGGATCATATTTCTTGGTGGTATCGTATTGGAGATTAGACGGTAAGTTACGCTTCCACTGAACAACACGAAAGTCAAGAAAATCGCGTGTCATATCAGACGCGGAGCCAGTTATCGGTTCCAGCAGCCATTTCCTTACATCTGATGAAATTCGGCAATATGAGACCATACTCATAACGTAGCATGTAGAAAGTGAGTCGCCCTAGTTCATTAGTGAGATTAAGCACCGCTTAGAGATTGTATTTTATTTAATTTTTTTCTTTTTCCTTTTTTTTCCAACTTACCTCCAGCATAGGATGGCGGTCAATCTCGGTATCGTGTACTGCAAATGGCAGCTCTGTGCCGAAGCTCCAACGCCGGTCAAGCGTGTAGACACACCAGTATAGCATCTCACCAGCTGCAGCAATCTGGCCCCCGTCCTGAAGACTCAGGTCTCCAGAGTTTCGAGAACTATTTTCCTGAAGTAATCGCAAAACATTGCCAATGCCTCTCCAGGCAAGAACTTCCCGATCGCTGAGGAAGAAAAATATAGTCTAGTTCGTAAGCCACAAAACCGTTAGACATTTCGCATATTCTACTGCCTCTCCAGATGCTTCAGACTTACGGCGAGTATGAGGAGGCACAAATCGGCGGCATTGACAGTGCTATCGAGCTGAGTCCTTGCCACTGTTCCTGCATAGATTTCTTCAACCCAAGGGTTTGCTATTTCGATGGTCCGGGCATCTGCGAAAATGGATATAATAGCCAAGACATGGATTGCAATATTCTCGATTTGAATACGGCTGGCTTTGCCACCAGGAGGCGGCGCCGGCTGTCGCGATGGATCATCTTTCGTGTTCCTCACGTCGCCCTCTGTGATTTGGCGCCTCAGCTCATCGAGGTTGAGGAAGGGATACTGTATGCCAATCTCTTCCTCATAGAGTGCAATGATATTAAGCCACCGGCCATTATCGACATAAGCCAATGCGTTTCCAGGAGCGTTGTTCGCTCTATGGATAAGCAGCTTCTCCAGAAAATACGTCACGGGCACCCCATATTGGCTTTGAGCTTTTGCCTTTTGGGTGGATGCAGGCTTCGTCGTGGTCAACAACCTCTCCGCAAGCTGTAGATAGTAATCTGAGCTCCGCAATCCATTGGCTTTGGTAGAGGCAGTGGAAGCAGGAGTCACATTATTAGTGGCTGCTGGATGAGAATGTCCTTGACCAGGCTGAGAAGATGGAGCAGCTTGCCCCTGGTTCTGCGTGCGCATAGAAGAGCCATCATTTTCTACCGTGTTTCTAAAGCAAGCAGGTGAGATACATTGCACCGGACTTAGTGGCCAGGATGAGTCTTACGAAGCGCGATTGCGATTTCGAAACCGCGTAGTACGGTCATAGAGGCAATTGTGATTGCTCTCCCTGCAGGCCTTACATGGGCGCTCTCCGCTGCATTTGGTCTTGCGCCGCTGGCATTCGTCGCTAGAAGGTGTCATTAAAGGAAGGCCCCATCAGATACAAGGACAGCCACGCCACACTCACCAAGCAACGCGCGTATATGAGTGTCTCCTCTTTCTGGAGGGCTGCGGCTGAGGCGAGGGCTTGGATACCGGCGCTCCCACGCTTCCGCCTAACGTTTCATCCATGGTAACAAATCGTCGACGACGGCAAATTAGTCAGGCCTGTCGACGGCGATTCGCTCTGCGGGTCCCAGCGGCGCGTCACTTGTTGGATGAAAGCAAATTCCCACAATGGAAGCTGGAGACCGGATAGCTCGCTCAGGGCATCTCAAACCATACAGTGCTTGACAAGAAGCATCGCACTTGTTTAACAACCATGCGTCGCAAACTATCCGTACCTGGCTGTCTGTTGAGAGCTCATACTAAAAGATCGACTCTGACATTCACACGCAAGGAGCTGGTCGGAAAGCGGAGCGATATTATTCCGGCTGCTGTAGTTACTAAGCACAGGCTTGTACTGCATGAGACGATTGGCTAGTAGCGTTTGTGCTTCTGGCAACGGTCCTGTTTTAGGCAGGTGTAGAAAAAGAGACTCCGATACGCGCCCGCATTGTCTACGCTACTCTGCGGCCAAAAGTGTAGTATAGCATAGGCCATATGCAAATAGATGTCTCATTTCGCTCTAAGTCAATATACAAAATGGTAGAACGGTTGTGTCGTGATTCGTAGACCTAGTGAACATGAGATCTTAAGATTGGTGCCATTTTCAGCTATTAGCAAATACCTTACGGATGTCTTAATATTTATGCATGGCAATGGTATAATGCCTACTGTCAACTAACATGGACGGATATTCCACAAACGACGTTGAGAAGATATCATTTGGAAAGCAGGCCTAGTTTATTGAGACCACAGAGCGAGTAAGAGATAAAGCGCCGCTACATCACGCATCCCTTTAAGGTACAAAATCTGTGATTGCCACTTTGTTCTGCCGAATATTAATTCATGACGCTGAATTTTTACCAAGGCTCACAACTGTCCTCATCCTTTTACCGTCTAATAGCCTGTATTTTGATGCGGCGATAAACAACTGTCTGTGCATTCGTTTTAGGGGGCATAGAATCACACTCAAAAGAGGCAGAAAATCAGCCATAAACAAATAAAAGATGAGATTTTGTGGTCCTATAGTTTTTCCTCCATATCCTACAATAAACAACCAACAAGCTTTATTCTATCATGAATCATCCTCATTCACTCAATATGAGTTCCCAAGCTATCTCTTCTACGGTTCAACATGTTCATTACTCTTCTTCCGGAAGAGGCTTGTCCAGTCCAAGGCGCTGTATGGAGCTTGGGAACTCTTTGGGGTTGGGTTTATTGGCATCGACAAGGTATGTCTTTGGTGTCTTATCGACTAGAAGGCGAATTAGATCAGGTCGCATGTAGTGTCCACCCTTTTTCCACAGTCATTAGTTAGCGCATCGAAAAGGTCTGAAGCATTGATAAGAGTACATACAAAATCAGCGAGACGCTTGGTTAGAATAGTCTCATCGAGATCGATATCGACGATAAAGATTCCCTCAAAATCCTTGGGAGGATCTTCCACGGCGCGGAAACCGTCCGGTCGGTAGATGCGTGCGAATCCATTGCCGATGACGGCAGCCTCTGCATCAACGGCTGCTTCGTCATTCTGGAGACGCTTAGGCAGATTGAGACGAGCACCTTCTCTGGTGACGACCTGGCTGGGGGCGAGCGTCCATGTGCCAGTTTCATAGGCGTAAGCAGGAGTCACGAGCTCAGACTGGGCTTCCGAGATGTTCGTGTACGGGTCGGGATACTTCAGAGAAGACGCAGGGGGGTAGACAGGCCAAGCGGCGACATGAACTTCCTCGTATTGAGCAGCAGCGTTCGCCTTGAGGAATGGGTTCATCTGTAGTAAATTAATATGACTGAAGCATTCCACTTACAACTTGTAGCGACTCACATTTTCCCAGCAGTTGAGGTGACCCAGGTTCCCAATTTCAGTCTCAACAACGGTGTTCAAGGAATCGCCAGTGCCCTCACCAAAAACAAGCTTCTCAACGTGTGTGGGCTTAATCTTGCGGCGGTGGTTAATAACGTTGCCATTGGGGTCAATGATGATCTGGGCAATGTAAAGGCTGTGGCCCTCAACCTCAGAGTAGCCCAAAGAGACATAAATCTGGGCCTTGCGAGCAGCAGCTCTAATGCGGCTCATCTCTTCGGAATCCGGACGAAGACTGTTCTTGAAATAGTCCTTGAGAAGTGGCAGAGAATCTTGATAATTCACACGCCATCCCCAGTACGTGTATCTATGATTAACAATCGGTTAGCTTCAACTTCTTATGCTCCGTAACCTTCTAGTATCTCATACCCAGGAATCCCTAAGGTATTTTATCAGTAAAATGTTCTTCTACCATCCATTATATTTTGACTTACAAACTTCAGGGAAAGCAATGAGTTTACATCCCTTTTCTCCAGCTTCAAGAATGAATTTTACAGTCTTTTGAATACACTTCTCCAAGTTAAACCAGCCTGGTTCAGCCTGAACACAGGCAGCCTTGTATTGGCGGATAGTTGCAACCATTTTTGCGTTGAATTTATAGATTTTGATGAAGATGCTGGTTTGAAGGCTATTGGATTGGTGGTGAGTGTTATTTGACTATTATTTCAAACAACAAGACGTCTAGATGTCATTATATTTATATTCAATGTACAGTGTGTCATGTCCTACATTCAACAAATCAACCGCCATCTCCGCCGTCACATCATATTCTGCGCAAATATTCTAGTAATTTTCTCATTATCTTTCTTGCTATCCATCTTCATAGTCACTGCCAGTATGCCGCATACGCCGCCGACGAATCTCGGCCATCGGAATCTCGGTGATGTTATTTCCATACTTCCAAGGCGTTGGCCCAGTGAGCACGGAAAAATCTTGTGGGACTGATCATATCGAACCACCAGCTAGGAGTAAGTCCCGTAACTAGCGGCCAAGCTTTGGCTGCAGTAATCCAGCTGGTGAATACGTTTCCTATGCGGTAGTTCCACGATGCGGATACCGGGAGACATTCATGAATAGTATGGAGCACTAATAGACTCATTTGCCGCCGTACCCTGCAGTATTCTCTGCAATATTCTCTTACACGAAAAAGGGCCGGCGCCGCATTCGCCGCACATGCCGCACATTCGTACACAGCCCGCAGAGCTCAATGATGAAGAAATTTAAAGCTGCTCTGGATGATAGATAGTCCATATCACTGTTATCTTTTGACTAGAAGTTGGTTGCGATTATCACTAGCTACTATGAAAAAGGGTGGTCAAAATTCATCCTTTTTTTGGCCAGGCGCCACTACCGCAAAGGGGGTTGATCCTACTCCCACAAGAAAACGTGTGAGAAATGACCTCGCACTGCAACGGCGGATTCCGGAACAAGGATGGATAAGCTGTCATTGAATATCCACAAGCTAGAGCCGCCCAATGAGCCCTTTCAGCGCCTGGAGTTGGTGGTCGGATTCGGTATTCGCAATGACGTTGTCTGTCAGTCAGGTGTGAATCGTACATACATATGCCTCCAGTTAACCAAATACCAGCTAGCCGGCAGACTCCACAAAGTAGAAATCATATTGCTCCGGAGTCGTAATGTGCCTCGAATGGAGGAGAACCGGCCCTGCGGGCCGCTGGCCAGCCGTCTCAAATAGGCGCTATGACAGGCTTGCTGATAGGAAAAAATACTAATTGTACACGAGATAACTTATCAGCAACATTCTGAGCCTCTGCACACACCTCTTTCTAGTCAATTTCTCCTACCATTGTAAGGGCACGATTACCCCAAGCTCCTAGCCGTATCTCGACTGAGAGCGGTGGATCAAGAAAAGATCCCTGACTTCCTCGCTATGGGTGTGTGTGCATCTATCTACAGCCGCCTTATCCTCCGGCAAACTTGCTTACCAGCCAAATGGCTGTACGTACAACCCTATAGCAAACTTACTCAGTATTAGATGTAACGCCGTATTGCTTTAGAGAAAAAAAAAAAACTGCTGCTGTTCATAGGCCAGGGTCGGAAGTGCCATATACCTAGTAGTTACTCACTGCAATGCTACTAGGTATATCCAGCCTTAAGCCGGCCCAGGGTTTCATCAATGTAACCTGACATTACGTAGGGCGTATTGCATTGCCGCGCTGCTGTCAATGGAAATAGTCCACACTGCGGCCGGTAATTGGATACAACTTGGGCTTTTGTGGCGTGGTGACAGGATCCACTCAGCGATGACGGTTTTCTTTCGGTATGAATAGTAATACTATAAGAAGCGACAAAGGGCGCCAACGAGGCTTACATCAGTGGCCAGCATATACCACGACCAAGTTAGTATCAAGGGCGTGAAAAGACAGCCTGAGTTTGATCGTTTTGCAGTAGAAAAGCTGGCAAGGACCTAAAAAACCGGGCATCTAAGAGAGACTTGATCTCACATTGCAAAATAGTGATGCGCTGCCTCGCTGAACGGTCCAAGTACCGATACCGTTTATACGTCTTATCTTGCATCACTTGACAGTGATAATGGCATCATGGAAGGCTAAACGGATAATGATAGATGATTAAGTATCATTTAATACTCTGACTGACTGTGCCAGGAGAGTACCTAGGCGTAATACAGAACTCATAGTTAAGGATAAAAAAAGATAGCCGCCTATGTTGCATTCCTAGCTGCATTTAGAGTAGAGGGGTATCCGTGATTTGGCTGCATGCATCATCAATATATTGCCCCGTATCGGCAGCTGTAGCTGTGACATAGAAAGTATTAAAAAAAAAGATAAGATAATAAAAGGAGGGGGAGAGAGAGAGGCAAAGGAGAGGGGTCGATCAGCCTTATCCTGAATTTGATTATAATCAAATGATAACGATGTCGTGGTTTTACAACTGGAATGGTACTGTGCTCCTGGTGGCACTATCTACCATCCTGATACCTCAACATTTCCTGGGTATCCTTCCCAGAAGCCTTGGGTAGCATCTGCAAATGACGCCTGCATAGTAGAGTCAATATCGAAGTGCGTATCAAAAAGGTCATAATCGGCAGGCGGTACCACGCCAAATTCATGAGACACAAGCTCGGTCTCATTCGTATTAATATCATGCGTAGTTGTTGTTGTTGTTGTTGTTTCTTCTTGTTCAGATGTAATCTATTCGGATTGTCAACTATGGCTGGGATATGCATGCATGGATAAAAAGACTTACTGCAACATCTTCTTCGCTTCCACTATCAGCAGGGTGAACAGGGGAAGGCTGCAAGGCGCCATAATCGATGATGGCATTTCGCATTTCTCGTCTGGCACTCGGACTCATCGCCTGGTTGCCCTTTGACTTGGAATTGCTATAAAATATGTGCATCGCTTTGATAGTTTCGCGCTGGGAGAGTAGCTGGTCAGCAATGTCTTAGGAAAGGAAGAGAAGAGACTAGAAGGAAGGAGGAGTGATTTACCCAGGTATCAGCCATAGGCCAGGCTTGCCTCATATCTTTGAGGAAAACGCATCCATCAATAATGCGCTGTCGCCAGCTCTCGATTTGGGGGTCGCCCTCGCTTACGTGAGGGAAATGCCAAAAGTACAGCAATGTTCCGACAGCTGTATAGATAGTGAAGCCTATCCATGGAACCAAGCCACGTAGGAAGAATAAACCAAACCCACGAATCTCTTGAAGCATTTCGCACACCTGGTCGGCAACCTTTGCAAGCTCTCTGGAAGAAAATATAGTCCACTGCTTCCTATCGCCGTTCTCCAACTCCGCCTCTTCGTGCATTTCTAGTTCCGGCAGGTAAGATCGGTAAAGGAATATAACAGACATGAAATAAATACAATGCATGTAGCAATACGCTTGTCCTTGATTCTGGACGCTGTGAGCATGCAATAATGATAAGTCATATCTCAGGCGTGGAGGCAGTGATTCCCTCCAGGCGTTTAAGCGAACTAATAAACGCTGGAGTTCTGACTCTGGTTGCCACGGAGGCGTATTATTTGGATGCGAAGAGCAGGACCACTTGGCAACAGCACCCCAGACGTCGGCGACTCTCATGCTGTACGCGACGATACCGAGTTTGCCGAGAGGGATATGAGGATTGCCATCGGATCGGAAACCGTCAATATGGGGACATAGGACAGGTTCGCCAAATATAAAGTTGCCTGAGTCGCACGGCAGTTGAATGTGCATGCTGTCTGCAGCAAGTAACCGCTCACGGCCCTTACCGCCGCTTAACAGGCTGTCCATGAGGAAACACGTCCATGCGGTACGCCGCCGTTCCTCTCCGTGAATGAACTCTTCTTTGGACTGGGCCACGACCGGAGGATCGTCGAATAAGCCCATGATTTGAGCCATTCTCACGGCCATCCCAAGGTAGACCCATGCGCGTCTCCCCTCACCCGAGCCCCATGAATGGCCTGTGAGCATGAGAAGAACTTGGATCCGCTGCAGGCTCGGCTCATCGATTGATGGAAGGATGAGCGATCTCGTATGTGCGGCGAAATAGTTGCTAGTCTGAATCTGACTAGAGAATCCCTCTGGTGGTTTTTGAGAAAATCTTGACAGTGGGCCAAGTCAGCTTCCATGTCAACAGCTCATGAAGAATGGATGGGAAATTATGAGCAATTATGAGCAATTATGAACGAACCTCACTGTAATAGCCAGCATCGCCCACGCAACAGACCGATCCAGCACCTTGTTGCGGATTGCGGCGAAGAAAGTAGGAATGTGATGAAACGACCATTTATAGGAACATCTCAGATAGCTCTCTTTCACCTCATCCGTCACGTAATCCAACGGGTCCGTCTCCCACAGGTTGATCTTGGGATGCTCATCGGGGTCCTCAGCGCTGCTATTCTGAGCTACCGTCGGGGTAGATAAAATTGAGGCTGCAATGTTGCCGTCTGCTGATATAGACGCATTAGGTGCGGCACGCGCCTGACGCTCAAGTCGCGAGCGCCGAAAGATGAACGAGGTTCCCTTGGGAGGGAAGATGCACTCATCTCCTCTCTCTTTGCAGCGGATACACGGCGGCCCACCGGAATGGATACACTGAAGGCAATTAGCACGGGCGAGAAGCCAGGGCATCAAGAAGCTGGGTTGGGTTTACTCTTCTTTTCGAAGTCCGACATGCGCCGCAGGCAATTGATTTCTTCATCACCGCGGTCTTGAGCTGCTCATTTTCTACGGACGCGTGACCGTCCCGGGGGGTTGAAATGGGTCAACCAGAAACATACAACGGGAGACAGCCCAACTGTGTATGTCTTTACATTAAATGACGCCCTGGATACTGCAGAACAGCTGCCTTCAATGCTGGTTGTGAGCATGTGGCCAAGACGGTACGAAAGCGCCGGCCTCATACTGAGCATTTGCCCTCGCCTGCTTTCTGCTTACCTAACTCGAGCAAGGATATGGACTCCACGCGCGTGACAGACGATTCTTGCCTAAGGCAGGAAATGATCCTGCTTAGATAAGGCAATCCCATTGCTTATTACCGACAATGCATGTGAGTACGGAGTAATTAAGCGCTTATCATGCCCGTATAACAAGGAAGCTCTCCCATAGTTTGCATTCTTCGCTTCAATTGTCTTCTATCCGGAGAAGCTGAGAATCAGATTTCCATCAATTCCATCGCGACGTATCAATCCTATTATCGCTGGTTGCCTGTAGGATTTGTACGGAATAGCCCTCGTCTCTGTTAACCAAGCCGGATAGGCAACAACAGCCGCCTGAATTGTCATCGGCAATGAATCTACGAAGGAACGACGTCTTGGAAATTTGAAGAGAAAAGAAAAGTCGAAACGAAATGAACCAGAGACAGTCTATTGGTTGAATATCTTATGAATAAATGTGATGGAGAAAACAAATATGAGACCAAAAAAACACCTGCCATGGAGCGCATGGCTCTCTCCCAACTGGTATATTTCCTTCTAGTTATTCTTCCATTCCGTGTCCCCACTCCCAGTTTCCCTATAAACCGAATTCAATTACACATTATTAAACTAAACTCCTTTTTATTTAAGCTGACCGCTTCTCCCTTAAAACTCATCGTTCACGTTGATGAGAGCTGGGGCAGCGAGCGTCGCAGCAGGAACAGCATCGGGGTTGGCAAAGTTGTTTCCGACAGTCAAGGCAGCAACAGACAGGCCGAACATGATGTTTTCCTCGAAGGGGAAGGCAGCCTGGAAAGTGACCTTGCCGCCGTTCCACTTGAAGTTCTGGACGGGCACACTGATGGGGAGCAGCTGGCCGCTGAAGTAGGTGATGAAGAGGCCAGCGCTGTCGCCGTTGCTGTACTTGGAGGCGGCCTGGACAGTGCTAAGATCGGCGCTGAAATGGAAGATTTGGTCCTCTGGTTTGGCGGCTAGGGCAACGCTTTGACCCTCGACCTTGAGCTGGGTGAAGATGGGGATGCCGAAAGCGTTGACGTCGTATGGGCAAGAGCCTGGGACAATAAAGTTGTTGTTGACAAATGAGTAAGCAAAAGGGCCGACGTTGGTGGTCAAGAATGGCTTTTCAGAGGGCACGGCACCGAGGAAAGTTCGATAGAATCCGTTCTGCTCACCCTCCTGGCCAATGATCGATGCTACACCTCGAACAATACCAGCGTCTCCAGCTGTGGCGGCGCCCTGGCTGACGTCTTGGAGAGTTCCCATGACGAAAGAAGTGAAAACTGCGGCAACAGCAACGGCGTCATGGATGTTGGTGACGGGGAATTGGTATTTGCAAGGCAGGGGGGCAAGCTTTTTGAACTTGTTCAGGGCGTTGAGCGCGTTGATTGCATGAAGCTCCTCTTGCTAATGAACCGTTAGCATAAGCTGTGCCAAATACATTCAGAGGCCAATGTGAATAAACTTACAGCAATGACAACCTTCAGGATCTTTTCCAGCTCATTCTTGTCATAGTTTTTCCAAGATTCATAGCCCGGCACGCCGAGTGTGACGTTGGCAAGGAGATTTCGGAAGTAGGCAACCTCGAACTCCTCGTTGACAGCAATGGCCTGTAGAGACTGCAGCGTGCTGGCGGCAAGTGTGGCTGGCGGAGGTGCGTTTGAGAGTGAGCCATCGGCCTGTTTAGAAATGGACTTGAGCTGCTCTGCATTCGGTGAAGGAAAGCCGTCGGGAGTTGCAGCGGCGGCGGCAGCTGCAGCGGTGGTGGAGCAGTCCTTGGCATTGGGAGGCCATGTTGCGGCAGAAGATCCGGCCAACGCCAGTGCGGAAGCGAGAATCTTGGCGATCTTAGCCATTGTTCCGAGTGGGTGGTGTGTGAGAAGAGAAGGAGTGCTGATCGGTTATGCGGTTATGCGGGAAGACGTTGCTAGGTCTTCTGCTAGATGCTGAATGCCGGAAGATGTTCTGAATGAGAGGGGTGCTGTTCTGGAAATGGGATGACAGGCGAGGTGGTTATATATCCTTTGACGATCCACATCCACATCCATCGCATCGCAACCGTCATCATCACTGCCATCCAACAGCGCGGGCCTCTCTGCTTCCGGATAGCCTGTGGCTTCTTCCCCCTCAAAGGCTATCTAAGCCATTGACCTACTGCTCCGATTTTAGACTACCTGGACTCGGAAGCTAAGGTTGCCGAGTAGTGCTGCTAATGATGGTAAGCGCCGTCAATAGAAGCCCTCCGGATGCGTTGTAAGCCGATGACTACTAGCTGCTGACAACCCTGCTATTTTTGGCTTTTGAGGCTGTGGGTGTTGGTTGGGCCCAAGCAACCAGTCGTCCTCCAAAGATGCAGCCTTTCTTTGTTTATTAATAGCTACTAGGAGTAAGTACTTACTGCAGTAATCTGTGGCCCGCGACCATTTCCAGCCACATGTGTCTAGCCTTATGACCCGAGCAAAGGCGCTCATCTCTTTGTTCTCCTGGTGAGCAAGATGGCCTGGCGCAGCTGCTAAGGCTTTGTTCCAAACCAACCATACACAAATGTTTTATTCCCTTATGTCAGAATCGACACCAGCCCAGTTACGCCACGCACTCTCGATCCCGTTTGTCATGGATGTTTTAGCGTCGAATAAAGAAACCTGCTGTTCGCTAAGCAAGCAGGCTGACAAGACCAGAGCCCAAAGATCCAGCCAGCATGACGGATCGGGATGCGCCTAAAACAAACAAATCTCAGCCCTCTCTTTTGCGCTGAGCAAAGCCCCGTTTTCCCCACTAAATAATTTCTTTGTATGGTTTATGCGCAGTATTTGTGGCGCTTCTCCCCGCTACCATTTATACTATTTTCCAAGTTTTCTTTTCTTAGCTACGAACGTTTGTTTCTCTCCCTTACCCTTTTGAGCGAATCCTAGGCCTATAGATAGCCAGCAAGAGGAGCAGAGGATTCAGCACCCTCCAGTGAAGCTGGGATTCTATCAACAATCTAATTGCAGTTCATACATTCTTTAAGCAACTAGATTTCATTTCGCCCAAAGGCTAGTTGAGCCGCTTTCGTTGCAAGACAGTGAATGTTCGCGGTTAAAGTTTTCTGTGGCGCCGTCGGAAAATTAAATAACTCTTGTACTCTGCGATCTCCTTTCAGGTTCCCACTGGGCGCATTCCACAGACCAGGCAACCTGACTAATAAGTCATTATTTAATCCTTTCTCAAAATAAGACACCAACGCTCTGGTTTTTCATTTCGTAATCTTGGGACAACTCTTGTAGCTGCTATTTTGATTCTCATTCATGAAAGTCTCATCTTCGCTTGGTCTAGAAGCTATAGTACATGATGCAATGGCCAGGAGCAACACTAGCTCATCTTGCCAACACATGTCTACGCTGGCCTATTATAACTTCCATGCTTCGCATATTGCCAGCTGGTCCTACAGTAGGGGTATGCAGGTCGTCTACTGCAAAAGGCCAATGCAATATCTTATGATTGAGTAGCAGCACCGATTCCCCTATTTACGGCGCCTGTACCTCAGATTTCAGTCATCTTTGTGGGAGGATACTGCACCAATGTAGTCCGTAAGCCGCCACACGATTTGAACAGGGTTGTAAAATTACATTACTAGCAGATGTTGGACCGCTCTTCGTTTCGCAATCCCCAACAGATTTTCGTTTCCGTTTAATAATACACAAGGAGTGTAAGTGACAAATATTTCTTTTCTTCTTTTATGAACAAAAGTGGGCAATTAGCTTGCTGATAGATAGTGGGGTAGACTGAATTCAGCTGGCTATATCAGATCTGAGAAATTAGCATAAACTGTTTGTCAAACCCAAGCTGTTTTGATTTATATGAAAAATGGAATAGAAACAAACCTTATGTTTCGTTTCCCACTGTACCGATAAATGAGATCCTGTACTAGTTGCTAACGAAACAATTACGGCTTTTGTCCGCCGTTCACAGCTCTATATTCTAGAAACAAGTAATACATTCTTATATAAGACTCTAATTTAACATTCCAGCTGCTTTTAAAAGCAAGAGGTGCATCCGTTCCAGGACAGTAACACTGGAACGGTTCTTAACAGGTTTACGCTAGAAATTATAAATACATACACATCCTTCACTAAGCAGATAACTTCTATTGTTACAAATCTTCAGTTGAGTTTCAATCTGAAAACAATCAGTTATTTAAAAGAAGACGTTGCTGGTGCTGAATTGTTGGTATAAGCTGGAACTTTTGATGTCATAATTACGTCGTGAGGTTGCATATATCCATGAGACTTAACTTTGTAAGAGAATATGTATTGAAACAAGCTTGTTACCCCGCATGGCAAATATATGATGTATATAATGCTCTGAAACTCTATTCAAAGCTTTTGCCTGGTCAAATTAACTGTTGAGATACTCAAGTTCTCAATTAAACAATCAACATCATCATGCCGTCAGCTTCCGAGAAAGCGAAAGCGAAGCTCGATGCAGTGTTGAACGATCCGGGGCGACACGATAGCTCCCGTAAGGTCAAAGACTGTATCACCAAAAAGATGCCTAACTCTGTACAATAGATCTTAAAAATCGCTATGCGACGACACGATATGCTACAGGCTGCGGCGTGGTTAACTCTGTCCCACGTCGGCCCAGCCAGAGTAGCATAGAGAGCGACAGCGGTAGTCCGAGGAATAGGCTCAAGCGGCTCCTTTCATTACCAGCATACTAAATGGAAATTGCCAAGAAAAACAACATGAGAAACAAAAGAGAGAGAGAAACGATTAGTGGCTAAGGCATTTAGTTTATGTTAGGTAGTTCTGCGATCAATGAAATATGCGGCCCTCGTCGATACGCTCTATAGGCTCGCTTGCCACACAACGTTTGTGCAGGCTTAGCCCGATATTAAATCGATACTGGCAGGGAAGAATATCATGTCGAAGTTGTACATACGTGTGGATCTATTATTGAGAACAATCTCGTAATAGACCATTTCAATACAATACTGGTTTGCCATTATGTACCTATTTTTAAACGACATGCAGTAGTACGGATAGGTAGACGTTGTGATGCAGTAGTGGAAAAGGGTTTTTGAATAGAGTAGAGTCAATTACAATAGGGTAACAATACTAGGATATAACCCTTGCTACTATTTTCGAGTTGCGCATGGATCCCTTTCCTCTTCTCTCCACTTTCACAACTCAACAGATAACACTTGTATCGTTGAATACACTTTTATTCGGCCCTTGCTGGAAATAGAGAGTGGAAAAGAAAGCAGTAGTAGAAGAAAGTATGTATGTAAAGCGAAAAAAATAAGTTAAGAATTAAATCACCAAACGTACATAGTAAACGATGAATTTAACTGAGAGACAAGAACTCCTACAATTGAATTTTTTTTTATTTAGTCTGGACAAGATACCTGGAAACGCTTACCCTAGTGGCTTCCACCCATACCTATTTGCAAACAATTGCACTGTAGATACGAAATCGAACAGGTATGGTGGATAATACCACGCGTGCTTTTGCCTAATCTAATCACAGCGGACTTCCGTTGTTTTTATACTTGAGGGTAGCCTGGTTGCCAAAAAACCACCCCCGGCCACTACGAGCTTACAAATATCAAATTCTCGGGAGATTTCTCGCCGAAGCCTACCGTAGCGCTCGGCACAAAGAGCTAAACACAAAAGTATACGAGTTGAATATGTAGCAGTCCATATAAATAACAGGTGCTAGGATTATGAATGCTCCTGCAAGGTACGTATGCTATGTTATAGCTAGAGGATCAGAAGCCTGTAGAGCAATGGGGGTTTCCAGGCTGCTGATACGATTCTCGCGGATCGGAATATTTATAGCCCTTGACTCGTTTCAGCTCCTGAAAGCGGAGACCCGCGGATGCAGTCAGATTGCGACTCATGCCATCTCTCTTCGTACTGCTGCAACTCTCTCTGCTGCTATGTAGTTTGAGAAACACTCGCCTAACGATTAGGTGAGTTACAATGCAAAAGACATTTTGCTCTGGGCGAGGTCGTCCGGCTTTTGCCTAGAAGATATGAAGGCCAAACAAGGCTGTTGGACATGTAAACGTAAGTCTTTGCCTGTGGAACTTTGGCGCATCCGTGCGAGTGCTGACAGGCGCGGCAAAGAGCGGAAAATAGGGTGTGACAGGGATCTGCCGGTGTGCCACAACTGCACTCGCACAGGCAGACGATGCTTGGGTTATGGTGTTCGTCTCCTGTGGCCGGATCGCCATGATGGTAGGCGAAAGGACAGCGGCTTTGTAGTCTATGAGCCCCCTGAGAATCCGATGGAGTTGTCTGATAATTACGGACTGCATTTCTTGAATGTTACGAACAACGATGTGGCGTCGTCACTGGATCCTAGCTCTTATAATGCGCTCGTTACGAGACCCATTACCAAGCCCGGCCGAACTCTCAATCTCTATCCCTCGATGGTTGGCCAAGATGCCACGTTTATGTCATACTGTAAGAGCGTAAAAACACTTGTATATTATGCTTGATAGAGCGATGACTGACATTTTGGAAGATGAACGCGTTATTGCCCCTATGATTTCGACCACGCAAGTTCAGAATGGCTTCCGAACCGATCTTGTCCAAATGGTATTATCTCGAGGAGATAGTGCTACAAAGGCCCTATGGAATTCCATGATGGCCGTTGCTGCCTTCCATCACAGCGGTGCCGAATCTGCTTTGACGTATAAGACAAACGCTGTCCGCTATCTATCCGCCTCCTTAACTCCGGGGAGTGAAACGAGATCAATCGATCTAAATGAGACACAGTTTGCTGCATCCATGATGCTGTGCATCTACAGTGTAAGCGAAAAAGAAAGCATAGGCTCATGACCTGTTGATGCTAACTGGGTATTAGGTATTTGATGAGACCGACGGTAACTGGACGACGCACCTCGATGGAGCTAAATATATGTTGGAAGGGTTATATCCGGAACACCGGAGGCACATCAAAGCAGACTTCCTCTTCACTTGGTTTTTATATCACGAAGTACTAGCATGCTTCAGTCAACCACTTCGACAAGCCAACAATTGCCTTGATATTCTTTTCCTGCTGGGATCTTCGAACTGTGATGCCACTTTGGTCAGTCTTTGACGCTGCCTTTTCTTTCTCATTCTTTTACACGTAGCTAATCCAAGTCGTTGCAGATTCTTGGAGCTCTAGGATGCTCGTTAGAGGTAATTGCTATTATTCACAGAGTGAACAAGATTCGCATAGCAATTATCACAAAGGAGATTGAGCCAATGTCTCCCAAGCTGGTCCAGCAACGGTTCGAATTGGAGCACACGCTACACAATATTGTCCAGAGACTCGATCCTGCGGGGGACGTGGGCGAGGCTCCTGCAAGGCGCACACGCATCTTGGCTACCGCAGAACTTTACCGCATAGGGACTCTACTATATCTCCTTCATGTTGTCCCTCTGCCTGGAGACGAGGACCAGAAAACGACTTATTTGGAAGAGGCGTTCGATATTTTGGAACGCTTAGGGGTGGCCACAAGCCCGTGGCCCATATTCTTGACGGCTTGCGAGTGTCACACGGATGAACAGCGCATCAGAATTCTGCGCATCTTGGAGTTGATGAATAATGTGAGAAATATCGGCAATGTCCGGGTGATGCGCAATCTCATCGAGACCTGTTGGAAGCACTACGATCTTCAGGCTGACTCGACGTACGCCAATCGCATGAAATGGTGGGAGTTTGTTAATTACGAGACTGCGGTTCCTTGGTTTATATAATATGATCATAATAATTTTACGAGTCTAAATATACTGTTCAACCAAGCTCTAGATTCCTGCCTACATATCCATCATCGTGACGAGTTTTGCCCGCTTTTGTATTAACCAAGAGACTAAGCATATCTGGCCGAGAAGAATGGCCAACAACATCGATGGATATTTTAGCTTTGGTGATGTCGCTGAGAGAGATATCGGCCTTGAAATTCCCCTCCTCGCCATCGCCGATCGGTTCGCACAGTGGACTTCCGTCAAGGCCGAAACTGTGAGAAAAGCCGCCGCCAGGCTATATTACCAAAGCCATGGTTAGCATACACCACGTTTCTACAAGACGAAAGTGCTGAACCTGTTGACGTACCACTTTGGTGACGGGATTTCCTGCCAGGATGCTGTCCTTTTTCAAGCCTTCCTCTGTTAGAATCTGCGATGAACAGATGACAAAAGTTGCTCCCTCTATCGCCATGTTCTGGCTGATGGGCTGGTCTGCCTCACCAGTATCATGGTAGAGCCAGGAAATCTTTTCAGGATCTGGCATGACGAACATAGATGGTCAACTCGGGACGTGAATCTGCACACCTTGTGTATATTAAAAATAGCGCAGCAAAGGCTGCAGATGCTCCTAGCAGTTGAGACCGCCGATCTTGTCAAATGGCGAGTCTATAACAGTTTTCAGGGATTCGGCTTGACCTTCGCCCCATATAGTTCGCTCTGAGTGAGTAGGCTTGATTTTGCGACGATTGTGAACAAGCTCCTCATCGGGCGAGATAAACGCCTGTGCAAGGTAGATGCTGGCCTCCTCGCGTTCACTGTAGCCAAGCATAATGAACATGCCGCCCTTCTTAACGGCATTAGATGCGTTTCATCTGGGGTGAGTCCGTGGTAATGGAGTTTGCTTGTTATTGAGGAACCCAAGTCGATTGTATGACAGGCGCAGCGATTCGCATCTGCCTGGATTCCAGACAATTCGCAATGTTAGCAGATGGAGCCATCAGACTGTCTATACTAGTGAGGCGATTTACCATGGGTAACCTGGAATCCACGCTTCGGGGAAGCCCAAGACTTGGACGCCATCAGCAGCCGCTTAGTTTATAAGCTGAATGGTCATGTAAACGCATCCGTCAAGGTCATACCAGACAGGCTCAGCCTGAACGGCTCTGACTCTAATAGTTTTCTCGTCTCTGATTGCAATATCCATATTTTTCGTGTAGTTATATTGGGCTAGCAAGTGTCTTTTGGTAGGGTCTTTGAAATGAATATATATCTTTGAATTGATGATTAAAATTACCCAACCTAGAATCGCACGGTTGCCGCAGATTGACGGCAGATTGATAATGCAGCTGATCCAAGTCCACCAATCATTTCCTCTACCGACATCGCACACTATTGCCTTTCGCAGACATTTGCATCGATCTACTCGGCAGCCCGATCCGAGATGCAAGTCGGAAGTAGATCTATGGGTTTGGACGGTACACTAAGCCAGATCGGGGCGTTTTGTCGCACTGATTTGAACGAAGCAAGAGTTTGCGATGTCTGAGTCGTACGCTACTACGGACCCTGCAGCAGTTCTAGAACATGCTCGCGAATAGCATGTGAATGCATGTCGGCCCGCCAATAAGATCTTGCCAGATTCTGTTGTCTTAGAAGATTAGGCTATCTTTGAGAGCTATACTCTCTGCCATCGACCCACGCCTGGATCGAGAGCATGTTGTCAGCATAGACCAATTTGGAACTATACTGTACCGCAAGCCGACACACAGCAGGAATAGAGACGGCATACAAGCACTTGAGTTAGATTTTTGTCTCTAAAATAATTGTACCTGTAATAGAATGGGCACGTCCGCATTACGAATAATCTAAGCTTATTAACCATGATGCCTTTTGAACTTGGGATTGAGTAATAGCCATTTTTTTGCCCATTACCAAGCATGAGCTATAGCCTCTGCGCGGAGAAATTTCCTTACGCCGATATCCTTTTGGCAATAGATGTTGCCCGTAGCCCAAAGTATTCGGCTGGGCGCAGAAAATCACGATATTTATGCTCTGTGATAGGATTGCCCATGCTTCGCTAGCAGTTTAGCTTACTAAGACACAGGAATCGACATTTACTTATATTTACTTATAATGGGTGGAGGATGGCAACTGCAAGCAAGCTAAGACGCCGACAAAGTACAATAGCTAGACTAAGGACATACAGGTTAATACCTATGTAGATTAATAAAAATAGATAGTGGACTGTTTCGAGGCTTGTAATTTAGGCTAGAACTACGTTTTGCGCCAAGGAGATACAAACTGACGTTAGCTGGCATATCATTGCGGTTTGCATACTCAAGCTATGAAAGCCGGAAAAAAAAGTCATTGTAGCCGATTTTAAGACTTGCTTATGTTAGTATTCATATTGTTTTATCCACCAATAGGTTAGTTGACAGTTTACTTAGAAAGACCAGATACTCCAGGTTTTAATAAAAGAGAAAGTAGCCCATTGCAGGATCTTAATCAGAGAATGATGCGGTAGGAGATGGAAATTCCTCTGAACAGAGAATACGAATCATGTTACTCTCTCTCGGTATTGACACAAAGTTCCAACAGCACCTAATACTCTACCTGAGTTAAGAAAAATGTATAATTAGAACATCGGTACAGAGATTTTATAGTATATAGTTGGGATATCGCTACTAGTTGTAAGGCACATCTACTGCAGTTACTTCTTTGTAGATGAACCGTGGCTGGATAAACAGGGTGGGGAATTCTTCTAGGCATAGCCGATGAAACAACCTCCTCACTCGTCGTTAACTTATTCAATAGGCCTATATCAGTCCATTGTGCCTAGGTGCAGGTAGTGCTCTTGCGAACGAGATATACAAACGTGCCCATCTTGACTATTCACACTCAATGCAACGGTGATGAGCTTGCTTTTATTCTTAACGAGCCATAAGTAACATTCGTAGTTAACATGCATAGTCTATCCGAATGATTCGCAACCTAATCTTTAGCTTAATCTATTTTTCTTCAAGAGATCCCTACTACCGAATACTCTTGCCGAGCAATACCCACACCTGATTCAGTATTCCATCGGCTGCCCAGTTCATATCAATCCCCGCCCCCCCGGGGGCCCATCTTTTCCTTAATTGACTAGGGTTGAGCGAGAATAAACATTTCGTAATCGATCCATGCAAGGACTATTTTGAGGCGAGAAGCATGTATTTGAGTCATTTTCCTAATTCCGAGGTAAGTTTACATAGCGCACAGAGCTATTTGGCGAGGTGGTTACAGCCGAATCCGAGGAAGAATCGGGGCATTCGGTAGTTTCGGGTCGTTGCTGAAACGCCCTGCGCCATGCTGACAGAGGAATAAAACGGACAGCATGTCCCAAATGAAGTTGATGGACTTTTGGGCGCTGCTTCACTGAGGTAATACTCTATGGCTACTAACAATTGACCAAGGCCATGGCCATCCACGCGCATGGAACACAGCCACAGTGTGGCTTTATAAAAGCCAACTCTTTTGTAAAGTACGGTAAGGCTATTGTTACCTTTAGGATCTTAAAACATTGCCAGTTTTGTTAAACTAATTCATATCAGGGAAACAACAGCTTGCTGCTACGAGATGACTGGTATATTCATAGTCTATCTTGATATTCGGGTCGATCGCACTCTCCAGGCGGTATAGGAAGAAGTCACTATGCAACGTCTAAAGCAGAGCGAAGCCCTTTCGCAGGATTTGAGCCGGTTTATCCACGCCACATCAGTAATCGAGGGGAGATCCTATGCCACACCCTGGGATCCGAGGTATCTGCAAATGGCGAGCTTGTGAAGAGAATTGTATATCTCATTTCTCATCGCATTCACTTTCCTTTTGTAAAGTTTGCTCTTAGGCTGGATCCTGCTGCTAGGCTTGTTCTGGTTACCAAGTTCTAGAAAGCTGTTGTACGGAGTTTTTTGCTCCAAAGTAATTACTAATATACTTGCTCGTGCTCCCGCTTCTAGCTCAAAGAGGTAAAAGTGCGACATGTCGGCCTCGGCGCTTATGCAAAAGCCGAACCGTTTGCTATGAGACAAAGACATTGATTATCCCAGGCTCACTCAGTTCGGTCGGTGGTTATTTTACTCACTGAACCGAAATATTGGCTGTTGTAGAAGCATTCCACTCACTGCAGTTTGGGTTGGGCTCAACTCAAAGGCTCTCTGAGACATGTCTGCTCCGCATGATCCCAGGCGTCCAGCCAGTATTGACCCTCTAATAACTCCCGTGGCGACGGACCGTGATCTCACGCCGCCATCGCCGAATCCACGCCGAAGACCGGACAGGTCTTGTGTTCTCTGCCACCGGAGGAAGATCCGATGCGACAGACAGACGCCGTGCTTGGCATGCGTGAGGGCTCGTCTCACGTGCACATATCCGTCGTCAGACCGGCCTGTTCGACGAGTTAGGAAGGCTACCATTGCAGATGTTGCGTCGAGGATATCAGATCTGGAGAAGACAATTGTAGCGGCGTCCATCGACCAGGGCGGAGCGGCGAGAAGGTCACTGCCACCGTCTGCACAAGTATCTTTTGCACTGAATCTACCCGTGAGCCCTCATGAATCTCCCCAGGAGCCTCAAGAACTTCCTTCAGAGGAGGTCCTGATTAGAAATGGTACCTCAAGCCAATACTTCAATGAGCTTCTCATATCTAGGGTTATCGAGGAGGTAAGCCATCGGTTAACCTCTGCAAGGAAACTGACTTGGTATACATTATCAAGCTAATCCGATGTAACTAAGGACCAAGATAAATCCTCACTGTTACATTCACCGTGCTGTGAAATAAAGAAACCAGATCCTGACTCGCCCTTCAGCCTCTTGGGCTTACTCTCTGGCCCTGCCGTCTTTGAGGAGAAAGAAAAGGGATGGCGTCTATCCCGATTACACGCCACACAGCTGTGGCAGTTATTTGTTCACAATGTTGACGCCAATATAAAAGTTTTGCACATCCCTACAGATGAAGTGACTGTTTTCACGGCCATCCACCAACCAGATGCCGTATCAAAAGACACCCTAGCCCTAGTCTCAGCCGTGTATTTTGCTGCTACATTATCAATGGAACCGGATGAAGCTCAGTATACACTTAGCGTTGACAAATCGACTGCTCTACGGACATTTAAAAAGGACTTCCAGATACATTTGGCAGCGGCGGACATGTTGGAAAATCCAACAGTTGTGCTGCTTCAAGCATTGGCTATATACTTGGTAATTTACTTACTCTCCATCCCAGATACTGTGATCCTTGATGCGTAGTTGCTAATCCGCTGAACTAGACGTCCATGCGAGCTCATTATCACGGTAGGGGCATCTGGATTTTGAACGGCCTTGCCGTAAGAATGGCGCATTCTATCGGCCTTCACAGAGACGGAAGCAAGCTGGGAATGTCGCCGTTTGAATCTGAAGTCCGCAGGCGACTGTGGTGGCACTTTCTGGCTAGGGATGGGAGGGCTGCTGAAGATCACGGTATCAGCTCATGGTCGACAGTTCCAGGATACGACACCAAAATGCCACTCAACATTGACGACAACGAGCTTCGTCCGGATATGAAGGAGCTACCTCCTCCTCACAATGGATGGACCAAAATGAGTCTTCCGTTGACATGCATGGAAGTAGCTCAGACATTACAGACCATGGCCAATCTCTCAATGACACCATCAGGACCGACACCTAAAGAAGTAATCAGGAGCAACCTGTTCAGCCAGCTAAGGTCTCGCGTCGAACACTATATAAAACCGTGCAACCCCGTTATTCCGATACAGAGAATGGCCATGAAAACAGCTCTGGCGGTGGTACACAAGATAGACTTTGTCACGCGACAACAGCTCGCAAATTTAGAGAATCCCGATAAGCGAAACACGTTTGCCACGGAGGCGAATCTTCTTTCTGCATTGAGATGCCTCGAAATACACCTCGAGCTATGGGGGGATGAACTTCTACGACAATATAGATGGTGCATGTACGGTCATCCACAATACCACATGCTACTCTATGTGCTATGGCATCTCTGCGTTTCACCGAGCGGCCCCAGTGTTGAGCGTGCCTGGGTTATAGTTGCAAAGACCTTTGAGCTGGAGGAAATGAGAATGTCCATGGCAGTGTCTAGCCCTGCGTTGAAAGCTATCATCTTGAAGAGAATGCGCAAGAAGGCTGAGATGATACGACAGTCGTTAATCAACGGTAATGACACACCGGCTTCCTCTACACCTAGAGAAGTCGATGAAATTCCCGATGACCAAGAAATGGAAAATCCTCCTCAGGAGGCAGTAATGGATGTCCGTCGTTTTGATGGAGAAAACGTGGATTGGAACAACCTCATGCAGAACAACCTTCCAGACTGGAATACGTTGGTCGAAGATTTGCATGTAGATCTGTACGACTTCTCTAGTTATTTTTAATGCAGCAAATTACCATGTGTATGTGTATATATACCCTTTTATGGAGTTGCACCTCAATAGTTTATAATAAGATATTAATTATATTTGCCACAAACTTTTAATAGCCCACCATTTATGCAATGTGCGTATCAACAAATTAGATATTCTAGGCCCATCCGTATATAATGCAACATGTAGTTTCCCGTACCTTGACTTTGACCTCAGGTAATTTTTAAAAGACAGCCCTCAGTTTCCATCCCGTCTGGTTGATTCTCGCTGCCAACACAAAGGTCGTTCCAGCTAAACAAAAGATACCAGAGAATATTTTAGGTCCAAGCCATCCCAATGGGCCGTCCAAAATAGCGCCAGAGATAGGATTTGTCGTCAGGCCTCCAAAAGACAAAACGAAAAACGAGAGACCCATCCGGAAGCCCATCTCAGATGCCGGCGAAATCTGAACCACGAGTGCAGCGATCAAGGCAACGTATGCTCCAGAAAAGAATCCAAAGATGGCAGCAAAGGCAATTCTCGCGCCAGTTGTGGCTGCAGGAATCCAGAGGGCCAAAACGAAAATACTTGCAAGGTAACAAACAGTTATGAAGACGTTATAGCGGCCAAATTTGTCGCCAGCGAAGCCAGACAACATACGACCAAACAAACTAGATAGAACATGATCAGCAAAACATTTACATGCGCAAAAAGAAGCAGCTCTTCAGGCTATCTTACCTTCCGGCGTTTAGAATAGGAACCAGGTATAACACCAAGTTAGGGTCCGCTCCACCCGCAGCAGCCTCGACCGAGATGAAGTTGATTGGGACATAAAGCCCAAAAGTAAACAGCAACAATCCCATACAGACGCAGGCAAACTGAACTTCTGTGAAAGGAGCTACCATCCTCTTCACGGTGATTGGCTGGAACTTGGGTGGATTGAACGCATCAACCGTTAAAATAGCGATCACGAGGAGGCCGAGGATCAGGAAGGCACAGGTTCGCATTGCCCAGCCGAAACCAACTTCTTTGATCAACCTAGTGACCATGATAGGGAAGATGACGCCTCCTAAACTTGAGCCAGTTGCCAAAAGTCCGTAGGCGGCACCACGTTTCGTAGTGAACCAAGTAGCGATGCTGTTAAGCGCTGTATTCATAGTATTAGATTTGAAGGGTAGACGGAACACATGCGGCTGACTTACCTGGCTGGTAGATGGCAGAAACACCGATAGCACTGCAAACTCCCTGTGAAAGGAGAATTTGGTAGTACTGGGTAGAAATAGATGTCATCATAAGGCCAAAGACATGCAGAAAGGTTCCGACAATGATGAGTTGGCGAGGGCCATATTTGTCGTATATAAGGCCAATGAAGGGTCCCTTAACAAGTGGTCTTAAGTTAGCTAGGGGCATAAATCAAGCTGGCAGCTAGCACCAGTGGCATCAAGGAATAGCATCAAATAGCTTACCAAGGCCATCATGAAGAAAATCTGTAAAGATGGGATCCATGAGACGGTACTGGTCGAGTAGTCTTTCAGAATCGTAGTTTCGTAATAGTCCTGGAACGCTCCCACGCCTGATTATTGCGGATGGGTTAGCTAACTCAGCCCTTCTAAATTCATCAATCCCATAGGCCTATTATGTGAAATGGAACGTACTGTTAATCCACCCAAAGCTGCATACCGAGGTGCACCATGCCCCTATAACCACGAGCCATGCCCGCAGACCACCATCTGGCGGAGTACTGCCGACGGGTGCTTGAATCGGAGATTGATATCCGGCCTCTTCTTCCTTTGAGAAAATACGCTCCTCGTGACCAGAATTTCTGTTTACACCCTTTTCAGAGACGATGATGTGCTGCTCATTGTGACCGCCATCTTCCGTAACCGTGTCACTGGAATTTGAGCCTGAAAACATGGCGGTCGCGAAAGTGTATGGCAGGTCGGAGCAACGAAAGTTTGGAAGCGAATTAGCCGTCAACAGGCGATCTGCGGCGGGTGGCCGTCCAAAGGGCTCTCGATTACCGGGCACGATTCGGAGCCAAACGACGATGGCTGACTTAACCTCGAGTACTTTACGGTGTATGCATAGTATATAAAGAGATGTAAGAATTCTATCGTCGAGATGACCTACGCTAAGTCACCGGTTGTCTAAGGCTATTCCAACGGCAGATGAATAATAAAATCTGAATAAACCAACGTTAAGGGCCGAGAATTTCAGGAGGGCCGGCCCATCAGTTGACCGAGACCGAAGCGAGCCAACGTCAAGGATCGGCCCCCCATCGGCGAGCCACATGGCCAAGAAAGCCATTCTGGGGCAATGATTTTCTCTTTTCTCTGTTACTTCTCTTACTTCTCTTACTTTATTTACTTTATTTAATTTATTTACTTTATTTACTTCTTGTCTTTTGGTATTTCTGTGAATGGTATAAAAATTTGCTTCATTATCAGGGGAATTCTCGCAAATCCACACGCTGTATGGACAGCTTCCCCCCCCCCCCCTTTNTCTCTCCAGAGCGGCTCAACCGAATTTGGCGATAGACGCGAGGCCATATAACGCCCTGTGGCAAATAGGGAAATTTTTTGAAGAGAAGTGCTGATGGGTGGAGATGGCTAACAAACAATGGCGCAACACTACCTAAATAAATACGTAATGATTTATACGGCAATTTTATAGCTTGTGCCGCCGCCCGGGCCCTTTCTGTAACGTAATTACCCCAATGCTATACAGGTAATAATAGCCAGCAAGAAAAACCGGGACCGCAAAAAAAGTTGACCGCGCCAACGGTCATCAAAAAAAGCAAAAGTAGCACAAATGAGCGACTCAGTAGCAGAGCCACAAGCAGCAATCATGAAAATAGAGCAGCGGGAATAAGAGCCAGAAGTAGCATCTCAGCGTAAAAAAAGATAATATAGATCCCAGCTGGCAGAGAATATGCATCTACACATATTATGCACGCTTTTTGCTGCTCCTATCTCTACCAGCTTACATCTGCAAACTATAAGCTACGGAGTATCATAACAGATCAGTAGCCACACGACGGAATCTAGATTTTCCAGCAACAACACCGTTGTATGAGAATTCAATTAGAAAAAATTGTCACCAAAGCCCGTCACCGGACATTGAATCTGTGTTGTTTCCACACCACCCGCGGCTGTTGAAACACAGCTAACCCCGCATACTCGAAAGGAACTAGACTCTTGGGCAACTGTAAAAAAACTTGCTGACAAAAGCAGAGCAAATGCCGAATACACAGGTAACAGCACAGTTAGTTTGGTACATGTAGCTATCTATCACAAATCTTTTAAGAAACAGTAGTGATGAGGCGATAGATAGAACCACTCAGGCCATACTTTTGACTTGTCACGCTGGTAGAACCAAAACCAAAACCAAAAGCCAGTGAGCAACGCAGTGTGTGTATTTTTGGGGGCCAAAACAACACCGAAGCCAAGCCTCAGCTTTCGGATCATTGCGCATAAAGCAAACGATGATCCGAATAACATCAGTATAGTTAGAGTCATATATGTACATGCTGCTACTGTAATTCACCCACAGATTAGAATAATCCTCAGTTTAGTGCTATCTAGAGTTATCTGATCCGTCGCCTACTTTATGCTTATGACTAATGCTCGCCGGCGTGAGTCATTAATAATGGATTCTCCTCCTTCTCCTCACTGCCGTCATCCAACGTATCACAGTATACTTGCGTCGGCTCTTTCATTTGTCATATGTATTTAACATGATGAGTTCGCCATTAGATTCATTGGCTCTCGGCCTTGTTGTCAAAATACCCTCCGCGCCGCAAAAACTCGAGTAGGCATCAAGAGCAAATCAAACAGCACTACCCGCCGTGTCGGAAGCAAGATACTGTAGTTTCAGTTTTGGGCAAGGGCCAATACATAAACGGCAAGCAGAAATAATGTCCGAGCCGAATCTGTCAGGCTCGCCGCCATCCGCTCGTGTTCGGCTCCGCGATCTCGTCCCGGGCATTCAGGTTGGGGCTTGGCCAACAGGGCCCAAGAATGGCATCACCGATGTCCCTGGAGTGCTCGTCCATACGAAATCTATCCACACCCCTGATGGAGCTGTCAACACCGGATTGACTACCATTCTCCCTCGCAAAGATTGGTTCCACAACGCATGCCATGCAGGCATCTTCCGCTACAACGGCTCAGGAGAGCTGACGGGTAGCCACTGGATTGAGGAGACGGGTCTCCTCCACAGCCCAATCGTCTTAACAAACAGTTTTGCTGTAGGCAACTGTAATACTGGTATCTACCAGTATGCCATTGAAGAGTACAGCGGAGCCGATGGAAGTGTAGATTGGTTTCTCATGCCTGTCGTGGGCGAAACTTATGACGGCTATCTCAACGACCTTACCAAGTTTGTAGTAACGCCGCAACATGTCGTCGACGGCATCAAGGCAGCCTCTGCAGATCCAGTTCTAGAGGGCAACACTGGTGGTGGCACGGGCATGATGTGCCAAGGTTTCAAGGGAGGCACAGGCACTTCAAGCCGTGTGGTGCCAGGTTTCGATAGCAAGGGGAATGAGAAGAGCTATACAATTGCGGCACTGGTACAGGCAAACTACGGCCGGATGCCTCCTTTGAAAATCACCGGTGTCCCCGTAGGAAGGATTCTTGCGGCGGAAGCCTTGAAGAGCAAGGAGGCAGCAAAAGCCAAGGCCGAATATGATGCCGCCAAAGATACCAAGGATGGCAGTATCATCATCGTCCTCGCCACGGATGCTCCGTTAAGCGCCATTCAACTCCAACGCCTGGCAAAACGCGCTACAGGCGGCCTGTCTCGCGTTGGTGGCTACGGGCACAATCCTAGCGGCGACATATTCATCGCATTCAGCACGGGAAATAAGATTCCAGTGCAAACCGTGGGCTCTAATCATCGATCTGTTGATCCGTTCAAGGCTAATACCTTGGTAACGGAGTCGATCGATGACACAACTATAAATGCCTTACTCGAAGCTGCCGCCGATTCTACTGAAGAGGCGATATACAACACCCTTTGTATGGCAGAAAGCATAACAGGGTTCAAGGGCAATCATGTGGACGCACTGCCTCTGGATAAAGTTAAAAGTATTCTAGAGAGACACATTGCCTTGGAACAAGCTATTCAGGCAGAGATGTAACAGAATTAAGCCGCAAGGATCCATTATTGGTGCTGAGGTTCAAAAAATATATATATCTTTAACCCACTTACAAATAAGCTCAAATCATCCACATTATCAACTATATTCACTGTTCAAGATTGTGATGGATGTAGTTCTCCCTCTCTGTAAACGGATCATGAAATCATCAGGAAATTAGTATAATATCCCCCCACTAAGCTTGCTTGTATTTCCAAATTAGAGAACTGCAGCTAGTACCCCAGTTCCAACACCAAGCGCAAGAACCCAAAGACTCTTCCAGTCTGAGCCAGCCCATAATGGCTTTGCACCAGAAGAGCCGTTGTCTCCATTTTTTGGAGGGCTACCATCATCACCGCCACTTCGAAGAAGAGTAGTGGTCGAGCTGCTACGACTCTCGCTTGAGCTGCTTTCGCTATCGTCGGGCCCGCCTGAGCTGGGGGTGGGAGCACTGGGTATTTCAGTTATTCTTGGTTCGCTCGCTGGACTCTGGTTTGAGCTTGGGCTGGGGCTCGGACGCTCCGACGATGGCGTGGATACAAACGATGTGCTCCCGGCCAAAGACTCAAGAGAAGTGGCAGCAGCGGGTGTAGGAAGAGACAGCGTTTTAGACTTTTCGCTGAAGTACTCAGAAGCGGCGCCTGCATCTGTTGTCTTTACACTGAAAACAGTCTGAGTGGTTGAACGTGTGGAGGTCACGACAGATGCCTGAATATCGATCGAGTACGTCCAGTAATAGTACCAATAGTACCTACAAAATACAAGAGTATCAGTATAAAGCTCTCCAGTCATTACATCTCTCGGAATACAGGCAAATCACTCACCAAGTTACCGTCCAGTAGTAGGTTTGATAATATGTAGTAGTATACGTGTGCGTTGTTGTAGTCGTCGGAGCATAAGTAGTCTTTCCATCGTCGACGTGTGCCGTGCATTTTGCGTCGGTGCAACAAATAATGCGATTTAATAATCCAGAAAGGTAACAATTATTGCCTGCAGGACAATGAGATTCGTCTTTGCAGCATTGATCTCCTTTGGGCATGCAGTGGCTTGTGCCGCAACATGTTTGGCCTTGAGCACAAGGGCCGGTCGGGCAACACGCAGATCCTTGGGTATGGCAATATCCGTAAGAGCAGCAAAGGCTATTCGAGACGCAGCACCCCCCAGCACCTACAAGAAGCAATTAGCCCTATTAGTGATGTCTTTCAATAGACTTATGTCAACGTATTGGAGGGTGACTCACTAGGACAATATCCGTAGCCCTGGGGACAAGATTGGCGCTTGCCTAGCAATATGTCGAGAGCTTCGCGAGGCTTCAATTCAATGCCAAGTGGCACTTTGCCATCATTGTTCTTATGACTAGATTTTGATGGAATGTCTAGTCGACCAATTTCTTCTTTCACCACCGTATATACTCTGGGACGGTCTTCAAGTTTCTCGTCATAATTCACGAAGAGTTTGGCACTCGAGAGAGTGGCAGCCCAGAGAAATAGAAATGCGGTCTGCATCTTATTCAGCTTCGAAGGCGTATCGCCTGGCTTCAAAGACAGAGAATCGGGTCAAAAGTGATTCCCACAAACCAACTTACAAACTGGGTACTTCACCCTTTTTAATACCGTGCTCTCGCTTTAAACTAGCTTCTACACAAGCGGATGTTCAACGATATACCGGCATAACCCCTTGGCAGCTAGTTTTCTGAACCAGGATGCTATTGGTGCAAATTTCGACGACTGATAGAACGAAGGAATATTGTATACTTCTCGTTAATCTTCATTTGTTTGTTCTTGGTCTGCTATACCATAACAAGGTAGCTGCACTTTGTAGGGGTGGCCTGTTCTATTTTTTAGTGTATTGTCATGCCCTTCTTGGCCATGTTAGTAAATTCAGCTTCAGCTCATGGGACACTGCCAGACCAATGTATAATTCCGCATGACAGCTATTTCTACAACTTTCGGTCCTAGTGTACGCCTACACGCAAGAGTGCAGAATCATGATTTCGTAGCATATCCTATGGAATTTTATACTCGTTCTTCTGTCTCCCTGCTCATTGTATTTCACCAATATCCTAACTCGTACTTCACTCTGCATGACGAGAAGAGGTGGCTGGGTGGGTAATCCACCTGGTCCATCTCTGCGGACGACGTGCGGCTGAACGCCCGACTCTGCCAAGAGAAGCGCACCCATGTTACACTATAGGGCTTCTGGTCTAGTTTTCTTTAGGCAACATGCTCTAAATTCAAGATCGATGCTTCTTTTGCCTTGTACAGCAAAGTCACATCTCACACCCAAGCACATACGGTTAGTACAGAACGACGGACAAGAAGCGAGGCGGGCAGACAGGTTCAAGTTTTCTTCCATGCACTGAACGCTTCTGAGCACGAGCTTCACTCGGATATCTTAAAATTAGTGCGTGGAAGAAGCTTTGATAGATGCTAGAACGAGATAAGTATAAATACCCAAAATGAGACAAAAGAGAAGAAAAAAGGCCAAGCGGTGAGATCCGCTGCATGAAGTGTATTGGAAAAGCGAACTACTACTCATTGGCAGAGGCTGTAGCACTTTTTAGGCATGGAAGCGGTCTTTCGCTCTTAGGATGTCACCAGTGAAGATAGGATAGTTGAGGAGAACGATACGTACTTGTATTGAAAACCGGTTATGATGAGTTTAGTGTTCTGCAAGTCAATATAAATTAATATATATCCGCGCTCAGTGTTTCGTCAGCGCACAAACCAGATGGGCTTCAAGCTGCTGGGTGCCCGATTTTGGTATTCACTGCGGATACCAGGAGCAGAGTGGGGAAGCGTAAGGCGGATGAATTATGTAGCCGAATGAGATGCACAAAGGGTCTATATTAGGATCAAAGCTTGACCAGCCCATGATGAAAGACTTTGAAGAGCATGGGATCAAGAGTCGGGCACATGGTTGTCTGTGAGAAAATATATGACGGCCTACTGCTGAAGAAATGAAAGTCTATGGCTGCATGTTATTCTCATCGCGATGTGGCCATAGTTTTAGCCGAGAATGGGCAGATTTAGCAGCGGTCGAATTTGCAACCAGCTATTTTAGTCATTCCACCGTCAGCGCATTTAAGAGTTATACGAACTCATTTCCACTCACTCCAACAATGCAACAGGTCAAAGTAAAGGTAAACGCATATATACAATGCTCCCTGTTGTTACAATCTCGGTCACAAATGCAAGAGCGTACGGAAAGGATTGTATTAGTCCAGTGCCTAGTGAAATAACATCATAGATGTGTATTTACCAACGGGCTTGTATTTGTAGCTGAGGAATACGTTACTATCAGTTATTCGACATATAGATATACAGCGTTGAAGAGAGAGGAAGAGGACGAGAGAGAACGCCGTTACATGGTACAAACGGCTCGTCGGCTGGATTGACGATCGCTTTTGCAGGACTTTGGTGGGGTATCGGGCTATGGTAGCAATTTACAGATGTAGTATTAAGAAGATAAAGGCCTCTTCTTCTACAATTCAGTTAATCAATGTCAACAAATGATTAGTTATATGCATAATATTTTCGCTCTACTCCTGTTGTCAGCAGCCTCACTAATAGAATCATGTAATGCCACCTCCGCTCTTTGACTGAATTTTTGTTGAAGCTCGGAATACCAAAAATTTCAACGGAATGAGAGTTGAGGGTACTGTATGCCTAGTTGCGTTAGAATGACCTAAAAGCGCCACAATACTCCAGATTTCGGCCCACAGAGGCTACCGGCGGATGTCTCAGCTGGCACATCTCGGAATCAGTTTGGCGGGCCATTTCCGCGACGCTATCCGAGGCTTGGGTTCATAAAGCCATCATTGTGCTACGCAATGTTTGCTTCCATAACAACTTCAATCTCAAGTCGGATCGACTATTTCTACGCTATTTCCAACTCTGTTAATTAAAGGCCGAAGAATTTGATCTACTCATCACTATCTGTTGAGGTCTATAACAGACTGTCTTGAATACTTTGCCAGCCCCGCCGCATTGAGTCGCTCATCCAAGATGTCGGATCCAACATACACCATATACAGCTATTTCCGCTCTTCATGCTCTGCCCGCCTTCGAATGGTACTAAACCTCAAGGGCATCGAGTATGACATGCAGACTGTCAACCTCCTCAAAGGCGAGCACTTGTCTAGTGAGCACAAGGCCCGCAACCCAAACCTCACTGTGCCTTTGCTGTTGCGCACGACCAGCGACGGAAATGTCTTCAAGGTCGGCCAATCGCTTGCTGCTATCGAGTATCTCGACGAGACACTCCCCCAGAGCTATCAGCTTTTACCACCAATTTCAGATCCAGAGGGAAGGGCCGTCACGCGTACACTAGCCGGTATCGTTGCCTGCGACCTGCAGCCAGTCACAAATATGAGGATAATGAAGCGCATCAGGGGGCTCGGAGGCAGCCCCGAGCAGTGGAATAAAGAAATAATGACAGAAGTGCTTGAGGCTTATGAAATGACTGCCAAGGACACAGCGGGCCAATACTCTGTTGGTGATAACATAACTTTGGCGGACGTTTGTCTGCTGCCAGCTGTCTGGAATGCGCAGAGATATGGCGTTGATCTTGACGCCTTTTCGATAATCACGAAGATTAGTGAGAACTTGAGCAAGCATCCGGCAATCATCAAGGCGCATTGGCAAAACCAACCTGATACCCCCGAAGAGCTGCGTGCTAAATAATAGCCATTTATGGGTCTGTTTTCGCTCATCATCTCTTTATGTGGCATTGGTCACAGGGCATGATATTACTATCTGTTATGTTATTCGATACCTTCATGGAATATGACAAATACCTAACACGAAGTTTAATCGCGGAGACCGAGTTTGTAATACAAAGTGCTACATCTTCGGTCTATCCTTATGCGGTACTTTACGGCGGGATTTGGCTAATTTGTCCGCTGCTTCGGATGTTAAGATCGATCTCTAGATTAGTTTGGTACGGAGATAATGCATGCCGGCTTATTCTGCCTTATGTGGAACATTTACGCTTGGGCGTTGCTCCGCCTTTCCAGAAGTTACATTTATTACGCAATGATGCATATGCAAGATAGTTATCATTGGCGCTTTATAGTACATTGACACCTTAGTGGCCATTCTCTCGTCAATAAAATAACCTTTTTCTCAAGGACTGTCTTCAAGCGTATGTAGACACTCAAGTTGTTGAATCACACAGCAAATTTGAATGGGCCATGGATTCGTCTTGATATATATTTTACTCTATCTCAGTAACGCAAAGAAAAGGCGATTGGCTCATAACTAAGCTCACGCTATGCAGTCCAGGGTTACCATGGCGGAAGAAAAAAAAAGCAGTATGCCAAACAGTATCAATCATTAACTCAGTCTCTACACTCATGCTTGAGAAAGACTTCCAATCAAAGTATTAGGCTCTTTAATTCGAATCACTATTCCCTTTCCCGCTGTTTTACCTTGTTTTAATATTTCTAAAGCTTCATTTATAGCATCGAGGCCACCTGGTATTCGTTCGACTTCCGGAAGCAGCAGCTTGTGCATATCAAGCAACTCATATAGCCACTTACTCAGATAGCCACCAACATATTGACTCGTATGGAAAAGCTTGATCGGTACTGTATGAACCTGGATGTTGGGTGAATATGTTGTAGGGGGGGCTGCTAGAGCAACAAGGTGGCTGAGTTTGCTGCCACCTCCGCGAGTAGCCATATAGGCCGATGATAATCGATTTGTCGGTGTTTCGTATCCAGGGCGGCAATATCTGGAGCTTGTGCGTTCTGCAAGGACTTCTTGGCACCACGCAGCGGTTTGTGGCCCAACAGTGTCGACAGCAAATCTTAGTGAGCCTGGAACAAGCTGTTTGATGTCGCGCTTAGCTTGATCGAGATCGCTGCTTTCAACTAGAATGTCTGCATCTTATGTAAGTAATAGCTCCGTCAATAAATCTTCAGGCAAGCTTACCCGTTCCGAGTGATTGTAAAAGCTGCTGGTGTTTACTTAGTTCGGCAACACCCACAACTTTCAGTCCTCCCAGCTTAGCTAGCTGAATTATAATCTGGCCAGTCATGGTAGACGCTTCAAATAAAGTTAGATGTGCGTGTTTCTCATATCCTCTATGATTACTCACCTCCATAGACTAAGAGCCATTCCCCAGGCTGCGCTTGGTAGCAAGGGGCTAAAGCATCAAAGACTTCGTCGATGATATCGTCAGGTATATCTTCCGGGCGTCTCCTAGCAATCTCCAGAAGATTAAACTCTCTCTTCTTTGGGCCCTTTGTAAAAGTGACACCTAGACAGACTCCAAGAGAGAGGCCTGCTGCAACGTAGGCGACACCCATGGAAGCGACTTTAAACGGATCGACATGCTTGGGAATTCGAATTGCGTTATAGCAGCAGACAATGGTATATTCTTGAAACGTCGACTTCCTGACATCTCGATAGTCTGTAGGCACGGCAAGGACCTTGGACTAATATTAGTCATTCATCTTTCTGATGAGGCATACCATCTGAGGTGGCATACTCACCCACTCTCCTAGCTGAAGGCTACATTTTGGATCGATCTCTGCAGCTATGATTCTGCCAATGAACTCACGTCCATTCAAGCCACATGGAGACGGAAGAAGACATCCCAAGTCCCTAAGATTAAGACTGTTAATAATAAAGCGTGGTAAAATACAGCGCTCCCTTGCAGGGGGAAATACATACGCAGATTTCCAGTCGGCTGGGTTCAAGCCAATCCCATACACTTCCACCAATAAATCTCCAAATTTTAGTTTAGGGATCTTTTTATCCGTGTGGAGTCTATAAGGCTGTCGATGGTCATGGCGAAGTAGCTGCCGTTGTGAATATGGCATGGGATTTTCGTAGATTGTGATCGGAAACGACGTGATAGCGGTGGCCTCTGTAGTCGTCATTATGGCCTTGGATGATGCCATAGCCATGGTGTAGATGGGAGCCAATGTTCGAAAGCCCAAGGGTCATCGGTAAGAAGATCCGTCTCAACCTTGTGCTTGCGTGATGGGAATAACATTGTTTTTCCTAGATCCAAGGCTGACAGCGCTTTATCTGCCCATGGTAAAGCATGATCGTACTCAAGTGCTTACACGTTTTGCGCGAACTAGTGACAAGCCCAAAAAAAAAAAAAAAATAAATAAATAAATAAAAATAAAAATAAAAAAATAAAAACAAAAAAATAAATAAAGTAAATCAGGCAGTTTTCATATAGTAGAGGTAAATAAATGCCACCCCAAATATATAAAGATACGAGGGTCTTTAGACGAAATACAAAGAGAAATGAGGTATAGGAAGAATCCTGCATAAAAAGGCAGGATTGGGGCAGAATAAAGAATCCCGCATGAATCTCCGTTTTTAGAAGTGCGGAGCTCCTAATACATGTGGGCCGATTACCTAGTAAACAATAGATTGGTAAGTTAAAGTATTTGACCTCAGCTCAAAAACACCTTTCTTAATGTATGTATATACGCTGTTGACTACTTTAGCTTATATATTAGACATGTCTGAGAAGCGATTTATGGAGCCTCCCTTCTGCAACTGCCGCAAGTAGTTTTGACGGGAGTTGTCTCGCGAGTTTATACTTGTAAGCTCTTTCGTGTGTACGTCTTATTATGGTTGACCGAAATCGTCCGTTTCTCAAAATTAACTATATTCGGCCGAATTCCGTATGACCCGAGCAAACGAGCCCAGTCCGTTTAATTCGCTCGCACTCAGAACCTCATCAGGCCTCTCATGGTTCGCAAATGAAATATACCATCACAGCAGGCCGTGGTTTTTCCGTCGTCTTTGTATCTCAGTGGAACCGCATAGTATGGATACATGAGGCTTTATTTCTCTTTTCAGCGACCTTGGCACAATGGCGAAGGCCCCTGGGGGATGTCGTGATCAGATAGCGGGGCGTTGGCGAGGCCGAACCGTGTGGCGCGTGGGGGGAGAGTTATGGGGGAAATGCTAAGGTATGTATCAGCTTACCGTTGGTGGCAGAGTGGGAACTGCTAACATGCAGCATTGTGAAGCTCGAATCCTTTGCTGGCGTTTGCGATAGTACCTAATTGGAGGGAAGAGACCAAGGTTCGGCCGGTCCCTGCACTTTTTGCTGCAAAGGTCTCGGAAATTTCGTATAAGATATTTGAAGACCCAGCATGTGAGGATAGAAGTCGATACACGCGACAATGACTCCATTAAGTTGGAGTCTTCTGCAGCAGCACTTGTATCATGATTGTGTATATTGATTCGCCAACCAAGTCCTGCTGTTGAGTATGGCCCTGATGCATCTTGACAACTACGATGCTGAAATCGCAGCGATTTAATCGAAACAATCTCATCTATCGGCACGAATCTGCGCCCTAATGGAAGCTGTGATGCCTCTATCACTGTCGATGTTGTGATGGCACGCCGAGATTTGAACAATGATGAAATTCACTTCTCGAACAAAAGAAAGAGAAGGCGAAAGCGAACGTCACGGTATAGAAGAAAAGGGATATAGGGGATCTTGCGATTTGCGCGACAGGCAGTTGCGTGCCTCATTGATGGAATTGGGATAACGGGATATTTTATGCCTATATTCCTGGACGACGACTTGGACCTACGTGTTATTATGCCTTCTACTCCACCAAAGACCTATGCCATGGTTTGTTGAGATCTATTCGGACTGATTACGTGTTTGAAAAGACTCATTCGGACTAATTACGTGGCTGAAGAAGTATTTACAAGATGGACAAAGCCATTACCTTCTCTTTGATCAGTAATCTACCAATCCTCTCAAAGTACCAGCAAGGCGCGCCTTTTCAGCAGATTCATCCATTTTAGACTTCATTAATCCGTTATTACGAAGAAAATCCCTGGTCCCCAGTCTCCGTGCTATATCCTCTTAAATTATTCTTCAACATGGTATTTGATGTCTGTTCTTGCTGATTCCCAACGCATCTCTTCTGATTATAGGCGATTATTAGCGATTATTAATCGCCACTAGGCGGAAGCAAGAGAGCCTTTCTCTTGGCAACTCGGTGACTGTGAAGCCGTCTGGGCTCGGCATTGAAACCGGAGAACTAATATTTATGCTTTTCTGATCGGCGCCGGTGGGATGGAACTAGATGTCGGTAACGCGATTGCATCAAATTATAATCAGTCGAAAAACTCCGCTGCCGCCAATGGCGTGTTGATGAATTTAAGATGGGCAGCATCCGTTCAGGTTGAAAGAATGACTCTCTATCAACGCTGGACAGAGTTGAGTTGAAAGCTATCTCGTTATGGCATTTGAATCTACCATCAAGAAAATCGTCTGGTATGGCGTGAGTATAGAACCTGCGTCTGCTCCAACTAGATCGCGCAGCTTACATGTAGTCTTCAGCAAGGAGCCAGACTCGGCAGTCGAGTTTTGCTGCGCATTGCTGCACTCAAGAAATACGACATTACTTTCATCGGTCGCAAAGAACCGTCTGAGTACAAGAATGTACCAGAAGGCATTCCTATCGTACAAATAGACTTGAAGGACCATAAAAGTCTTGTCAATGCATTGACGGGGGCTGATGCCGTTGTCGTGTTCACTCAATTCAATCCAGGCGGAGATCTCGACATTGTTCAGATTGCGCTCATCAATGCAGCTATAGAGGCTGGAGTAAAGCTCTTTGTGCCTTCAGAATGGGCGCCCGATACTGCAGGTGGAAATGGGGCAACGATTGCAAGAATTGGACCAAACACTTTGCCTCCCAATCCTGCCGTCGCAACAAAGAGGGCAGTTCATAATTACCTGATGGCTAGATCTGCTGCAAACCAGATTGACTTTGTAAGCCTACATGTTGGCAACCTTCTGATAAGTAAGTGGTTTGTGCGCAAAACATTCATAATGATGCTCGGAATCGACACGCTTATTGCTTCGGTTCTAGATCTAAGTGCTTTTGCGTCTTTGGACATGAACAAACGTACTGCCTCGCTTGGCGACGATGGCCATGGACTCATCTCCGTCTCCAGTATCGACACGCTCACGAGAGGTCTCGACAGTCTTTTGACCAAATATCCAAAGCTTAAGAACGACTTCTTCTACATCTGCGACGGCGAAACTAACCTGCAGCGTATCGTGAAAACCTTTCAGGAGGCTTCAGAGACCAAGGAGCCATGGAAAATCACTTCGTTTTCAATCGCCGAGAGAAAGCGGCAAGCAGATGAGAATATGCGCAACGGAATATTCACCAATAGAGAATTCGCGGCTGTTCTTACTTTTCCATTTACTGGTGGTTTGACAGTCTGGCAGAATCCCGACAATGAAAGCCTTGGCTTGGAGCCACCTAGCGACGAAAAGGCTCAGAAGGTTGTTGATGACTTTGTACAAAATTCGATATCAAGGGGATATGTCAGTTAGGCACAATTGAGAGTGGTTATCCACGGCTAAGGATGTGTAATAACGAAGAGAGTGACAGATTCGAATATGATCTACAATTTGCGCTACGTTGACATACAGGGCCTTGTCTATGGCAATGAATAAGTCGTCGTCTTGTAGCTAGAACAACACGAGCGGTATTCTCAAATAAACCAATGGAGCTTTTGCATCATTTGCAATACTCCTAATCTCGAGCTAAAGACGTGCAATCTCTTAGTCTCGATATACCGTACTCACACCTTCATTTCACACCAAGCACGTAGTCTAAGAGCCAGCCCCATGATACGACTTGTCAGAGCCCTCTGAGTTACGTTTTTCGATTTGTTCTGTCTAGAATCTGTCTGGTTTCCCCCTATGTCTCTTGGTATGGACAGTTTTGATTTCTGCTATCCGCACTGAACCTCCTCTCTCAAAGCTCAACTACTCTACCTACCGTCTACCTTTACCCCCAGATCCATATTTGTCAAAAGTTAGAAGCAAGGGGGTAATCATTCTCTTTTTTAGGGTGAGTCTATTGTCTCAGGATACTTTCAGCTGGTGGCGGGCCTGCAGACAACAGCTACATGGCCAGCATATAATGACAAGGGTATATCAATAGAGAGGGACTAGGAATAGCAGTGGCGTACTCTAGGCTCTGCTGCGTAAATTAACGACATTATATCACATCTTCTTATTCACGCCAGACAGCGCGGCTGAAAGTCTGCCTCATTAGGTTCCAAAACTAATATAGGTAGGCTTGCAGACATCTGAAGTGACTCGTTGTACAACCAGCATGTGATGGGAAGGATGTCGCCTTCTGATGGCGCCATGGTGTCATTGAGAGGTATGCATGCATTCAATAGAAGCAACTCGGAGTAGTGATGGAGGATTGAGACTATATCTCATTCGCTTTACATAGAGAGGCATTTACCTTTGAGATCCGGCAGAAAACAGTAAAAAATTATTCGCCTCAACCTGAAGATCTTCTTTCAACCTTTAGGTGTGAGAGTCTTGCATAAGAATTGCCACTTTAAATACCGAACATCATGTCTAAAATTGTTTATGCATGCCAACAATGGATTCCGTACGGAAAGGACAGCCGTAGCTGAAGAACAGGGAGGGAGTTGGGAGCGCATTCATGCAGGCCAGTCCATGATCGTTGTAGTGGCAATCATGCACCCAGCATCCGGTGACGATAAATGGAGTAGACACATCAGAAGTACAAAAATAACTAGACATAGGCCAAGGGGAAAATACTGTAACTGGTCGACGGACAATCCTTGGAAAACAATGATATCTCCTTCCTGGGAAGGTAGTCAAAATAACACACTGCAGCCCTGGAGATATCGGGCTCCCCAACGTCAAGTTTCATGGTCCGGGGCTATACGGCAGCTGTAGTAACGATGGCTGAGAGTATTCAATCACGATTTGTTGAACCATTTACTCCTCATGCCGGCAGTGGCACGTTATGCCATGCGTAGCAAGTGTTCACATGCCCCTGTCAGGTCTATCTGGCCCAGACCAGGCTCAGCCCCAGTTTCTAGTCTGTCTCTGAGCAATCCCAAAACCGAAAAGCTCCGGGCTGCCTTAGTTCACAATGCCAAGGGTCGAAGGACCATCTCATCCGTCTTTCCCAGGGACACAGTTGATGCAGCGTGCCGTGCTCTGACCAGGGGAGGGCGTTACACTCATCTCACATCGAATTAGCTCGCATGAGGCGGCAGATGCCAGAAAAGTAACCTCCTTTTTCTTCTGATTGCCGGAAGTTGGCTTGCCACATGCTTTGGCTAGCAGATGGCGGTTTGGAAAGCCTTCAAGGTTTTCCCATGTTGATGGCACCAAGCCTGGAATAGACGTAGAATCAATCAAATGATCAAGATTTAACGCTCAAGGCGCAATGACTATTGATCGTTAATGACCTTTTTCATCATCCCAACAATGGCCCAGACTTTCTGTCGGTGATGAAAAGCCTTGGTAAAGACCCCCTTGCTCCAGCCCAACGACGTATGTACTCGCGTGCGTGATGCAGAGGGCGGGCATAACGAGTGTACATGGGAAGATTGCGCCATCTGCGCTATTAGAACGTATTTGGAAGTGCTGGAAGTCGCTCCAGAAAAGGCGACCATCCGAGGCTCCATAATGAGGGACCCTTTACTTTTGGAACGCCAGGGCGGTTCTAGGATCCCATGTCCGTGTATCTGGTGCCCAACGTGGACAGCCTTCCAGCCGTGTCCAGGATGTTTGATGATGATGCTGAGAAGCTGAAGCTGAAAGTAGCGTCTCAGACAGCCCAAGGCATGCAGCTAAGGAGAGACAAATGTCACGAGCCGATGTCCTGGAGGTGGCGTAGGTCATCTAGTCATTGAAAGCAGGAGTCCCGATAGGTCCAGCTGTCTGTCAGCTAGTCGCGCCAAAGATCAAAGTGATGCTGTCTCGATGGAGCCACTGGGTTTCGAAGGAGCACTGATGCGTCGGTTCCCTCCATGGGGTCCATAATAGGACGCGGAGCACGGAATAATACGCATTCCCAGCGTCTAACAGCATGTGTTCTAGTGTAGTAGCTTAAATCAAGTTAGACGGCGATGTTCCGTGCTGCTGTCCCGAGACATCTCTCGGTATGCTTATGTGATGGGCTCAAGAGCATGAAGCGTGATGAGACAACACATGTACAGTGCTACAGCTCCATAGAGAGATTGGTTGATACAATGGATCCAAGTTGACTGGAGAGTTGACGTGCGTAGCACATGATTCAGTCGGCAGTGTGGAGGTTATAACAGAAGCTAGACATCTGTGGCGATGAAAGCTTCGATGTCATCTCGAGAGCTTCGGGTCGCCGGCGAATGGGCTAAAGCGTCCCCCCAAAGAGGTGTGTCAGCCCGAGAGAGATGACATGGGAGGAGCAGGGATTCACATCGTGATGCCGTAGCCGCGGGCGTGTGGAGTCTCTGGGTCTCTGGGATTCAGTAGTTGATCATTTCTCCTCGTGAAATACGCTTCGTACGAGTACTATGTACGATGCCAAACGTCTTGTTCTTCTACAGCTATCAGCCAATGGATGGTCTGGTAGGTCATGCTGACAAGCCTATTCTCGTACGGAGCAAAGCACACAACCATCCATGCAATACAACTCTACGGCCCATCGGGAACCCTCATTCAACCTGATCCCTTGCATGGCCATAATCTCTGCTGCCGAAGCAAGAGTGTATTAGTAGCGTACACGTTATCTTTCATAAAATTGGAATCAAATCAAGGTTTTCTCCGTTGACGCAATCCATACAGAATCGCTCTCCACAAGTACCTCTGACAGCCATCTAGTATGAGGCCGCTACATGTACTTACACACAGCCATTCCCCATCCGGGGGCTTCTTTAGGCTCTCTGCTAAGACAAGCCAAGAAGAGACAAAAGAAGCAGCCAAAAAAAAAAGAGGGCCTCCGCTAGACTAACCGTTCGGTGCCACCCCTGGACCTTTTAGCTGCAAGCGAATACTTAGGCGGAAGCACGCAATCCGGTGGCTCTCTCGACAAAGGCACGCATCTTGCCAATCTCAGGGCAAAGCGAGTCTACCATATTTTTTTTTTCTTTTTAGGTCTTTTTAGGTCTCTCATCTAGGCCCTGAGGATTGGACCCCAATTATACATCATGCTCCAGTTGGCGGGTGGCTGCTGAGGAGAGGGTGGATGTGTACACGCCTCGTACAGGCCGTGTACATGGAATGTATATGCCGGCATGGGGAAGATGATGGAACGTGCGTGCAATACAGAGCAGATATGGTGCATCTGGTGCTCAATCGGTATCAATTTTGGAGTCTCACCAATACCGGGGTGATACTTGCAAAGTACTGCAAGTCCATGCAACTGCACAGGCTGCGGCAGTATTATGTACATATCACCACACCAGGGGAGTACGCAAGAAGAGGCTGATGCTAGAGCTGGGACGGGAACACAACCAGCAAGGAATAGAGCACATGGCATGGATGGATAAGGATGCGCATCCGCACAGGCGAGGCTCGGGGCAACATCCCAATATTTGCTCCTGATGGGACCCTCTGGGGATGCGACTTGCACATAAATAAAGTTGGGCTTGCCGTCCACCGACCCGCATCTGGCATCTCGCATCTCCTCGTCTCCTTTCCTTTCCTTTCATCTTCACTGCAGCTCTGGAAGAAGACGTCGATCATCTCCCATCTGCTCCATCCGGTGCGTCACGGACGCGTATTATCCTGCAATATCCCCGTCTCCATCTGGGCGATATACACCGGGACCCAGTCGTTGTATGGTGACGACTTGTGTGTGTAAACACGAGAGTTTATACTTCATCCACTTCTCTGCTTTTCCCCCTTTTTTTTTAAACTCAATATTCCTTTTTCCATTCTCTCACCGTAACCATGGCTTCCTTTGCGACTGCAACAAAAGAGCGCCTCGCCAAGGCCGTTGGCTTCGACACGGAAGATCGTGACAGCGATGTCCCATCAATATCCAACGCCGACCCGTTCCTCGAGCGGGAGCCCACCGTGGCCGAGTTTCTCGAGGAGATTCGGCCTTCACTGCATGATATCGGAATGTACTTTTACAACCTGTTTCCCTTTATCCACTGGATCGGCAAGTACAACTTGACATGGTTCATTGGTGACTTGATTGCTGGTGAGTTGCAACGCAGCCGCAACAGAAAATTAACCCGTGATATATACGAGCTGTGTGTGTCTAATTTCTGCCATGCAGGTATGACTGTTGGTGCTGTTGTTGTGCCCCAGAGCATGGCGTACGCGCAACTAGCTCAACTGCCCGTCGAATATGGCTTATACTCTTCTTTCATGGGCGTCTTGATCTACTGGTTCTTTGCCACTTCCAAGGACATCACCATCGGCGTAAGTGTTATAACTCCTTGTTCAACAACAGAAATCAGGACTAACCACCGACTTCACAGCCTGTTGCCGTCATGTCCCAAGTCACCGGCGATGTCGTTCTCAAAGCCGCAACCAGACTCCCCGATGTCCCTGGCCACGTTATTGCTTCCGCCTTGGCCGTAATCGCAGGCGCCATCATCTGCTTCATCGGTCTTGCACGTCTAGGCTGGCTCGTCGAGTTCATCCCCCTGCCGTCCATCTGCTCGTTCATGACGGGCTCTGCCATCAACATCATCTCTGGCCAGGTCCCTAAGCTTATGGGCATCAAGGGCGTGAACACGCGAGTCGCGCCGTATTTGGTGATCATCAACACGCTCAAGGGATTGCCGACAACGACCATTGATGCCGCCCTAGGACTGACTGCGCTCCTGATGCTGTATCTCATCAGAGGCTTTTGCACGTACATGGCCAAGAAGCAGCCTCACAAGGCCAAGATGTACTTTTTCATCTCGACCCTTCGAACAGCCTTTGTGATCCTTTTGTATACGGGTATCAGCGCGGGCATGGTTCTGCACCACAAGGCGAAACCCCCAATCAGCGTCCTTGGCAAGGTGCCTCGAGGTATGTAGAGAATCTATCGAAGTCTCTTTCTTTTTCTCAGATGATTCATTTTCTCTAACAAGAAAACTACTACAGGCTTCCAGCACACAGGCGCTCCCGAAATCAACACGACCATTATCAAGGCCTTTGCGCCTGAGCTTCCCGCAGCCGTCATCGTCATGCTGATTGAGCACATTTCCATCTCCAAGTCGTTTGGCCGAGTCAACAACTACATCATCGACCCGTCCCAGGAACTTGTTGCCATTGGCGTCACCAACCTGCTGGGTCCCTTTTTGGGCGCGTATCCCGCGACTGGATCCTTCTCTCGTACTGCTATCAAGGCCAAGGCCGGCGTCCGCACGCCTTTTGCTGGTGTCATCACCGCCATCGTCGTGCTTCTGGCTCTCTATGCGCTGACGGCCCTCTTCTTCTACATTCCCAACGCCGCACTTGCTGCCGTTATTATCCACGCTGTGGGCGACGTCATCACTCCGCTCAGAGTTGTCTTCCAGTTCTGGCGCGTGTCACCCATCGAGGTTATCATCTTCTTGGCCGGTGTCTTGGTGACTGTGTTTGCTACAATTGAAGATGGCATCTACACCACCATTTGCATGTCCTTTGCGGTGGTCATCTTCCGCCTCTTCCTCAGCCGTGGCCGCTTCCTGGGAGTTGCCCGCGTACGCACTGTTAAGGCGACGGAGGCGGTAAACAAGGGCGGCGACCAAGAAGCTCTTGTTGATTCCTCAGAGTACTCGCAGCGAGCTGGCTTCCTGCCTCTGGGCCACGAGGACGGCTCCAACCCGAGAGTTGTTGTGTCGAGCCCGTATCCCGGCATCTTCATCTACCGCTTTGCTGAGGGCTTCAACTATCCCAATGCCACCCGGTACCTCAACCACCTGACGGAGACTATCTTTAAGGAGACTCGGCGGACAGACGTCAAGACAATTGCCAAGCTTGGGGTAAGTTTTTTTTCTTTTCCATTTTTTTTTTACCCCTTTTTCATTATCGTAATTATTATTGTTATTGTTATTTTCCATGCCAAAAGCAGACGAGGAAACAGAAACTAACAAGTTTGCAGGACCGGCCATGGAATGACCCAACTCCTAGACACCAAAAGGAAAATGAGCACGATACCCGGCCAACACTCAAGGCCGTCATCCTCGACTTCTCCACCGTCAACATCGTCGACGTGACGGCGGCCCAGGCCTTGATCGACGTCCGCAACCAGCTCGACCGCTACGCAGCCCCCCAGACCGTCGACTGGCACTTTGCCCACATCGAGAACCGCTGGACGAAGCGAGCCCTCTGCGCCGCCGGCTTCGGCTACCGAACCCCCCGCCACAACGCGGACGACGGCGAGGGCGCGGGCCACTGGAAGACCATCTTCAGCATTGCCGATCTGGGCGGCTCGGACAGCGCGGCGGCGGCGGCAGCGGCGGAGGAGAAGGGCGGCCGGGCGCTGCAGTACGACGTGGAGCGAACAAACTCGGATGACATATCAAAGGCGTCTGATAAAGACGTGCCGTCGCACCCCAGCAGCCGTCGCCTGGTGGCCATCAAGGGCCTCAACAGGCCGTACTTTCACTTTGACCTGCAAGAAGCGGTTGAGTCTGCAATTGCGAATGCGGAGAGACACAATGAGAGCCGCCGTGAAACTGATGACACTGATGAATAAGCATTTGCTGTTGTTTTTTGTTTGATTTTTTTTTTTCTTTCTTTTTCTTGCTATCTAGTTTTGGGAAGAGGAGCGTGTCATATGTTTTAATAAGCTTGTAGCTATGTACAACTTGTTGCTGCTAGAAGCAGCAGCAATAGTACTTAGTCATCTTCTTTACCTTGTCATATCGGTTTTCAAAACACTTTACCACGTTAGATACCACTGCTCGCTGGAGATGTAGTTGAAGAATCCCACGGCAGACATAACAAACAATACAACACACTGTTGCTGGAAATTGACAGCACATGCTTATTTCCACGGCCATACTAGTCATAAGACTCAAACTCTGACTCTTGCTGCCGCAACAATAAATACTGTGCACATCCATCCCAATCACTATATGTGGCTCTTGGCCGGAACCTCTGGCGGTGACGTGGCAATAGTTCCCGGGTAAGCCATTTGCACTGGGTCATTGGTCAAATTGAGGTGAGAAAAAAACTGCCGTGCCCATGGGGAAGAGGCGGCGGTGGCTGAGCAGAAACTGGTATTTCAAACGGGAAGTCGTAGTTAGTACGGGGTACAGTAAACTCGACTCAAGTCATGCATTCACGTGCTGCGTGTGATTGGAGCAGCGACTCAGTGCTGGGGCTTTTGTTTCCATAGACATGAGGAAAAGGGCATTTAATTGCGCAGGGCGACGTATGCATGTACGTGTACCTGTTTCCAAACCTACCCGTAACTCAATGGATATGTAGTACTGAAGACGACGAAAAAGCACTCATGCCGGAGAGAGACAAGGAGAGATGAGGTTGTGGGCGTTCCGATATCCGAGGAGATAAGAGGAGATTTTCGGTGCATAGGCCCCGTATTTGAGCATCACGGCGGCTATTCCGTCATTGCGCCTATAGCGTTGCCACGGAACTGATTGGGTATCCAGTTGTCCAGCTTCACATAGTGTGCCAGAGCCCCCGGTTATTAAACTGGAGTCTTGTCTTTTCGTTTGTCTGTCTGTTTCTCAGTGTGTATGTGTGTATGTATGTATATATGTATGTTGTCCAATGTACTTAGCATTTTCTAGAATGCGATTCGCGGCGAGTTGCGTGTACGGGTTGCGTGTGTGTGTGTGATTGATTGATTGATGCATATGGCACATGGACTAGGAGGTAGCCATTGGGGCAAATACGGCACATGCCGTCATTGTAAGATGGCATTAGGACTAGCATTACGAGGTAGTAATACTGCTAAACCATCAATTGGCTGCTGCTAGCAGAACTAGACGCTCCGTACAGAGTCGATTAGATGCGGCATGTAGACCTACTTGGCCCCCCCAACTTGCCTCCCCTGATGATGCCGACTTCAACAAGAGTCTTTAAGGCTTTATCAATGAAATAGAAGAACAAAAGAATACAAAAAGAAACAAAACATTAAAAACGCCATCCGACGTCAACGGCAATAATTCTTAATTTCAACAATCAATTAAAAATCCAGTGCTCATTTCTTTGTTTCCCTGCCTAGCGCAGCCTGCTTGGCCTGGAGCGGAAAAAAAGAAGCGCTACTTGCAGGCACTGCCGGCTGTGATAGGACACAAGTTCCTGGCAGCGCTGCAGCCCGGCTCCAATTCGCTGTGGCCGTCTGACAAAGCAGCGCCCGTCACTCGACACGGGGCACGGCTGGGCGCCAAGTGACGTAATGGCAAATTCTGCTGCTGCCGCTGCGGTTCTAGCGACGTCGTCCAGCGCGCTACCCGGCCGTAGCGCAGCGCCATGGCGGTGCTCTTTTGCTCTTAAACTTTGGCTGTGCCGGTGGCCAAACCGAAGGATCCGTCGATTCCGCCAGACGTCGCCCCAAGACTGAAGGCGCCTGAGAAGCGAGCAAGGGCGCGCAAAAGCAGGCAAAAGCGAGCAGAAGCGAGCAGAAGCGCAAAAGGAGCAGCGCGGCGAGACACGGCAAGGCTCGCTTGCGAATGGAGCACACCGCGTCACTGGCCTGACTTATTCGCCGCAGCTCGATGCGCTTGATTTGAACGTGTTTCTCCTGCTCTGCCCTGCTTTTTTCCCCGTCCATTGACTGACTGCTGATCGACACGCCGTTTGCGTGCCGAGTCGTTCTTTTGCGTGCTCGCCCGTTTTCCCTCTTTTGCTTTTTAACGCTCGCATTCCTTCTCCTAGACTTGCCCGCCTGCTTCCCCAGTGCCAAGAGAAAATAGAACGAACGAGTGGGAAAAAAACTGGTTGTCCGGGGCCTGACTAAGCGATTCCGGGGCATCTGAGAGGCCCGTCCGTCTCGCCATCAAACCTCTGATATCCACACACGCTCAGACCGCGCAGCAGTCCCTCCAGCAGTCCCTCCAGCAGTCCCTCCAGCAGTCCTTGCAGCATGGATTCCAGCCGCCGCTCTCGAGGCTCGCGAAGCCTGCGGTCGTCGCGATGGCGCTCCATCTCGTCTGCGTCTGCGTCGCCGTCGCCGTCGCCCAGGTCGCCGTCGCCCATCCGCACCGACGACGAGGTCGATCCGCACACAGTCGTTCCCCCGTCACAGCCGCCGCCGCGCAGTGAGAGCCGGTCCAGCCTGCAGCCGCCGCCGCCTCGATATGGCGCTCCCAACTCCAGCCGCCGCGTGCCATCCGTGTCGTCGCGGCGGTCGTACAACCCTGCGACGCCAGACGCAACCGAGGAGTCAGAGACCGAGTACTTCCCGCCGCTGGGCATCACCTCCAGCGCTGTTTCCAGGACGTCGAGCCTCCGCGGCCGCGCGCCGTCAAACGCAGGCTCTGTTGCCGCCTCCAATGCCGGTGGCCGACCGGTCCATGAGCGGATAAGGCAGCCCAGCGTCCGCATTCGACGCAGCTCCAGCGGCTCTGCGACGCGAGGGACGTCCGTCATTGACTATGCTTCTGAGAGCAGCGACACAGACACGGGCCGGCGACACCTGCCGCGGCCGCGAAGCATATCGCAGCCCATGCCTGCCGCGCAAATCTACCCGGACGCCAACGTTGCCAGGCTCTCGCGCCGGGTGCCGCAGATTGCGCTGCCGCGTCTCACCGAGGAGGGATCGCGGCCGACCCTTTCGGAGCTGGGCATCCCTCCATCACCGCTTTCGCCCTCGAGGTCGCTGCCCGAGGAGCCGCTGGAGGAAGACGACCCTCGCCAGCCCGACGGCGGCGCTCCGGCAAGGAGGCTGACTAGGAAGAGAAAGCTTAGCAAGATGTTCTGGCCTGGCGGTTCGCTCAATCGCGGACCAATGTCCCCCCCGCCCCGCGGTGTAAGCGCAGAGAGAGACGCATCCGCAGGTCCTGCACCCCAGGGCCATGGCTTTGGCCTCAACCTTGGCCATGGCCACGCTCAAAACCAACCCGCCCCTGATGAGTACGGCGAAGAGCTGGTGGACTGGCTGGATATCATTGGTGAGCCCCCAATTGGGTCTAAAACTAGCAATTGACCGGCAGATGCTGACAGTTTCCGTGTGCCACTAGATCCCGAGGTCCAGACCCTTTCGACCTTGACCAACGTGCAAAACTCCCTGTTCGTGCCCGATCTTGGCCCTTGGATAAACCGCCGTCCCACCTACGTCTTGTCCCAGCGTGACGTTGGGCCGACTGCCCGGCTCGGCCGACCCGCAGAGCGCGAGGAGGAACAGCTGCCAGAGCCGCAGGAGGAGCTCCCCAGGTTCGAGACCGGCGTGGAGACGCCCAGGAGCGAGGGCGTGCCGGCGACGCTCCGGCGGTCCGACACAATCACCTCCAGGCTCACCGACTCGCACTACGCCGCGCTGCCGCATGGCATCAGTCTCGAGGGCTGGACCGAGGAGGAGAAGATGGAGCTGGACGACCGCGTGCGCCACATGCTGCACTCCAAGCGGTCTCGCTTCAAGCGCACCATGAAGGGCTTTGGCCAGTATGTGCGACGGCCGCTGGGCTTCTTCGTCACGCTCTACGCCGTCCTCATCACGCTCTTCGGCCTGGCCTGGGTGCTGTTTCTCATCGGCTGGATCTATGTTGGCGACAAGCAGGTGTACACGATTCACATCATCGACAGCGTGCTGGTGGCCCTGTTCGCCATCATGGGCGATGGCCTGGCCCCCTTCCGAGCCATTGACACATACCACATGGCCTTTGTCATCCATTACTCGCGCAAGATTGAAAAGGCCAAGAAGAAGAAGCTCGAGGAGAAGGAGAATGGTATCATACAAGGAGTGGCCGAAGGCAGCGTAGAGCTCACACACTACGCCTCTGGCGACCCTCTTGCAGCTTACCCCGAGCCGCCCAGTCTCGAGCCCCAGAGCGCCAGCGGATCGGTCGAGCGAATCGCCACTAGCACCAGCAACCTTGCGACCGCGCCCACACCCGATCCCGAGCAGGCCATTGTGGATCAGAACGGAGACGTCGAGGCCGCTAAGCTCGACATCGAGTACGACGAGGACTCTCCGCTTACGTTTAAGCAATGGAAGCGCATGCGGCACCACCAGAAGAAGCTGGCCAAGTCTCACAGTTTCTACAAGCCCGACGAGACCTTTACGCACTTTGCCTTCCCCTTGCCCTACCTGATTGCCATTGTGATACTGCTGGACTGCCACTCGTGCTTGCAAATCTCCCTGGGTGCCACAACCTGGGGCATTGACTACCACCACCGACCTTTTGCCATTACCACCGTCATCCTCTGCGTCAGTATCGCGTGCAACATCTCCGCCGGCCTGACCATCATGATTGGTGATCGGAAAACAAGAAAGAAGGACGTGTGGAAGCTGCTCACTCGACAGGAGCTGACAGGCGATGCCATCAAACATCTCGAAACGAAGCGTGCCAAGGAGCAAAGCCGTAGCAACGACAGCGGTCACAATAGCGTGCAGGAAGAGATCCAGACGGATATGAACATTAAAGAGGACCGGTAGTAGCCGGCCGCGCGCCCATGCATATCCGATCCCTGCACGGATACGACGACGCTCATCATTGAGAACGGGGCTTATATGATATACCATGACTTCTTCCTCTATTCCCTTTCCTCTCCTCTTTTCTTGTCTTTTCTTTTCTTTCCTTTCTGCGTCGATAAATCAATCGTTTCAATCAATCAGAGATATACACGTGGCGTTGATCAGGCGTACAAATCAAAGTCATTCTTCCGGGGCATATTTAGGGGTTATTTTTTTTTAATCTTTATTCCTATGGTTTGTTGTTCCGTTGCTTGCGTTTATGCGGTGCCAGGATGCATACGCATGTCATGGCGGTCCATATTTTTTTTTTTTTTTTCTTTTTCTTACCTCGGGATTTTGGCCGTCAGCCATCATGCGGCCGACGCCGGAGACGGATGGGGAGTGGTTGATTGTACAGGATGCAGGAGTTCTTGGCGCAGTGTCTGCTCAAAAAGCTTCGGATGATACAGAGCATGTCCCGAACTTCTAGACCTCGATCTGGCTACATTTAGTCTAGTCTCAAGGGTGTTTGTTTAATTAATGAGAAACGCTTTGCAACGATCTGGCGTCGCCGAGAGCCTCTACCGTGGCACCGATACGACCTTGTATCGGCCTTGACCCCCCCCCTAAAAGTGATGCATCCCTTTTTCTTGCTGCCCACGCTGTCACATTAACCTAGGTAGGTTTCTTGCCTCCAATCTCCGTCTCGTATCCGACGATGGCTTGCAGCACTTTTGCGCCCTACCCGCGCCGAGAAGACAGTTTGTCCAGAGACGAGAAGCCGTGAGGCAGAGAGAAGAGGGCTAGAACTGCTTAGGCCAACGGATATTACGGATCGTGCAGTGGAGAGTCGCCTTGGCGATCTTTTTACTTCCTCGCACTCGCTTCTCAGTCTAGGCCGCGTCCACCCAGTTTCACTTTTATCTGCTTCCCGCAATTAGTGGTTTGCTATTCTCGCGAGGTAACCGTAACACTGGTCTGACAGCTGTCACTTATCATCTTTTTTTTTTTCTTCCCGTCTCACTTTACTTTTGTTTCTTTCTTTCTTTCTTTCCCAATTTGTTGTCCTGTCGTTGGCCTCTTTTGTCCCTCCTTATCTAAACCTGATCTCCTGGTTCATGATGCGTTTGTCAGCCAAGTCGGCGATACAGTATCAGAGCGGGGGGCCTGAAAGATTTAGAGATCACGGGCCTGGCTCGGGATGACGATCGATCGAAATGTCTCGCTTTTTCACATCTTTATTTTTTAAGATTTGAAATGAGAAAAAGGGCTGCGCTAATGCCGACGTGTGGATTAGGCGTCCATCTCATCCTGCCCAGTGGTACGGTGCCTGACATGAGACCTTCCGGAGGGAGCTTGGACGCCTTCAGCCTGATACTCTCTGTTTTTTCCTTCTCCTTTCTTTTCCAAGATAAAGCCGTCTGCTTGACACTGTTGCTTAGACGCAAGCGGAAGCCCACGCCAAACATCAAGACAGTTCCAGAATAGACGCAACGAACAAGGAGAAACAATGGTCGCAGACCTTCCTCTCTCCACCATCCCCCCATCAAAGCCTCATACTCATACCATCATATTCCTGCACGAGAACAAAAACTTTGCCCGAAGCGCTGTCGATCGGATGCACGAGGCCACCGATCGTGACTGGCAGTCCATTATCCAAAACTACGCATCGACGAGGTGGGTGTTTCCTCAAGCACCCACCGGCGAACCTCTGATACCGTCATTGCAGTCCATCTCCACGGGCATCCAGCATGCTATGCACAGGGGCGAGCCGAATTGGTGGAATCAGGGCGCAGAAGACCCCGACGCTGCCAGAAGGGAGGCTGCTATCCTGCTTGACCTGCGAGAGAGGATCAAAGAGCTGGAAAAAGTGATTAGAAACGAGGTGAGCATGCTGGGAGGCCGCTGGGACAGGGTCATACTGGCCGGCATAGGCCACGGCGCTGGCATGGCCATGGCGACAATAATCAGCCTGGGCATTCCTAGCGAGGATGGCACCGTATCAAATGCAGGTGGCGGGAAGCCCCAGCCGTTGGGCGCTTTCGTCGGGATATCGTGTGAGATGCCACTGCAAGAGACGCCCTCCGCGGCACGCCGGATCTTCTTCCCGGACAGCGTCCTGCCAGAAAACAATGACGTCTGGAAGAAGACACCGGTGCTGCTGCAGTACTTTTTGAACGGTGGACAGCAATACCTGGACAAGGGCAAGGCGCTTCGAGATATGCTCGTGGCTAATGGCGTCGAGGACGTTTGCTGGAAGGAGTACGAGGACGGGGGGATGTTTATGAACTCGCCGCGAGGCGTGGAGGACGTGAAGGATTTTTTTCGGGACAAGATGGGGTTGAGGCCCAACTACTGATTTGGACTGGGATGGATGGGATGGTTTTATACGGCGTGTGTTTTGGTTAAAAATACGAGGGGGGGACTTGTGATACTGGTATATGCGCATTACGGTGGACAAAGCCTGAGATTTTTCGGATTTTTTTGTTTTTGTTTTGTTATTATGAGCATCACTTAATATTTATTCATGTTAATTAGGCGATTAGAAAGAAATTCGCTACACGAGCTGATCGATGGACGAGCAGGAGAGGAACCAATCTGAGAAAAGCCCTGAGCAATATGCGTGTGTGCCATTTTCCAAAAAAAAAAAAAAAAAAACATACTCTTGATTCGTCCCTCAGTGTTCTTCTCAGGGCTGCTGTCTGCTGTTTTACTAAAAGTCCTGTGACACCATTTTTACAGAGTATGAGTACAGCTCTTGGTATCCTGGTTGTTGGGACTGACAGGGGAGTGAGGAATGTAAGTAGCAGTAGGTAGTGGGTAGTAAGCTGGGACACGATCCTTGCTGGTATACATGGCTGTATAACGTCAGAATCCCGACTAGCATGACTACGCACAAGGCTGACATACATAGTATGTAAGCTGATGAAGATGCTTTTTAAGGAACAACATGAGAGTTTTTATACTTTGACATATTTGATCTACGGAGAACCACGTTTAATTATCTTCAGTAAAGCCCAACCCCTTGCTTAAGAAGAGTAACACGCAGCATAGTGGGCGGCCAAAGCATGATTATCATGCGTACTTGTACAAATCGCTACTTCACACAAGCGCGCACACCACCTTAGACATTGTCTCAGATACTCTCGACTAATACAGGCCCGACTGACAGCTTGACTTACTGAAGTTGACTCAGCTCCAAGCTCCAGCACCAAGATTTCGACATAAATTCAAGACTTGTTTGTGATGGCAGTATAGGAAGTAGTAGTGCTTTTTGCCAAGGGAGAGAGAGGGCCACCGCCCTTTATATAGTCTGTACTTAAAGACATGTACAGGTAATAATATTCTGGTGTTTGCTCTAGTGCTTGCATGGCCGTTCCCACTGTTAGCCATAATTCAATCACATGCAGCTTTTTATCGGACTTTTAGCTTCCAGGGGCCACTGCTTTAGGAAGTGAGCTAGCTTGATGGTGAATTTCTAAATGCCATTGGCGCATGGAGGCGGTTCATCCTATTATGGACTTGAGTCTTCTCCAAGCTTGCTGTTGCATCTCTCCATTATCGTAGCGCTATTAATTTTACAGCCGATGTTGCTGTTACACTGCCAATACCTTGTATTTGGAAGCTATTCGCTGCAAATTCCTCCCAGGGGAGAAATCCCATGCCTTGAGTGTAGAATCTGGTGTGACACCCTTTTGTGCCGTGTCTCATATCCTTTTACAGCCTGCAGAAGGGGTTGGCTTGCTCTCCCCTCTTTCTCCCCTTTTCTTGCTTCTCTTCTCTTAGGCGTGGTTTTGGCTTCTTCAGCATTTCTGGGCGGGCATTTCCGTATATTATTGCCTATACCCTGCTGCGCCAATCTTCAGCTCGACTACTGCTCGTTTTGACGGTTGATCATTGTTCATCCTTTACAATACATTGCCGTCATTGACTCATACTGTAATGGCTACCATGGACGCTCCACCGCCCATTATTATTGGCCTCGAGGGCCTCATCCAGCACTCTCTCCCTCGTATCACCAGATTTCGCAGCGCCGCAGCTGCCATGACGAACTTTGGGCGACTGTCGCCATTCTTGAAGCGGCTCCAAGTCAGCATTCTGCTTCTAGGCTCAATCTATCGTAAATTCTCGCAGTACGACATGATCGCAGGATCCGATCTGTGTCTTGGAATCTGTCATGACAGTCTTGTCCAAACGCAAGGCATGATTGAAGCTGTGCTGCAAGCGCCAGAAGGCGACAATGTATACAATTTAGGCGCAGAGGTGCTGATTGAGAGACTACCCGATGAGATTAGCTCATTCATTTCCTCTGTTGAGCTCTTGAGAAGCACATACCAAGAGTCAGTGGAGTTTCATTTGCTGCCGAACTTGTCCTTCTTGTCGCTAACAATGCTGAAACAGATCACAATCCGAATACATTCTCGGATCAATGAAGGAGCTCGCCAATCTACGAAGAGACTACTCCAAGCACCTGCAAGAATGTACGCACAACCGAAAAAAGGGATCACGTCTTGCTGTAATGACCGGATCGAGTGAAGATGAGCGGACATCGCGCTCGGATAATGGAACACAACTTACCGAACCAGAAGCATCGTTGTCTGGCAAGTCGTCCAGACAAAGACTCGTCGAGGAAAAATCATCCCTTGCAGCTAATACTGCTACTATAAAACAAAAGCTCGGGCACACCGCTACCCTAGGAGCAAGACGAAAAGCTTAGACATAAGGCTAAGAAGAACAAAGAAGTATGATGAGAGTTGAGAATGAGACGTTTTCGCGCCAATACGATACTCAGCCAAATCAACGGCAACATTGCCGCATCGAAAATGGTCCACGGCGCATAGTTCTATTTGCTCTGTGAAAGACGTCGTGTCTTTTTGACAGTGTTAAGGAAACAAATGTTGGCGATATAACTACACATACGGCTTCATCTAAGGAGCAAGAAGATTATTCTACGTACAGTGGATGTCTTATGGAAGCGCGGAAGGGTAATGGAATCGACGCGGCCGCTCGAGAAGAAGGGTAGAGAAGCGAAAACAGACACGGTCCCGAATTTTTTTCTTTGTTTTTGATAGAAGTATCGATGTGAGCAGGGGATTTTACAGCGGAATGGGAAAGTTTTTCGCATACACTGACTTTTCATTTTCATTTCTTCTTTATTTCTAAGCACGCTTGATACCAAGAGTGTACAGCACAGACCTGATTCAATTTTAGTCATTGGTCAAGTTTATATAGTTTAATTATTTTCTGTTGCTATCAAGGTGTCTATTAGAGATTTTTCATTTTAATTTTGATAGCTGTTATGAGGACCGCGCGGTGCTTCTTTGTAGTGACGGCTCCTATTCCGGAATGGTTCTCTGGAGATTTACAATTTCTTTGTGTTGCTGAGATTGGTCGTCACATTCCTTATTACGAGCTATTATAACTGATACCACCAGTTTATGCAGCAAATATCCAATCTCGACTCAAGTATTTAAACAAGACTTGCGCCCGACTCACATTCTCTCAAACAACTCCCTCTGCACCCCCATCGGGCCATTTACAACCACCCAAAGGCTCTCTATCCGAGACATCCATTATTCTAGATGTCCCGCCCGAAAGAGAAGAGTCCTTAAGGCTCATATGTTGGACGCTTGATCTAACCGAGCTTACTATGTGGCTGGTACGTGTTCAATTTCGTCATTTCATTGTGCCTGCAGCTGACATAAATCCATCTATAGGCGCGCATTTAAAACCAGTTATTTTTCTCCCCGGTTTCTTCTCCAGCAATAGATAATATGAATTACCACCAACGTGTACACCTATCCATCAATATCTGAACTTGACACACACCCGCCACCAAGACTCCTCAGTCTGTGTGGACTGAAGAAAACGAAAGAGGGCTGCGAATCTGACGCATTGTTTGCATTGATCTGACCTTTCCTGCGCTGGTATGACTGCGGCTGGTTTTGCTTCCAAACAATCTGTAAGCCAATGTTACTTCGCTTGGCACAGAGGGTTTACATCGGAAGCAACAACTAGCTTTGGAAGACATGAGCATCAGCAGCATCAGTAGTTGGTTCTGCGTGAAAGGCTCCCGTATAACAGTGAATTGGTCTGGGGAACTTTCGAAGAGTACTACCTCTCAGCAATCTCTGTCTTTTGCCGGCTCATTACAAACACCAACTCTAGGATGCGGCGCGGTATTACGGCGTCTCGCTCCAGGAAGTGGGAAGAGTCCAGCTCCCGGGAACAAAACAGGTGTTGCATCTCCACCAGGCAGTGTTTATTTACCATTACCTGCATAAGCTTCTGGTTGAGGGATGAACAGTTACACCTCTTCTGAATCAATGAAGACATATCCTCGGTTACCTGAGATATTTGATAACCATATAAATGGCGGTAATCGCCACCCACCGGCCAGCTGCGCCTGATATGCGCTTATGAGCTCCTGAGACAGATGTTCGGTCAGGAATTCAACCGGTATCCCGTGGCGAGAGTCCCCTGGGACCGATGCGACTCCGACGAGGTCCGGCGCGAGGGCCTGTTCTACTCGCAGTTGGCAATGTTCCTCATGGAAACCCCTAGATACGCCGAGCGTATCACCAGGGAAAACATGGAAGGAATTGCTCGGTGCTGGGAGCCGGGCATACCCGTAGTCAAACAGATGATCATTGACCCCAGTGCGAACGCGCGGCAGGGCGGCGTAATATTACGCAATTACTGCGATTACGAGCGGTCGTCGACAGGGGACGGAACGGGGGCTCACTTTGCCAGAGTTATTTCGACAAAATTATCCATCTTTAGCAAATACAAAGAGAGGCTCTAGCAGTCGCAACAGCAATATATGTTGGGAAATGCCTTCAGCTGCAGCACTTTGTGCTTGACATGGCGTATTGCCCGAAATCAATAATCCAAAGTAAGTACCCAACACTTCAAGCTCCAATTTTACATACGGGATGGCAGAGTATTAACAGCAGCTTTAGCGTTTCGGAGCGATTTCTCAGCCATAGCATATGTTTTGGGAGATATCAAGGCGCAGCAGCAGCAAGGCTGTGGGAGTCTTTCCTTAATATCTGAGAGCTGGTTAAACCATATATGAAAGCCATGACTTAAATACATTGGCCAACAAAGTCCTAACCGCAGCCCTCTTTCGTTTTCAATGCCTCGCAGCTGGAGCGGATGTATTCACTACAAAGCTGTGACTCGCTTATAAATTGCTCGTCAACGCTTCTAATCAACGGTAAAACGAGTGCTAGGTAGATATTGGGGGAAGGGGAGGGGGGAGGGGGGATTCGAACGTTTATCAGGGCTTGTGTGTTATACGTTATCTGGGACGTAGGTTGTAACTAATATACGTGTGCATTGATATTAAGGTTTTCCTGGGGGTGTTGGGTAGATGTGAACCCCAACAAGTTTAATATGCCTATGTATTATAAAACTCGTTTCAAAACGCCGTCTCCTTAGTATACGTATAAGTAGCCAAGGGGACTGTAAAAAGATAGAGATTGCAAAAAGAATCTTTTAAATACAAATCGGCAATAAGCGCATACGTTTGTGAAAAAGGTTGCTAGCGGATGTATGTGTAGAGTTACCGCCTTGTGTGTTTAAATTCTTCAGATTCCCTGTTTTTTTGGTAGCTTCCTACATCAAGCCTCGTACTTGCCTCTATTTAATTATACGAGATTGCCTTAATAGGGACAAGGCCCATAAATAAGGGTCCATGCTGGTGACTCGGCTGGAAAGTTGGACTTGGCTGGAAAGTTGACTTGGTTGGAAAGTTGACTTGGCTAGAACTTTGACTTGGCTGGAAAGATGACACGGTAATTCACCACTCAAGATTGCATTATAAAAGCCAAACCTTTGCCAAAAACTGTTCCAGAAGAAGCTGGCACATAACCTGTTCATCTTTCTTCATCAAGATAGACAACGAAAAGATGCCTTTTACTCAATGGATATTTACCCTCGCGTTTGCGGCTTGGGCTCTTTTTACCACAGGGGCAGCTACTCCAGAAGCTGAACGAGCGGTATGTATTTTATAGCCTTTATATCATTTCTACTACCTCTACTACCTCTACTACCTCTACTACATTTACTACATTTACTACATTTACTGCTTCAATTAACTTTATCTTTAAACTCATGTGTCCGTGCAGTGCAGATGGATCTCCAGCTTCATGGCCCCGGAGCATGTCGATTATCCAAACTCAACACGATATGAACAAAGCAGCAATAATTATTTTACCCAACAACAGCGTGGGTTCCGCCCTGCTTGTTATGTTCGCCCGCACAACGCCACTGAAGTCTCCGTCATCATGAAAATCCTCGTCCAAAACAATGCCACGTTCAACGTCAAGAGTGGCGGCTTCTCGCGTTTTGCCGGCGCCTCCAGCATCAACGGCGGCGTTCTCATCGATCTCAGCCGCATGAACTCGATTAAAACCGTTATGGACGGATCTTCCACAATGGTGGGTCCTGCTGCGCGATACTATGACATTTACCGAATCTGGGACGACACCGAATACGTAGGCTTTGCCCCCAAGAATAGCGATCTGACCGTTGCTGGGTACGTGCTTGGCTGTGGCTTTTCTTTCATCCCGCACAATGCTGGGTTTGCCTGTGACGACGTGTTCAACTTCGAAGTCGTCTCGGCAAAAGGAGAAATCCTTAGAGTCAATAGGAGGGAACACAAAGAGCTCTTCTCTGCCATTCGTGGCGGCGGTGGTTCCAGCTTCGGCATTATCACCCGCTTCCATATTGCCCGATTCTCTTGCAAGAAAGCCTGGTGGCAGCATCTCCTGTTTCCTGCTTCCATGAACGAGGACTTGATGAAAGTTTATGCCCACATGGCAAAGAAGGTTCTTGGTTACGATCTGACTTCCCATTCTTTCCTGATGAGCACCTATTCGGAATTCCATGGAGACTATGTGACTGAGGTCCATTTAGTAACTGAAGGGATAGACACCGAGCATCACCATCATATGCCGGCATTGGCAAAGCCTTTCCAATTGCTTCCAGGAGCTCTCAGAAATATCACCGAGGCAAATGGAGAAGCTAATTTCACAACCACCTTTAGTGAACCTGCTGGCTTCCGCCGCTCGGCCTGGTCGACCTCGGTTGGCGTCGATAGGCCCAAATTCCTGGCGGAAATTCTCTCCAACTGGCAAGCACTGGATAAAAAGCTCAAGAACTTGCCAAACCAGAAAGGCTTTAGGTCAGAACTAGAATTCCAGCCCGTGTCAGAACGTTTGCTCTGGAACACGCAGCGAAGCCGCCATAATGCCTTGAGGTTACCCGCTTCAATGGGCCCGATGATATTCGTCCTATTGTCTGTGCAATGGGCCGACTCGGCATTTGATGATATCATGGACGCTGAGTGCAAGCGGTTTATCGATCAAATTGATGAGACGGCAAAGATAATTGACCAGTACTGCGGTTTCATACACATGAACTACGCCCATCCCAGCCAAGATTTCTGGGGACGTTTGAGCCCAAAGTCTTATGATAGGCTGATGGCCACGGCGAAGAAGTATGACCCGGATCGCGCACTGAATAGGCTGTGGAGAGGCTATTTTAAATTTGACGAGATTGAGGGATAGGAGAGATTGGGTTTTGGAGATGGTGCATCTACACGTGTTTATTTGAAACTTGACGAAGAATGCAGAATTATGTTTTTAAGTGATGTTTATAGATATCCACTGCTTCTGCTGCATTTATAAGATGTCCTTTTGTTTGTACATATTATTTTGGTTTTGGAATTTTATTCTACAGCGCTCCTATTACTATTTAATAATCATTTACCAGCTCATTTATACAGTCGTAGAGCCCAACTCCTCTTCCACCGCATCGTATGCCTCCTTTAGCAACCTCACCATCTCCTCAAGTTCCTCCTCCGTTGCAGTCAGGGGCGGCGCCAGAATCGAATGATCGCCGTTAATGCCATCTATAGTCCCTGCCCCTGGATAGATGGCCAAGCCGCGATCATGCGCCGCAGCATGAACCCTCTTGCCAAACTTCACTTCTGGCTTAAACGGCTGTTTTGAGGCTTTGTCTTGCACGTATTCGATGCCCCAGAAAAAGCCTCTTCCGCGGATCTCGCCCACGAATTTTGCGTCTCCGAGAGCAGACCGTAGTCGCTGTTCCAGGAAAGCTCCTTTGGTGAGACACTTTGCTACCAAGTTGTCGCGCTTCAAGACTCGCTGGACAGCCAGGGCGGCCGCGCAGCTCGTTGGGTGAGCCTGATACGTCTGGCCGTGAACAAAGCTCGCTGTTCCCTTTGTCAACACGTCGACAACTTTCTGGCTGATGAGGATTCCCGCAATTGGCGCATATCCTCCTCCGAGGCCTTTTCCCAGCGTGAGCAGATCGGGTCGCACATCCCCCTCTGGCTCAAAGGCAAAGTACGTTCCCATCCGGCCGCTGCCACACATGACTTCGTCCAAGATGAGCAGGATGCCATACTTATCGCATACCTTTCTCACGCCTGCGAAATATCCCCTTGGGGGCGTGATGCAGGCCGCCGTGGCTCCTCCCACAGTCTCTGCCACGAAAGCAATGACTGTTTCGGGGCCCTGTCGCTGGAATTCGTCGTCTAGCTCCTGTACCAGCCTGGAGGCGTATTGATCCTCGGTTTCAGCGTCCAACTGGCCATGATATGCATATGCCGGGCTAACATAGCTAACGTTGTCAAGCAACAAGGCGCCCTCATATGGTATTTTCCTAGGAAGATTGCTGCTCACGCTCATGGCCCCAATTGTGCCACCGTGGTAGGCCTGTCTCCTGGAAACAAACTTCTTCCTCTGCAGCTGGCCATTCTCAAAATGATACTGCCGCGCAAGCTTCATAGTCGCATCCATAGCCTCACTGCCGGAGCAGACAAAGAAGGCCTTGGTCAAACCAAATGGTTTACTCAACTCTGTGAGCTCGTTGGCCAACTCTTCAGCACTCGAAGTTGTATAAGTCATGGTGTGCACGTATGCGACGTCAGAGTACTGCTGTATAACGGCCTCTTGGATTTCTTTGTTGCCATGACCAATGACTGCCACGGCGGCGCCGCCACATGCATCGATAATGCGAGAGCCATCGGCGAGAGTAAGATAGATTCCCGAGCCGGAGACAACTTGATGAGGGCGTTCAACGAGAGAGCGGTGCATAAGACCGGGCTCTCGAGTTCCATTTTGCGCGGTATAAGAGACGGTTGAAGAAGGCATTGTGGCTGAGGCAATAGTTCAAATGGCACTTTTATTTAACAAAGTATTATTATTTGGACATGATAACTAGTACATAATTCTTCTCTCTTTCTCCAAAACAGTGGCAGCTCTGGGACATATATTTATATCAATACTGTATACGGCGTAAATGACGCCCAACCTTGAGCTGATAAAGGGTTGTGGATATGACTCCGCACTCGGAAACCACATCGGCTCCAGTCGGTCGGCGTGGGTTTCCCTTTTCCCCATGTTCGTAGGGCGCATATGTAAACTAAGACTAAAGAAAAACATCGACTCTGATATGAAGTTTATTCTAATATATTAGTTAAGCACCACCACTAGTTTCGCAGACTGCGGCAATAACTAGACTAGGATGTTGATCCTTTAGAAGGAGCTTAAACAGTCTTTACTTGCAAAAAGTCGTCGAGCTGTAAAGTCGAACAAGGTTATCAACCCATCTTATCGCTATATCCCCCACCATCAGACAGTTTCCAGTTTGTGTAGTCTTTGCTTTCCCTAGCAACAACAGCAACAAGTACAGTAATAATCCTAGTGACTTCTGTCATTTCCATGCCTCTGTCAATTATTTCTCTCAGTCTTTGTCAGTTGATCATTCATGAAATCTTAATACAGCCTCCATTCCTCTTCAGGATCCTCGTTGGATCCGTTTCCACAAACCTCGCGCAATACAACTTCAATACCTTCCACACCTCGTAGCCATCCGTCGTCAAGCTCACCAAGTCGTTCATATGCGCCGAGATGTTGAACTTGATCAACAACCCCAGCATCTTGCCCTCGCGAATCTCCTCCAGCGTCTTTTGGCTGTTATGCCAGCAGCTCACATGCACCGCCTGCGGTATCTCCTCCAGTGCCGCCTTATCGAAGCCCGAGACGTCGGCGATGGCCATCATGATGCTGGACCAAGTGGCCCAATTCTCGGGCCCGATCAGCTTGAGGTCGTCGGGCAGGCGTGTGACATCGAGGCCCTTGAGCGTGGGCGTGCGGGGCAGCTTTTCGGGGATCTTGAAGTAGGTTGTGATTTGATTGTAGTTTGTGGTATGTTGAACTTGTTGCACTTTGAGAGGGATTTTGACGGGGATTTTGGACCTATTGCGAGCAACGAATTGGTTGTCAGTCAGCATGTGGGCAATGATTGAGACCATGCGGGTGATGTGGCATCATGTTGTATTCATTATTTACCTAGGAGAGACGGCTTTGACTGCTGGTTGTTTAGGCGTTGGAGTTTCCATTGAAGCTGTATCTCCCCAAGAAGTCTCGAAATGATTTTTACAGAATCCCATCTTCGCTGCCCATCGCATCAGATGCACACATAATATGTGATGCCGTCCCCACCAATCCGCAGGCAATTGGGCAGCTGGGCGTCGACTCTCGGCATGCCACGTCTACAAGGCATATCTACGATGCTATTAGTATTACGGCCCGTAATCAATCCTGCTCAGCCTCAGCGTCATCTTGACAGAGTGAATTGCTGTATGAGGAACATCGACGCTATATAGCCTCATCCCACTTGCTTTTCCGGCCTGTATGTCTCCGTGCCTGGGAATGACAAATAGTGTTTATAAGACCCCCTCGGCCTTTCGGGTCTCCGCCCATGAGACCGAGTTGAATCTGTGGAGCCGATCTGGGGCAAAGTCGCAGCGACTAAGACCCGGACGACCGCATCAGTAAAGATTGGTTGACTAAGAGAATTGAAGCAACGGCTACCAGGATATCGCTAAATACAATAGTCTAAACTAGTGACTCGTCTACAAAAAGATAAATAAAAAGAGCTGCCGCGATACAGTCGCAGGGTCTCTCTCCATCGCGCCATCTTGTATAAGTGTATTAGAAGAAACCAAGAAGAGAGGCAAAATGGCAGCACAAGTATATTCACAAGATCAGCTCACCCGCTATCTCGAGCACATCTCCTATCCGCGCTCTCAGCACCCGAGAGACGAGCTCCAATTCCTCAAAGAGCTTCAAGCCCATCATCTTGCTCGTGTGCCCTTTGAATCCATCAGCCTTCACTACTCGCCACACCGCACGTTGTCCGTTGATCCAGATGACCTCTTCCAAAAGGTCGTGGAGAACAGCAGAGGCGGCTACTGCGTTGAGATGAACACCCTTTTTGGCGACATGATGAGAGCCTTGGGGTTCAATGTCCTCAGCATCGGAGCCAGAGTGAAGCCTGGCCCAGTATATCTCGGCATGTAAGTCTTCACTCCTTCTTCTTCCTCCGCTTATACCAGCTCTTTTGTCTAAACAAATCTTCGACCAATAGGACCCACGGCGCCAACATCGTCACCATCAACCAGCAGCGCTACCTCGTTGACGTCGCTTTTGGCAGCCACGGCGCCTTCACACCCGTCCCGCTGATCGACGGCTACGAGTTCGACAACATCCTCCCTCGCCGAGGCAAACTCGAGTTCCGCCCCATCGCCCAGTCCACGTCGCCTTCTACTCAATCTCTATGGGTATATTCGACACAGGATGTTCCCTCCACAGATTGGACCGAGCGTTACTGTTTTACAGAAACGGAACTCTTCCGCGCAGACTACGAGGTCATGAACTTTTACTGCAGCACAGTCCGCACAGCCATTTTTGTCAATAACGTCTTTGCTCTGAGGGGAATCCTGAACGACAAAGGCGATGGGCTGAAGGGTGTAATGACTTTGTTGCAGAACGAAGTGAGGAAGAGAGTGGAGGACGTACCGGGCTTGGAAGTGGTGGAAACTTTGGCGAGTGAAGAGGATCGAGTGACGGCACTGGAGAAGTGGTTTGAGATACCATTGTCGAAGAGCGAAGCGAGAGCGATTCGGGGCCTGCCGACCGAGCTTGTGCCACCCAGGTCGCTATAATGGCTTGGAAGAAGTGACTGACTACAAGGATAATATGAGTTGATTTGGTACTACACTCTAAGAGAGTTGGGAGTTCGAGGTCTCGCAGCATAGATTCAATAGCAGGCAACTACTCAATGTACATCGCCACAAGTCATACACACCTTTCCCTTTCCCGATAACCGTATTGCAGTTATTGTATTCTTGTTCTTATTTCTAGGAGGCTTATCTGATCACTAATTACTATGATATCTAAAGTATATATAAACAGATATATATATATATATATATATATATATAAACATACCGTACAATCACACCTCTACATCCTCAACCACTTTCCAAACCTCATTCCCAACCCGATATTCACTCTTCAGCTTCTCATCCAACAACACCTCCTCACACGGCAGCTTCCTCTCGCCATCTCCCAGCCTCACAATCCTCCTCCACCCCTTCCCATCATCATCCCTCCACCCCCATCTCTCCGCCACAAGATCCCCCTCGCCAGGCCCATCCCTCACAAACACCTGTGCCCACTCCCCAAGCCTCACAAACATACCCTTCTTCCCCGCCTTCTCATCCTCCATCATGAGCACCGCGCACACGGCTCTATCCCCGCCCGTCTTCTTGGGAGGCGGATCAAACCACATCTCTTCGTAGTCCGTGTCCTTTCCGGTGGCGGGGTTCATCATCTGGCCCTTTTCGAGAGTGCTCAGTCCGTCTGGCTGGGCGTACATGTGGCCTTCGTCAGGAGGCGCATCCACGGCGCGAGAATCGATCCAGTGTCTCCATTGAGAAAGAGAATGGCCGGCGGAGAGGATGGTGGAGGAGGAGAATCCGGCCATGGCCCAGTCAAGGCGAGCCAAGGGCAATATTTCTGCCTCTATAATCAGCTGTCAATCTCTCATCGGAGATGGGCAGGAGCGTATTTCTTTGTTTGCCAGTAGATATTGCTCATTACCTTCATTGTTGGCCAAAGAGTCTTTTCCATCGGGTAGCAGCACTCTTATGTCCACAAATCTCTTCTCGGGAGATGTCAGTACCAGCGTAGAAGTTGGCTCGCTCGCTTCTTCTGGCACCCAGCGAATGAACTTGCGAAAAGAGATGCTGGCCATGACTGCCTGCGTGTGATTTTCTTTAATGTTATGAATGAATTATACGGCTCTTTACAAATACAAAGTTTCCCAAACAACTGACGAGGATTTCAAGGTTAGATGTGTTTGCTACATGGCGTACGCAAAAGAAACAAGTAGGCTGGCTATATAGCTGGTTGAGATGTCGATGCGGGGTGAAGCCTCCATGTGGAGAAACTTGTCCAGTAGTTCATACAAGCGTTGATGGTTGCAAAAGGGCGTCGGAGCCGATATTTCAATTTACCAAATGCGGAGATTTTGCGAGGACGCGCCAATCTGATAAAAAGAAGCTGGATTTATGCTGCCAGTTCCAATTGGAAGTCAAGCTTAACAACAGCGCTGTGATAGATACGAACAAACACTTATATGCTTCAAAATAATACAAAAAAAAAAAAAAAAAAAAAAAAAAAAAAAAANAAAGCACAGGGACGAGGAATCCAAAATAGTCTTGTCAAGCCCGGCCCAAAATGGGCTGCTAACGGGCGACTTCTTCCACTTATATTCATCTCATCAAAAAATAATTAAAAGGTGCTCTTTAATCTGACCATCCACATCCGAGCGCAGATAGAGTGGTGGGGTATCTTCTTTTTTTTTTTGTCCTACTCTTTTTCCGATTTCTTATGTTTCTTCCTTTCATTTCTCATTCAACGCGCACAAAAATATGCTCCATATATAGCACGAAAAAAATGTTTCACTACATATACATATACACACGCAAAACTCCAATTACTGAGGCTTAACAAAGTGGGAGAGCTGGGTGGTAACGACCAGACCGGCAACAGAGGCAGAGGTCAAGGTCGAGAAAACGCCAGAGATCAAAGCAGACAGGGCAAGTCGGGAGACATCGCCACCGCGAGATGGCGCCAGCTGGCTGAGGATACCAATCTGGATACCCAGGGAGCCGATGTTGCCGAATCCGCACAGGGCGTAGGTAGCAATGAGCTGAGAGCGGGGAGACAGGGTGGCGTAGTAAGGATCGGTGGCCATGGCGTTGAAGGCATTGTACTCATTCTGCAGGCAACAATGGTCATTATCATATCACAAGTCAAACGTGCACAAAATGTATGTTGGAAAGAAGAGAACCAGGATGTGGGAAGCAAACACACGGTAGTAGTAGAATGGATGGAAAGTTGAAGGAAAGAGAGTAAATGTTTTGCAAAAGAGATAACAGGGGAAACTTACGGTGATGACCTTCTCGGCAATGAGCTTGGCAACCTTGAGAATATCGCCATCTCGAGGAACACCAAGCAAGAAAGCAACCGGATAAAAGACATAAGACAGGATAGTCTGGAGAGTAAGGGTGGGGTCGTTGATGTTGATGTAGTGACCCCACCAGGTGAGAAGACCGTTGATCAGACCAACAGCGGCGAGAATGCAGAGAAGCGAGGCGATAATGGTACCACCAATCTTGATACCAAGCCAAGCACCGTTGGCAAAAGCGTGCAGGGCATTTTCAGCCTTGTGCTCGTCATCGTCGGGAATGACGACGCGACCGGCGGTGAGAGTCTCCTCAGTCTCGGGGTAGCGCAGCTTGGAGATGGCAAGGGATGCAGGAATAGACATGATGCAGGAGGAAACAAGAGCCTCAGCGTTGAGACCAAGACCAATGTAGCCGACAAGCACGGAACCAGAAATGGTAGCAAAACCGCAAGTCAAGACTTGGTGAAGCTCGGCGTTGGTCATGTGGGGGACAAAGGGACGGACCAGCATGGCGGATTCTCCCTGGCCAATGAAGGGAGTGGCAGCAGCGACGACGGCCTCGGCACCAGAGGCGTTGAGGGCCCAGAAGACGAAGATGGCCACCTTCTTGATGAACCACTGGATGAATCCAATGTAGTACAAGACCTGGACGAGTGAAATGAAGAAGATGATGGCGGGGATAACGCCAAAGAAGAACCAGGGGAGCTTGGCGACATCAGGGGTGGTCAAGAAAGCCACACCGTTCTCAGCGAAGCCAAGCAAGTCGCCGGCGCGGTCAGCAATGAACTTGAAGATGTTGTATCCGACACCAGTCCGCAGCACGAAGAGACCAATGACGTACTGGCCGAGCATGCCACCGATGACGGTGCGCCAGTTGACGTGCTTGCGGCTCCTGCTGGTGATCCAGAAGGCAAAGAGGATGACAACCATGCCGAACAAGCTGACGGCACGGTTCGCACGAGTGTTGTCGGCGCTCTCCTCGGAGACAAAGGAACCAACCAGGATGGCGGCAATGGTGACAAGAGCACCGGCGGGAGTGCGCAGCCTGGGGGGGATGCGCTCGTAGACGACCAGGGCCGTGCGAGTCCAAACCCACTTGATGGCACTGGCCACATAGCGCGAGGGCACATGGAAGAAGAAGAGGCGGATGGTGATGGCCAGCCACAGCAAAAAGGGAACCTCCCAGTTCTTGTCATCGCGGTGCAGGATCAGCGAGGCAATCCACCAACCCGTGAAGAGGAGGAAGATGACCAGGTGGACAAAGGCGCGGAAGACACGGTAGGGGATGCCAAAGTGCCATTTGCGCTGCGAACCGGCCTCATCCGAGTCGACGCCCGTGCGCACAATGTCTGTCTGGCCGACCTTTTCGTGGTCGCTGTAGTCTGGCGGCGTGTGGCCGTCATGCGCCTTGTCGATGCTGCGCGTGTCGTGGGTGTGGTCCTGCGTAGGCACGAGGGTCGGGTCCATGTTGGTGCCCCTGGTGTAGACGGCATCGTCGTGGCCGGCGGCATCGACGCGGGCCGAGTGGTGCTTGTGCGCGTGGTGATGCTGGTGCGCAGGCTCGAGCGCCGGGTCCGGGTTGTGGTGGATGCCCTCGGTGGTGTCGTGATAGGGCGCCACGTCGGCGTTGGTTTTTGAAGAGTCGGCCATTGTGTGTCTGTGTCTCTTCTTGGTCAACGCCTGTGTATGCAAGATGTTTCTCTTTTCTCTGCTACCTCTTCTTTCGCAGATCGTGTCTGGCGTCCTTGACCTTGTTTGTGCCTGAGGTTGAAGCACGGCAAAGCAAAGCAGGCAAGGTGTTGAAGCAGTCTTGGGTTCAGACTCTGATAGCCAGACCTAGAACGAAGATTTTTTTTTCTTATAGAGAAAGGAGGGAGACAGAGAGGAAGAGCAGGTTAGCCAGCCGGGAGATGCTGCAACTGAACCTGGGAGGAAGCCCGAAGGAGCGGACGTATGACGACGTGACGTTCGAACCTGAGAATCCTGGGGAAGGAAAAGAAGCATCGCCAACTCGTGGGTCGGCGCTCGAGTTTTTGTACTCGGAACCCCATCAGCGTCGGTCGAGTCGCAGTCGCACGCGCACATGCCAGGCCGGGTCCTGGTCCCAGAGATTTCGAGCCCACAATGGCAGCGGCAACGCCGTTTCGCTGGAGATGGATGGAACCAGCCGACCCTTTGGTTGCATTTTCTGGCGAAGAGAAAAAAAAGTGTGGAGAAGCCCTGGCCATGTCTGTCTTCGGCATGGGTTGAAAGTTCCTATCCTGCCTTTAGCGGCCCTTGGGGGGGTGTCCAGGGGGTGGCAGCCCGTAGCCTGGGAGGCTTCCAGAGGGGTCCAGCCTAATTGAGTAGCGCTGCGCCGAAGAAAAGGGCGCTTGTGCGGTACGAAGTAGAGCTTGGGGCGCGCCACAGGGCAGGGGATGTACCCCACACGGCCGGTCGGTGTGCGCACTGTGCGCTACCTCGGCACCGACCTAGCGAGTTGAGGGCTGCACCTGATATCAGGGCGTCTGGATGGACCGCGCAAGCAAGCATCGCTTGAAAGATGCAGCTGTGAAGACCTGTGATGTATGAGTGATACACAATGCCAGGATCCGCATTTCAGCAGCGTTCAAGCATTGGCAGTCACTGATGGAGCATGCGTGTCCAAGCACATGCATGCATGCAGCCTGGAGGGTGGTCGCGAATCATAGGTGCTTGTAGGTAGGGCACTCACTACTGTAACGGGTACATTTGCCGCCGCCAGAATCTGCATATGATTTTGCCCAAGCTGGTTATCGATAACAGGTACTTGTGCTCCAAAAATTTCCCCGCGCGCAAATCGCCAGCCCGCCGCCCTGTCAAACTCGCTGTGCACCGTGCACGAATCTTCCAATTCCTACTGGGCCAGTACTGGAGGGACCTTTTTTCGGTGGCCATGGTACTTCTGAATCTGCCAATCCGCCAAGAGGGTCACGCTTCTTGCTAGGCCCGTCACCGAAGCATCGCACACTAATAATATTCCAGAAGGAAAAAAAATTCAAGGCAGAGAAAAAAAAAAGATTATCGTGATATTGACCGCAGCAGTTCAGGGCGACCAGCAATGCCAAACAAAAGGAGTGTCCACGCTATACCCCAGACTCGAAGTCGTCAGTTCTCCATCTACAGGGCGTCCAACGTCCGTCTTCGAGACGCTATTGAAGCACTATCGCGAGCCATGATCCCAAACAAGAGACACAGAGGCATCACGGGAGGCGAAAAAAATTGCCGTATCTTTATCAGTGGCGCCCTCCGATACGTTCAGTCTGGAGTGGAGGGTGGATGGTTGGCTTCGTTTCTTCGCTCCAGGCCAGACCAGTCCAACCTGAGCCCCATCTTCTCCGCTCCAGAAACGGTCCGCTAATCTGGCATGGGCTTCTTTTCAGCAGACTATCAGTTCCTGGGTTGTACGATTACTGGCCAGCCAACACACGATGGCATCTCTCGCATTTGCCCCCTATGCAAGATAAGAGAACGCAGGGTTTCGTATCATGGACAGCATCAGAAGAGCCTGCACGGCCCTCGCCAAGTCGAGAAGCACGCCCGGTGAGCTTTGATCTGCTGAGATCAGTGGCGTCTTGGGACTCGTTGCCCGTTCTGGAAGGTTCACAGACCAGCCACCCGCTGCAGTGGCCAGCCGGCCAACAAAGACATGGCTCTGGCGGTGGCGCTCCCTTCCGCAAAGGCTTGGGCTCGAATCTAGATGGTCAGAGATGATATGAGAGAGGGAGGGGTGAGGAGCTAGCAGAGCTGACAAGCTGATAAGGCCATCCAATACGTGGCGGTAAACATCAGATGTGGTTCTCACGCACGGAGTAGCCAAGCCTGCTAACGATGTCTGCTTAGCCTGACGATAATAAGAATTAGGCCCAGGTTGCCAGACATATACAGTATGCTTGTGATAAGGCTCGGCTCGCGTAGCACACCCTGCTGCAGCGGTGCGAGGAACCTTTGCCAGCATCGTATCTACCCGTCTGCCAACCCTGTTCTGTCTCAATCAATCAGCGCTCGACGACTGCTGTCTCGCATCTGCTCCGAGCCAACCGATCGTTGCTTGCCTGGGCTGAGGGGGAAGGACAGACAAGAGGAGGCATTACGTAGCAGCATTCCGTTGACGATACTACCCCAGAGAGCAGCCAGAAATTACGTACAAATGCGCAACGGTAAACCCCGGACTTGTACTACCATATCTCGACTTTTACGCGCGGACGTCTCGTACAAACACAGCTTCCGAGACCCAGATACTACCGCCTACCTAATCAAAGAGATCCCGGTCTAGCTGGCTCGGGCAACAGCGTTTGCGAACGCTAGTTTTCTTCTTTAATGCCTATATTATTACAAAGGAGCACAAGCAAAGCCGCTAAACTACTGCCGTGGAGCATGGCTTATGGCTTTAGCTCCCTGCTGCTAAAAACCGGCGTCTCGAGAAGCAGCTTTCGGAACTTTTAATTACAGTTGAATAAAACAATCATTTTTGAGTTGAGGTGGCGCATCTTAGCCCCGGCCAGCCTCTCGGACCTGGTGTGTCAAATGCATCTCTCTAATTGGCGATGACTCGAGCAAGGTGTAAGACAAAGAGAAACGGACACTGCCATCTGTGGCCCAGATCATTGGTAGAACCATCTGAGTCTCATCTCATCATCGACGAGAAGCAGTACGGCGCTGGTCTTACCAGACCGTTACAACGGGTAAATCGTGCCGGCAACCGAGCAGCTTTTCAAAAAAAAAAAAAAAAAAAAAAAAAAAAAAAAAAAATTCATCAACGGCAGCCTACCTACCAATAAATGAGGTTACAATCCCAGCTTCATCATGCATGCTCTCGTCTCATGGTACATTATCACACCAGCAGCCCGTAGTAATGTGGGGAGAAAGCGATGCTGAGCCCTCCGGATTTTCAGCCAGACACGCGACCACCATGATTTCAAACGGACCGGCTCTTCTCCAATTCTCCACGGCCTTTGTCTGTTTCTCCACACACACGCTCGTACACAATCGAGGCACACGGCTTGCTTTAGCACTGGCCAGAAGCCAGGAGCCCGGCTCAATCGACTAGAAGGGAATAATCATTGAGAGGCGGCGAGATGAAGCTGCGCTTGTGCTGATTTGGACGGCAATCGCGTTACCATACAAGAAATTTTTGCATCTCGTCCGTTGTGCGCACAAAATTAGGGCTTCATGAATCGAAACGCAGCAGTTTACAGCGATTCTTCTGCGAGTACGAGCATTGTCCTCTCATAACCCGCCTCAAGCCGCATCTGCCCATCTGCCAACCTGTTATTTCGTAACAATAAGGCCTCTCTCTCCACCTGGAATTTCGTTTCTTCAGCTCAAATTCCACATATTTCGTTCCGCCCTTCACCGCCAGCCCCAGATTTTTTTTCTCCAGCTCAGTTTGCTGCCCTGCTGGTGAGGCTGTCTCCAACAAGGCTCCACGTTTTTACCTCGTGGCAAGCCACCCGGAGACTATCTTTTCCATGGATTGTTACTCCATCCATACCCACGAACGACAAAGAAAAAAGCGTTATTGGCTTTTAGATTGCTGAGTTCCAAAATCCTGTCTTCTCCTTCATTGGTTTGCAAGATGTCTACCTGGTACGATTCCTAGTCCAACTCAATCCCCCTGGGGAATCAAGCCAAAAAGGGCCAAGTCAGCTCCACGCTTCGAATGCATTACGTTACTGATTTCATCCCGTTCTCCAGAATTTGCTAATCATTACCTACGCTGCCATGTTTATTTTCCCCAGGGGGGAAAGAAAGCATGGAAAGGACGGAGTAATTGATCACTACTGCTAACACAATGGGTATGAAATGAAAAGGAGGGAGGGGTGTCTGTACAATCGAGCTCCAGGCCCAACAGCTTTTCATTCTATTGCCTACCTTGAACGAGGCGCGAGCCTATGTACAGCCGCGATCCGTTTCTCTAGCCTCAAGCACGAGCTACTGTCAAAGTACGGAGAATTGCCCTTTGGCTGCCGCCCTTCGGCCTCCTCCGTCCGGCCTCCTCCACCCCCGCAGCTATCTCCAGTCCCATCGGCGTCTGCCGATATTGCAGCTGTCTCCTCCCCCAGACAGACTCAGCTCAGCTCATCCATTGTATCGGATCCTCAAAAAACATGGGGAGAGCTGGGGAAAAGATGGGGCATCAATGACAGACAGCCGTTGCTAGCTACTTGCGTCATTTACCATTCTCGACATCATCATCACCATCGCGATCATGCGCACAACTATACAGGTACACGTACTCTCTCGGATGCTTAGCGACCACGGTTGACCCCATACTCCATTGTTTACACCACAGATTCACTACAGCCTATTACCCACCCATTGCGATAACGCCATTCCGCATGCACACTCCCCCAGCTAGCAAGCTATCTGCGAAATCCGCCTCGTCTAGATAGACACCACATGCCGAGAGAGCCAAGGGCGCACGCTATCATAGCTCTTTCTTTCTTGTAGAACCATTCAATCGGTACCGAGAATAGACATACTAGTGAACTCAACCTCTTTCAATTGCTCTCTTCCATCGGCTCCGCCCGAAGATGAGCTGCCGTCGCCGGCCGGAGGTCCGAACACGGCGGCGGTACCATTCGAGGCGTCAATCATTATCACTCGCGTGAATATACCTCTATGCATTCCAAAATAGTTGAATAGTTTCATAAACTTGGTTTTGATTACGTGAGACACAAGCTCTTGTTAGCTATCTGCCAAGAGGAGAGCAAATGATTATGGAATATTATACCCATTAGCACACAATTCAATTTTAAAACCCGCTATTATTTTACTAGAGAATTACCCTGTCTAAAGTCGATTTTCCACTGCTGCTACTAATTCCATGATCTCTATTGCTTCTACTATATGCATCCTATAACGGAAGTCTTATAGCTCTTCCTATTTGTGTCTGGATTATGCTGTATTTTGCTTGAAATTTGTTGCATTGCAGAGAGTAACGCTTGAACCTTTTCGACAAAAAATTCAATGATGATCAGTCTATTGCTTGTACTTTCTAATACAAGTCGAGATGGTGACCGCTTGGTCGAGTCAGATGAGTACCGAAACTGACGATCTTATTAGCAATATTCCACAGGTATTCACAGCAGCTTTGCTCGATTCTATAGGACCCATTGAACCCAAGGCCTTGACGGCTCAAAGCCTTGTCTTTCTCCCAATTGAAAGCTTTGGATAGGGCTCCTTGCTTTGCAACGGCCATGGCAATATTGAGCGTTAGATTTGAATCGAGTTTTAAATGAATTACACCAAATCTATGAGTATAGACCTACTATCCAGTCCAGATGAGCTTTATAGGGCTCTTTGCCTCAAGGTTCCATATTTCGGTAAAAAGCAATCTTAACAATACTAAAATTGAACCATTTTAAGAGAAAGATTAATCGTCACAGTTTCGCATGTAACTCAACTTTCCAAGTTTATGACCCACATGTCATACCTCTATGGATAATAACTCCAATTCTGAGAAGTGTTCATTACCGTCGCAGCTATGTAAACGGATAACTTCCAGCGCGGAGTCGGACGAGAATCCAATAAATCTAGCTTCTATAAAATTTAATATATTTCGGCCAGAGCTTACTCGGCATAGAGTTGCTTGAGAAGTCCCCCCCGTCTTTGTTCTAGAAGAACGAGCGACGAATCAGGTGAAGTTTCAATGGCAACTTGTTTTTACATGTAGATATGTGAGCGTGGAGTAGCAATCTACCATTTACACCAAATATTTCGCACCCCGTCAGGATGGATTATTGCGCACGCTGTTATTATAATATAACAGTTCAAATTATCATGTTTACGGAATTTCTACCGCTACTACTTACTACCTTGATCATGTCTACTACTACCGTTACCATTACTTTGACTTGTTCTATTTACCACTTTACTACTTCTATTATACATAACACCATAACACTCATATTGTAGTTTTATCATTCTTATTTTACTCCAGTATGTAAAAGCAGAGAAAATACAATAATTACTACACGCGTAATTTGTTTCTGGCTTTCTAGTTTGTACAAAGTAGGAATATCCACTCCCCTATATCATTAAAGATAACACCTTACAAAAATTACCATGAACACCAGCGAAGCTCTCTTCCTACCCTGTGATGATACCACTTCTCCCTTAGATGTAGCATATAGAATACTCTATTGCTAAGACTAAAGAAAAAAAGAGCCTAGTAATAGGCGCTAGAAGTCTTGAAAGCACTTAAATAATGCTAAGTACCATACCCAGCACGCATACAAAAATAGGAATAACACAAGCAAATTTCTATCTGTTAACGCAAATTTCATTATGCTGTCATTTCATAATAATACTCATAGGAATACTGCTAAATACAATACACGCATCATCAACATCATCTTTCAGTTCCCCTAAACCTCCTGTTAAACTCCTCCACAGCCACGCCAAGCATCTTATACAAGAACCCTCTCTCACTGCCTCCTCCAACGGGAATAAACGGCCCATTCGCCCCATCTCTCAAAGACAGGCTAATGCCCGTACGCTCCTTCGCAATCGTCTGAATGTCTTTCAGTGGCACATCCCACTCACTAGTGAGTCGCCGCGACCGAATCAGAAGAATGCGCGCAAAGGTCACCATCACGACCATGTCTTCCTTGGGTAGCTCAAGATGACCAATGTACTGTTCGTCAAAGTATCGCCCATTGTCCACCTGTTTCAGCCAGTACTGTCCGAGTGCTTCTCTGGAGCTGTAAGGTCTCACGACTCCGTCGTTGGGCACGAAACGTGGGTGTCGCGTGCGTTCCAGTTCATTTCCGTCAAATACTGTCGTGGTGTTGCGGATACCTTCACTGACATTGCTGGCCATGTCGAGAATGCCCACTGCTGGCTTAGTTGCCAATCCCAAGACACCCTTTCCGACGCCCTTGAAGAAGCCTAAAGCACCTCCTTGCTCAGCACCTTCCAGAGGCTTGAGCGCGAGGCCGCCGACTCCAGATGCTACACTTGTGAACAGACTGTTCGCCCCAGCCGCCACACCGTACAATGCATGCTTCGGCCTGTTCCTCGCTCTGGTAATTCGTCGCCGGTCCTGGAACTGTTTGTCCATGGACGCTGCCGCAAGGCCCTTGCTCAAACTGCCAGTAAATTTGGAGAAACTGTCAGAAAACCCGAAAACAGTCTTCTTAGCAAACGACGCAGCACCCTTTGCAATGCCCATGCCGAATTCTTCAGGCCGGTCGGAAAGAATAAGACCCTGGTATGGCTCGTAGAAGATGTCGTTCACTCCTGACGAGATGTTGTTGAATAAGCCTACCGGATTACCCAAGAAATCGGCGGAACCCAGGATCTTGTGAACCTGGTACATGACTTCTTGGCTGTAGTGGTTGGAAATGTTTTGGATAAGCACCTGTGTAGATACTCGTACGTTTTCCAGTATCAGGGCATTAAATCGCACCGGCGCATCGTTGACATTACCAATGGCCATTGTCATCACGTTCAGGAAGAACATGAGCGGATTGTGAGTAGAAGTTTTATCCTCAACATTGATGCGCTCGGTCCGCATGAAACTGAGGTCCACTTGCATTGGTTGGATGTTTAGAACTTCGAAATAAATGTCCTGGCCAGATTCTCGTTCACTTGGCTCTGGGATATCTAAATCTTCATCACAAAGCTTACCCTCCTCTTCCACAGAACTCCAGCTGGCTCCAGGAATGTTTGAAAAGTCCAGGAGAGCAAACACGAAATCTTCGTCGAGATCAATCGTCATTTGCTGCAGTAGAATACTTGCATATTTGATGTACAGCACACCGTAAGAGTCATCTTTTACTCGGCTGACCATGGCGTGCAGCGACGGATGAGCCTCAATCTCTTGTGCTTTTTGGGGCACCACGCTGGGATAGAGGACCATCGGGAACAGTCCTCCATACAACTGGTTGTCAATTTGTATCCACTTGATGGCCAGTGACACGGTCTGAACCACTGGTGAGTCTGAGAAACGGAATTGGACATCCCTGAACGTGATATAAGCAAGCTCTTTTAACTGAGAGTTGATGAATGAGATGCCAACGCCAGACAGTTTTAGCTGAGCCATGAATGTCGCGTCGGTATTCTGATCTTTGACTTCGAAAGCCTCGGGCCCGGTATTCGTTCTCGATAGAGTCTTTTGCCTATACAAACTTTGACTTGGACGGAAATTGCTCAAAATGAGAGTTTGCGTGGGCCCGTCTGCGGCAACATTGATATCAATAATTTTCTGTGTGCCATTTGGATATGTAAACTTCATTGGGAACTGGTTGCCAATCTCTGCCAGTTTGACGTGCCGCTCCTTGCCGGCCGTAGCAATGACCACCTCTCGGAACTTAGCCGCTGGGAAATCCCACGCATAAGGCATGATACTCCTAGGTGGCAAGCGATATCGGATGGGTTTCCAGCCGCTCCGGTCCTCTACATCATCTTCTTCAACGTTGGGATTTGCTTGATAAAAGGTGAACTCGGTGTCACTCTCGTTTCGCATCGAAAAAGGCCAGTTCTTGGTCTCAGCACTAAAGTGCAGGAATATGGTCGAGTCTTCTACAAGAATCTCTGTTCTAATCAGGCGCTGACGCTGTCCTGCCTTGGCAATCTTGACATGAGTGGTTCCGATGTCTGCAATATTGAAAGGAGACGTCCATTGGTTATTCACCCCTGGGAAGCAGAGGCACAGTTGCTTGACCGTAGAGTTTTGCATGAAGTGAAGGGGCTGCAGAGCACCAGGCGCGAGTGTCATGTAGCCCGACGAGCTGGACTCTCGAATCAAAATCTCTTCATCCAGCTTGTTCTTGAGCACAAAGCGTGGCGCAAGCGTCACGACCTTTGTCATCTTGTACTTTCCATCACCAGATTGGATGGTTATGCCCAAGTGAATCTCTCTGCTTCTGTTGGAAGAATGACTGAGTATAACTTCAGATGTGCTACCAATCGCGTCAAAACTCTGAGGCTTGCTCCATTCGGAGTCCGCTACTTTGAGCACAGCTCGGTTGCGAGTATCGTCACTACCGAATGAGAACATGAACGGCAAAGCTTTGGGCCGGCCATTTTCAGAGGTATCTATGAGGGGGTACTGGCCAGCGGCCGATTTTGCCTGTTGGAGGAAGCTCTTTGCCCTAATTGTAAGATCCAATCCAGTCTTGTTGAGGATGACATACGGGCTGTATACCGTGACCTTGAAAGCGCCGCCACTGTGAGGAATCTTGTGGTAATGAAGATTCAGATTGAGGGAAAGGCCCTGGTCATCTTTGACTACAATGCGGGACTCTTTGCGGAAATCCTCGTTTGTGCCCGAGTTGATAATAGCAAAGTCGCTAGGCTTGAAGACAGTATCTTGCATGTCGATATTGAGCAAGAGAAGATGAGAGAGCTCAACAACATGGACAGGGCTAACGCCACCCTTGCGAAGGAAATTCGACCAATCCTTCTTTGTGTTCTTATCGTAGATTCTATACTTGAAATCATATGGTAGAAGGTTCTCTAGAGTAACAGGCGCAGACAGCTTAA